ACGTTGGTGTTGCTGCTGGAAACAGCTTGCGCAAGTCTTGCCTTTGCAACTTCATCAAGGATACAGTAAAGGGATGGTATATATATTAATAAATAAATTTGACACAGTGAAAAATAAAGAAATATCAATCTTTATTATTGGATACTATACATATGAAAATATTCAATATAAAATTTAACATGATGAAGATATAAAACTCTACAAATGATATAATGGAATGAACACACAGATCTCTAATATCAACATTGTATACATCACAGAATCAGGGAAAAAAACATGGAACCTCATAATTAGACCAGATAATTCCTACATTAACATCCTTTCAGGTCCCAGCATTTACCCTGTGCCAACATTTTTCCATGTCTACTACAGAATTTCACTTGTTGCTCAGACTTCTTATCACATCGACAGCATTCAAAATAAATGTCATATTTTATTCTTTATTTTAATCAGAAACCTTTAAAATCTTAACCAGAAAAGAAATTTTCAAAAAGCTTCTTTTTTCAAAGTTGGATGAGAATATAGGAATTACATTTCGTGGCCTTTATTAAAATAAGTTCTTTCTTATCATTTCTGTGCACAATTTAACAAGTGCATGAAGCTGTTCCAATTCATTTTCATTCATTGTTTAAACAATCTGATTGTATACAGATCCTGTGTCAGCGTTTGGTTACAAGAACTGACAATGTTACATTTTACTTTCTGTTTTGATAATCGTTGTGTCAACCAATGAAATTTTTGAAGGTTTAAATATCCACAGCAGATTCCAAAGAACCCAAAAATTTCTTCTGAACAGAAAGTAAAAGATATCCTTTTCAGTTCCATGTAATTAAAGGGAGGACACACGATTTGTATAATTGTTGTTTAAAGATTATGTGTATAATAAAATCAGCAAATCACATTTCTGTTAAAAATAAAATATTAGTTTTTTCACTTAGGCATTGCTAAAACATTGTTACAGATTTTCTTTGAAATTAAAAACTTAATATGTAATGCCTGTTGCCTCATACCTAGAATAAATATGTTGGTATATAACATTAGCTAGAAAATCAATAATGACAGAAATATAATTTTGAATTCCATGTCTGAACTAAAAAAAATCATGGTTTTCGATTTATATTTCAATAAAATTTTATCTGTATATCATAATTAAGGTAATTATTTTATTTTCTGGTGGAAAATAGAGGTAATAAAAATAATAAAAAGTTACAAAGTTGGAAATCATTGGATACTTTAATAATCAGGCTAGGCCTAAAAAATATGAGATTAAATCAAGGACATTTTATATATTAAGAATAAAAAAAAACCATTTAGTGTCTAGGGCTTCCTTCATAAAGTTATAAAGTCAGAAGGTCATAATTATTTGGCTTTTTTGTTTTGTTGTTGTCAAAATCAGATAATATTATGTTTTCACCAAATCGGGTTCTAATATCATAGTAAATATTTAACACACACCTTTTTTGCCAAAATGTATGCAACACATTTTCTGAGGTACCTTAAAAACAATGATCTACACAATACTACTACACCAACCAGGAAGTGAATTATTACAACACATACAGGCACCATTATCACTAGGATCAACCCTGAGCAACTCTGAATATTTACATAATTATTGCACTAGGCTATAAATATCTCAATGATATGCCTAAATATAGTATTGATACAACCAACCAATAAATGATATGTGTATAACTGTACAATTGACCTACATTACAGACAAGGTGATTTAGGTTAAATATCAGTCTTACAGTTGACCTACATATCAGACGAAGTCATTTAAGTTAAATATCAATCTTACAATTGACCTACATAACAGAAAAAGTCATTTAAGTTAAATATCAATCTTACAATTGACCTACATAATAGACAGACCTGGGGTCAATTACAGTGATTTTTAAATGTAATGAATAACAATTACAATGTCAATGTAATTAAATACATTTCAATTACTTTTTTTTAAATATACAGACAATGGGATCAAGGTTAAATATCAGACCTGATAGCTTTTTTCACAGCTATTTCAATTGATTATGGGTGATTCACTCTTACATTCTCCCTTTACATTCAAAATCATACGACAATGATGTTGATCCGAGCAACATTTCACACAGATTTACTCAATCCCCCTAAAATTGATATTTAACTCACTAAATCAGCTTGTGTGTCCTGTATAATATACAAAATGGAAAGAACTGTTGTTAACTAAGACTTTAAATGTTACAATGCCTGACTATGAATAAGAAATAAATGCATATTTTAGAGAGGCAAAAACCCAAACCATGTATCAAATTATTATGTTACCTTCTACATTTCTTGTAAAGTATTTCTAAAACAATTTACTGTACACAATATCTTTGAATAGAAGTTATCAATTTATTTTTAGGATAGACATATAAATTAATCATCCTATAATTTTGGTGTATTGAAATTTGCATAGAAAAGTAAAAAAAAAAAAACATTGCGCATTTAACAGTGTCACCAGAGCATTTTTTATTCCAGCTGTGTTTCTTTCTGGGTGTTAAAAATTTGCCTCCTGAAAGAAGCTGGTGAAGGTGTGAATGCATTTTGTGGCAAAATTCTAATTTTTTAGACAAATTACTATTCATTAATTAATAATGCTTCAATGTTTGTTCCTCATGAAATATTAGTACTAATGTTCAATGTTCGTTCCTCATGAAATATTAGTACTAATGTTCAATGTTCGTTCCTTATGAAATATTAGTACTAATGTTGTGATAAAATGTACAAATTACGATTAAAAAAGGTTGAACAACTGTTATTTAAAATGGAATATAAAAGTATCACAATAGTCAATATTCTGGGATAACTAAATAAAAAGTTAACAAGTTAAATATATTTCTATCTACAAATGCATATCAATTGTATAAATAAAATGTGCTCATCATCCAGGTAAATATACTGAATCTATGTCATCCAATACCTAAACATTAATTAAGTATTTCAAATTGTGGTAGTAAATCTTTTGAGAAAAAGATATGTGCCGTCTCGTATACAACAAAATTAACAGCAATTTAATGGACAGTATGCTATTTTGTGTATGTACATGGGAATGGGAAGCACTTATAAATAGTTCTAAAAACTTAACATTGAACTATGTTAATTCTTAAAATTAAGGGGAATACTGTGGATTCATTTATTTTCGTGGGTACCAATTTTTGTGGATTAAGGGAAAATTGTATTTTCATGGATATTTGATTTCGTGGTTTTGCCAAAGTATGCATACCAGCCTAATACAAATTTATACTTCGTTGAACTTTTAAATTCATGGTTCACGTATACCCATGAAATCCACAAAAATTGGTTTCCCACGAATAATAATGAATCCCCAGTATGACTAATAAGTCTAAATCATTTTTAAGATGAGTTTTCAGATGTTAATAGCAGCAACTCTTAAAAAATGTGAATAAAAGACAATGATGGGTATATGTCAATGAGACAACAACCCAACAACATAAAATAACAGGAAACATTTTTAGAAGCCTACAGTATAAACTTCATCAAGAATGGACAAAGCAGAAAAGTTATCGTTTGAACTATGTATAAGTTTCAAAGTCACTATACCATAAGTGGGTCAGGCAGGGGCACAAACACTGCTAGAAACTGTGATGCACTGATGCTAATGCAAAAGCATTGCAACTGCTTATGATGTATTTGATAAAATTCAGAAAAAAGGAACTAACCAAAAAAAAAAACCCACATTTGATTGTGTAAGGAAATATTTCAAAAAGTCTCTGCAGCAAGAGTAGGACAGGAAGAGAAACGCATATCTCACTTGAAAAAATGACAAACATGTACATGTATGCTAATGCAGCAGATGCCAGAAAAATAACAGTTATATGTCTCACTCCCTCTAATGTTAATCAACATGAAAATGAATTAACTCTTTTTCTTTGTACTTTCTCCTCATAGAAAGTTATGCAATTATAATTATCTGAATATTCTGAATGAGAAAAGATATAAAAGATATAATTTTCAACCAGCTACCATTGACTAGCTAATATACTGATGTCATTATAAAACATTTTCATAGTCACTGTACAAAGATGTAGTACAAATTGTATAGGCACTGAGTAATAAAAAATCTTTGTCAAGACAGTACACACAAGGTGCTTGCTCTTGCTGGAGATTATTTACAGTGAATGTTAGTGACGAACGTGAATCACTCACATATACTTTACATAAACTGTAAACCAACTTATTTTCAAGGATACTATTTTTATTGTTTATTAGTCCTTTCTAGCTTAATTGATACAATTTATTTCTGCAATTTTTTAAAAACTTTCTTGACATATTTAAACATGTTGAATAAGGAAATATCCAAGTTTGACATGTTAATGATGACTATTATTTAAATTTTTTTCTAGTCGCCAAAATAAATCACTAATGAAAATAATTTGGTTTACGGTAGTTATTCAAATCGACTTTCACCCTGTTGTACAGTGGATCTCTCTACACTATTGTAAACGTGCAAATTTTTGTACAGGGATAATTTCGATTATTGAATAACAACTTAAAATGCGCAGATACATAACACACACAAATAGTATACACAGATCAATAATATTGATGTGAAGGGCCCATTTATTGTTGGATGCACCAATTTTACCCAGCTCATAAATCACAAAAAAAAAACAAGAAACATCCACATTCTCATGTATCAAGAATAAATCACCTTGTGTATTTGTTATAACAGAAGCACTATGCAGTTAACTATTATGAATGTTTTGCATATTGTTTATAAATTAAATCTAAAATTGGTTGAAAAATATATTTTCTAATGCTAAACCTGCAACACCTATTCAACAACAAAAATTTGGCAGTAATAGGAAAAACATGTCTCTTGGAGACACACTCATTCATTTAATTTCTTGTAAGTATGTTCTCTTTGAGACCATACAACCATATGTTCTCTTCAAGACCATACAACCATACCATTTGCATAGTAATTAATTAAAATAACCTATAGGTAATGTTACTAGCCACTCGGAGCAAGACAGCCTAAGCTGATTTGAAACCATTCCTTTTAAATTTTCGCTGGTCATGCAATACCAATGGTTTCTTGGAGTCCACTTTGAGAATTAATGCCCCTAGCTGGTGGTTGTACTATATGAGAGAATTCTGATGAATATTGGTCATTGTATGAAATGGCATTGGTCCATGAGGGCGATGCTAGCAAATGCCCAAGATTTTGTGGAACACTTCGATGACTCTCGTCTAATGTCTGACCATTCATAGCTGTTATTTGGGCATCTAGATCAAAGTTTTCACTATGCCAACTGAATGGTCGCTGTGACATACTTGGTGGTCCTTGTCCACTTGGGTAAACAGCTGAGAGACGACGGGGATCAAAATCATGTGATATTCGTGATATTCTGGAGTCAGTGGATCGTATCGTTGAATTTTCATACGATTCCACACTTCCGTCCATTGGTTGTGATACTTGCATATAAAGAGACTTGTCATTACATAGGCCATACATGAGAGGTAAGGATAAAGCATGAGTATCAGCTTTTATTGTTTCCAGCTCCGGATGTAAAGTTTCACCAGAGTTCAACTCTGTTGTAGATGTGCTCAGAGTTGGCTGAAATTTAATAAAACACATCAATCACATAATTACTGCAAGAATGTATGTATGCATCTGAATGTGCTTATTAATAAATTACCTGAATAAAAGTGCTATATTTCCGATTAACAAAATGATTAATGTGAAATTTTATATGTTGTCAAGTTGGCTCTTTTTATAACTGACTATTGGGTATGTGTTTTGCCTTTTGTTGAAGCTGCATGGTGACCTACAAATGTATAGCTGCTTACATCCATTTCAGTTGGACAGTAGTTGATAGTTGTCTCATCGCCAATTATACCACATCTCCTTATTTTTATATTTTCTAAATTTATTAACTTTCATGTATTACCAGAATACCAGATTTCTAATGAAATCCACAGAACTCTGGATGGTTAGCTATGTTAAACTCTGTCACACTTTTTTAAGTTACATCTACCATTAACAAAGTTAAATGTAGAATGTTGAGTAGGATCTGCTTAACCTTCAGAGCACCTGAGATCCCCCCCCCCCCCCAGTAATTTCCGAAGGGTTTTTAAGTTGCTTAGTCTTTTTATGTACTGTTTTGTAGACTGTTTTTTGTCTTTTCACAGCTTTTTAAAATGTTTTGCCATGATTCTGTCAGACTCTCTTATCAACTTAAATTAGTTTTGTTTCTCCTTTGGTATCTTCAGCCTCTTTTTTCATATACGTGTAGAAAAAATCTTCTCAAAAGGTCTAAAGTGAGGTTAAACATTATATTTACAGTGTATGTAAAATTGTAACTGGTATCCCAAAAATTCAGAATAAAAGAACAATTCTCACCTTTTTCTCTTCATTATCAGATGGTTCAGTTGGTAGTTTATCTAATGATGTATTACTATTACAAGAATGTTTTGAATCATTTAAATGCTCTGACATATCTGCAAACATTGGTGGTGGTGCTAACACTTCTTGTTCATGTAATGTCCGTTTAGTTTCTGTGTAGGACGAATTTGACATGTTACTCTGACTAACATAAGAATTCATCCCCGGAATCATCATTTCGTTAGACACATACATCACACCTTGATTTTCAACAATTTGACCAGTAAAACTCTCCTGGCTATAAAAATGGTTCAAGTTTTGTGAACCTGACAAATCTGTTTCATAACCTTGTTCATGACTATGATAAAATTGGTTCATGTTTTGTGAACCCGATAAATCATGATTAGGATAAAATTGGTTCATGTTTTGTGAACCTGATAAATCATGATTATGATAAAATTGGTTCATGTTTTGTGAACCTGATAAATCATGATTATGATAAAATTGGTTCATGTTTTGTGAACCTGACAGTTCATGATATTGATAATACTGTGGATCAATGTTTTGTGAACTTGTCAGTGCCGGATCACAGGCCTGCGCTGCCTGCATCTGTCCATTAAAAGTATTATAATTGTTATATGCTGGTAACTGATACATCTGTTTGTTATAATGATAATACGGAGATATGTGATTATCACTTGTGTGAATCTGTAACTGTGTCAAGTTACTTTTAAAACTGTCTGCACGACTGGCGCTTCGACTGACTGGCTGAGATAAGCAAAGTCGCTCATTATGTAGACTGGTCGTTGGAGTATGATTCATGTAAATAGGAACATTCATTTGCTGTGAGCTGTACAATGGCAAAGGCATGGCATTATGTACGGGAAAATGTCCTTGAAATCTTCCACTGCTGTTTGGAGAAATATCCCTTTCTATAGAATTGCCTGAATAAGACGTTGATAAAGTTCCGCTATAAACAGTATGGTGGTGTTGTTGAGATATACTGACTATTCGATCAGGTGATCTATTCATCTGCCGATTACCACCAGCAGGTCTACCAACGGAGGATGACTTGAAAAGTTCTCTTGGTCCAGATTCTGCTCCAGGACTTCTATTCATCTTTGAGGATGGCATATAGTCTGTTGGTAAAAGATAAAATAATAACGTAAGAAAGATCAAGGATGGGATATAGTATCTGTATGTTGGAGACGAATAAATAACTATATAAGGAAGGTCAATGTTTTCATTACTACAGAAAATGTTATCATTTATTTTCTTTTTATCCTTTTCGGTTATATCTACTCTTCCAACGTTTGTATTAGGTTTTTGATTTTCAAACATTTTAGCTTCGACCAACACTGAACAGAATGTAATACTCTAAACACACATCTGGTTTGAGCAATGTTAGTTTTGTTTTGTTTTTATACTTCAAACTTGCTCATGATGGCTTTCAAAAGATATATTTCAATGATACAATTATATCTTATATTTCAACATAATTATATTTGCAGGTACTTTATGATTTTCAAATTCTTCCTAACATTGTAGTTGCATTCATGGAAGAAAAGATTCAATTTGCATTATATGTTGCATAAATAATACCTTGCCAAAAAAGTTTAACATATTTAGAAATAGATATTATAGTAAAAACTTACTTGGTAATGTAGAAAATGCATTGTTTTGACTAGGTGTACCAAACATTGGCGGTGAATCTATCATTATTTCCCTGTTGTGTTCTGAAATAGATAGAGATGCTTGTAAAAAATGTTCTACTGTTAATTGTATCAGCATTTCTTTGTTCGTCTGCTATTTAATTATTTCTATGGAAGTTATTCAGAACTTCAGATTTAGATAAGACACAAGTAACTTATAAATGAAGTCTGTATAGTGATATCAAGATGTATACTTTATGTAAACTTTTATTTTGTTGGTTACTCTTGATCGATTGATTGTTGGTTGCTTAATGGTTTACTCTTGACATTTAACCTGCATCTCATTTAGTTATTTTTAATAAGTAAATAGATATATTAACATTTGGATGCTACATGTAAATGTCAAGAGAGAAAAACAAACTATTTCTAGAGGTGCATTATTCAAGTGGGACGCATAATAACAGCTTTGGATAACAATGCATGAAAACCATTTGTCAAAACAAAATGTTTCGACCACCTTTAAGAAATTCTTTGTTTGATGTTGCCTACCCATGCCTAATAGGGTTGGGTAGGCAGGGTAGGGATTTTTTTTTTTTTTTTTTTTGCCAAGAGCATAAGTTCTATGTTTTAGACAAGAAAACAAAGTGAGAGCAGGAAAAAATCTTTAAAAATAAAAGAAGAATGTGTCGAGGACATGAATGCCCCCTCTTAAGCTTCATCAAACATATGAAAAAGGGACGGACGGATGGAAAGATGGAAGGAAGGAAGTTCAAGGGTAACAATTAATGCCCCCGTCGCCAAATTTGAAATGATTTGTGTCATAAAATTTTTCAGGCAGGCTGCTTTTAAGGTGGGTAGGTAGGCAACATCAAACAATTTAAATTTTATTTTTGGTCCTATCTTTTTGGAAAAGCCAAATGTTTAGTGACAAACCGTAAGTATGGTAAAAATCAAATGGAAATACATCTATACAATATGTAGGTTCAATGTTTATTTAGAATAACCTGGACACTTTTCCTTGTTACAGACTGTATAATGACCTCTAGATTTCTATATCAGTTTTATTTATTTAGCTAGATTTTGTCACAGTATTATTTACCCTTCCTCTTCAAAACAATAATCTGCATGTGTCATTTTCTAATTCTTAGTTGATTAAAACTTTCCAAACCATGTTGCTTTGAAAATTTCTTTAAAAAAAACATGTTCTCTTTGTCAGATGTTGTTGGGCATCTTTTTTTATGTCACCATATAAATCATAACCAGAGAACAACATAATAGTTCAGACTGTCTTGAATTCATATCGATGATAGTTGAGAATGAACAAACCACGTTGATTTTTATCACAACAAACAAATGTTTTATACCACAAAAAAAAAACAAAACAGATATGTCAAAGTTAGCTACAAAGTGTCGAATAGTCTACCAACTCTTTGTGCATTTCTCTACTCTTGAAAATCAAATTCCAAAAATGTATCGGTTGAGTGTGAAAAAATATTGTATCCAACTCATTGCAGTGATAGAATCTACAGTCAATCCTGTATATAAGAAAAGGATGGCCTGGCAAGACAGACTTTTGGTTAATAAAGGTGCCCTTTAAACAAGTACCAGGTTTGACTGCATATTAAACAATATAATTTTGATAAATTCCCAGTACCTTCATCCTCAAAGCTGATTGTCATTTTGTCACTAGCTATGCCTGAAGTTGTATTAGAACTGGCATTGCTGACAACTGAATATCTCACATTCAGTACAGATTTAGTGCTAGGTGACAAACTCCCCCTAAATGATCCTCCATGTGCCTTTAAGTCTTTAGGGTCACTATAAATGTACAATTCTCTGTATCTTTTCTTATCTGAAATATACATTTGTACAAATATATTAATTTATGCATTGCAATCGACGGTACAGAAAGGGTCATATTTGCCAGTCATGACCGATTCAAATAACTGAAATGAGATTCCAATTTTTGTCAAATTGAATTGGACAATTTTCAGAGATCTAAGTTTTCAGCATTATTTATGAGAATTTCTAATATGTCTTCCATTCAAGGAAGAATAACTCAATTTTCAAACTTCTGATTTACAGAAGTTGCAGTTTATTAGAAAGGAAACAATGATGTAAAATTTCTATAGTGTCCCATGCGATGTAGCAGATGTGCCATTTCTTTTCTTTCTTCATAAGTTTTACACATACAATACCTTGGAAAAATAAGGTAACTTTTCGTATTCAACATTTTAACAAAAACTTAAAGGTGAAATTTGAGAGAAGAGTAGAATGTCTTTCGTTGACATAATCCAGCTAAGTAGTAGTGTACATGATTGTTTACCTTGTTCCTCCAAATGTCTTATTTCCATCAATTTAGGATGTATTGCTAACTGGAACATGTGTGTTTGTTTACATAGTTGTAACAAGTATTTTGATTTGGTATCACAGTCTGTGTAATAAGCAAATTTCCTCCCTTCAGGTGCACCAGCTGCTCGGATCTCAAATTTCTTTTTCTGTAAATAAATAAATATAAATGGAGTATAAGTAAAATAGGATAGAAATTCAACACATACAACTACAAGAGATTTAAATTTATTACTAATGGTATTTAAAATTCTTTGTAACAAATATCTAATGAGGAATTTAAATTTATGTTATTTAAACCTTCATGTTCCTTTCCTAAATGTTTAACAGCACCTAAAAGTTTTGCCTTACATTTTTGCAGATTAAATGTTTAATTACTGCACCAATAATGTTAATTTTAAATGCTTCTGGTAAAAAATTGACCACTGGTCCCTATTTGTAAATAAAAAAATCGTGATAAAATAATAATTTAGAACAAATCAATGACTGTCATATGCTGGTAGCTTAAGTTGTTGATAAATATTGTTTTATAATGATGTTCTGTTATAGTCTCAATATTGATAACATACTTCAAAGAATAATTTTCCAATATCTGGCCACAGGAATGTTGATATCAAATTCTTCAGGCTTTCATCTACCTCCTGTTATATAAAAAATACCACATTTTTACAAATTAGTTGTAACTATATTATTGCATCGTAATTTTATTTTAATTTGTATGTATTAAAGCTGTAAATAATTTTGTTATCATTCTGTATATAAAAAAGTTTTCAAAAGCTGGTAAAACAGGTGTCTGACCTATTTTTAATCCAATTCTCCCGTTCATAATCTAAAGAATTATCTTGTTCACATACCAAAATGAACATAACATTATGCCAACTCTTAAATATCTATTGTTTGTAACATTGTTTGCCAATGATAACGTTTAGGTGTATGCTTTTTAAAATTTTAATGCAGAATGCATTGGGATTCTGAAAAGGTGAATTGTACATGCAATTCTTAATTTTTCTGGTCATAAGCATTCCTATGCACTTTTCATAATTTCTTGAATGGAAATAAAGTTGATATTTCAGTCTTAACCTTGGGTTGCTTTTTTAACATCAGGACCTATTATATTACCTCATATATTTCTATTCCTTTTGCACATATTCCAAGCCATGCATTCCAATTTTTATCTGTTTTTCTTTTCTTTAATCGATAAAAATGCAAGTTATATGCAGCTGGTGATATTGATGCCTCTTTGATAAATTTAAATTCTGCCTCAGACTTGCTAAGGTTGTGCAGATCTTGATGTATCAATGGAGTATTCTTACAGATATAATCTTTCCCTCTCTTGTTACAGATCTGTAATACATAGACTGTACAATAAGAATACATTTGTTTATGATTTATCATATATTGATATGCTGTGTAAATAAAACTTGTGCTTTAGATCATAATTCTAATAAAAAATGTCTTGGAATTATCTCCCCTGATTTTCCTTATTTGATATTTCTTTTAAAAATTAATAATCAGTTCTTAATTTTGAATAATAATGTAAATATGTGAAGACATAAAACTTTATTAATCAAACATATCGTTACAGTATTTGATTCCCAACAGAGCAGAATTTGCTAATTAAAAATGAAATGAATAATAAAGATATGAAAGGGACAAATCCAGATACACAGAATAAAAGAATTTCACAAGAAAAAAAATGAATGATACCTGTTTACAAGCATAACATATTGTCCTTTAGTAAATTGAAGTACCATATACAAACAAAATGTTTCAAATGCAACAAATTACCCAAGCAGGAAAATATTCTCTGGGATCAAAGTACTGTCCACCATGTTTAGATTTGATATAGTTTCCATTATCAGCTTGGAGGGCATAGGAGACCAGCTGGAAGCATTTCTCCTCTGTAGAAACATGACCATAACTGTGTATGTTGTCTTTCAGCTGAAGAAAGTATAGGTGGCGGGTCACCTTTTCCCTACAAAATAAAATTCATTCTAAATGTACACAAGTTGTTTTTTTAACAAAATGAATATCAGACTTCTTCTAAACAAACTTACTCCTCTTGAGGCTAAAGGATGATGACGGATGTTTAACATCTAGTGGCAAATTAGAACATGTTACTGTGATAGGAATATGAAGACAGTATTGTACTAAATAGACATGCCTAGCAGCATTTTTAACATGCTAGTTCACAATGTATCAGGCAGTCTGAAGACATGTCAATCTTCATAGACATATAATTCTAACTTTGAGCCTACAAGTCTTTGCTCTTCCTCTTAAATGTCAAGTACTTAGCAGTGAAGCAGCAAATACCAATGTTCATGTCTTTAATTGAACAGGCCCAGGATCAATCCTTGACCTCCCTAACTTGAGGCGAGCATGCTACCATGAGATTCTGTTAAGGCTAAAGGATAGATTTCAAGCATGCAAATAGATAACGTAATTTTAAGCGGGAGAGAACTACAGTTTAACTACAATTATATATAATTTTCATCTTTAGAGTAAGTTACATAAGTATTACTTTAGTAGAAATTATTTGGCTTTTTATACCTTACCAATGCCATCATATTAAAAGTAAATATTCAACTTCTTTACACTAAAATTCCTGTTCATAAATGTTTTTTATTTGGAAATCTTACCTCAATAAGACAATCTGGTCAACATAAAACTGAACACGAAAGTAAAGAGAAACTAGTGGCTGGCCATCTGTATCTAAGCCCTGCAAATATATACACATGATAAGTTTTATTTTTGATATTGTTTCTTGCCATTTTTTCTAAATAACTTGTACAGACTGTATATTTGTATAAACTGTCGTGATACAATGTATATAGTCACTTTATATTTTAAGCTTTGTACGTGACATTAACAATACCTTTCTTACAATTTTATTAATGACATTTTCTTCCTTTTCTTAGACTTAATCTTTATGTTCCCATATAAATGTAGTTATTTAGTACGTATAAATTTGTATAACCAGCATGTAATATATCAGCTAGCTAGAATATGACAGCAGTGAGAGTAACCTAATCAAATGGCTCTTTAGCAGAGCTATCATTTCACAACAGATTTTTCATACCGATAATATGAGACCTGTTTGCACGTTTTTTTTCTTTCAATAATTATAGCTTCCATCTAAAAAAGATATATGTATGATTGCTCTGAATACTGGAAAAAGTTGTCTCCCTTGTCTTGTTTATTTCTATATTAGGTACTAGTTAAATATATACAATGTGTACAAGAAGTTATTGGTTCCATAATGAATGATAATTGGATATCACTTGATGTAAACTTGAGTTAAGTAATTTCAATATAATAATCCACAACTCCTTTGAGAGTTAATTATCAATACTGACAATTACAAAAGCGTAGTTCAAACCAAGCTATATACAATTCACAACAGTTGTTAAACCTATTTCGTTTATGGGTAAAAAGTTTATTCATTTTTTCAAAGCAAAATGAATGAGTGTAAATATCATAAAATCGCAAAATTCTTTTAAAGTTCTATAACAAAGTTACATATGTACCTCTGAGGTTCCAGATTTCCAGCTCTTTGGAGCAAACTTGTGAATTTTTTCTTCTAAAGGAAGAAAGTGATATTCTCCATCTGTAATGAATATAAAATTATTTATACTACCGGTACTACAAATTCAGAGAGGAACTGTCAAGGTGCAATCAAATGTAAGTCATTACTGGTATATATATTGCGTTTCAATTTGGCTGTGCATGGTACGCCTATTTGGCTGGTTGTAATGTAATATTGTACTTATATGTATTTATTATACTGTATGTATATATATACAGGTTGCACTAACCTACCCTTAAAAAATTCTTTGTTTGATGTTGCCTACCCATGCCTTCTAGGGCTGGGTACGCAAGTAGGGATTTTTTTTATGGCCAAAAACATAAGTTACATGTTTAAGACAAGAAAACGACATGAGCACAAAAAAAGCTTAGATAAAAAATTTGAAAATATTTTTGTCATAAAATGTTTTGGTAAACTGTTTTTTAAGCTTTTTAGGTGGGTAGGCAATATGAAACAACTTTAATTAATTTTTTTGCATCTTATTGTTCATAGTACTCTTTAACATGTTTAAGCCTATACTTTCTTATATTTAAAAGTAAAAGAAGAAATTTGTCTGAGAACACAAATGCCCCCTGTACAAGCTTGCCTTTAATATGTGAAAATACTTTTTGAGAGCTTTGATGTCACTGCTAGTTTTTAAAAGAGTTCTATTGTTAGAGTGTGGAAATGAAAAAAAATTTCAATTTCAAAGTTATAAAAGGGCACAACTCTAGAATGGTAAGTGACTTGCTGCCCAAATTTGAACTCTTGTCTACGAGTTTTGGGTCTTAGCACTGTGCATGAGTTTCATAAAAAGTGGATGAGGAAAACTTAAATTAGAGTGCAGAGACAAAAATGAGACGAATGGAAAGTCGGTCAAGGGTAACACTTAATGCCCCCTTCAAGCAGCGGATATAAAAAATACATATGTTCAACATGAATTTATGGTTAACATTATCTAACTATCTATCTACCTTTTTTCTGTGCCAGTCCAAAATATTCAGTCTCTCTTAAACTAAGTTGAGTGGCTATCTGATTAAAAACATCTTGAAATTTTGATTTGACCTGTGAAGATAACAATTTTAAATATCAATTAAAAACAATAGCATTACAACTTGACAAAACTTACAACATAGAACAAAGTTGCAGAATTTTTTTGAATATTTACATACTTGTACATGTATAAAAATAAGAAGATGTGGTATGACTGCCAATGAGGCAACTCTCCACATTTCATGACATCACAAGTAGCAAGAAAACAGGTAAATTTACATTAATTTCTTGGACAGGAAATAAAAAGTGCATGTGTTGACAAAAAAGATCTTTTAACGTAATGTTACTCCTTTGTTTGTTAATGTATATGTATGTTTCCCACTAGACTTTTCACTTATTTTAACAAACATAAGTTTCTACTGTTGGTTTGAATTTTAAGGTTTCTTTCTCATTGACATTCAACCCACATCTCTTTTTATTCATACATATTCATTTAAAAAATTGGTCATGTGACAATAACCTCATCATTGATATATATGTATATACAGGTTTAAAATTTTGTACGCCAGACACACATTTCGTCTACAAAAGACTCATCAGTGACAATCGAATCAAAAAAGTTAAAAGCCCAAATAAAGTATGAAGTTGAAGAGACAAGACTTAGTGACCAACTTAGGTCAGAATTTTATTCATATAGTGGTCTTTATTTATAACAGAGCTATTTGTACTCACATCAACATTTATTAAACATTGTGTACCATCCAGCAGTATTACATTTACAACCTTTCTCTTTTTCCCGGCATGATGCAATGTTAATGAGGACATACTGTTTATAAACTCTTGTTAATTTCCATGAACTTTAGATCTAGGTATATCTGAAAATAAAGATATTTATATAAGATTTAGTATTTCTGTTTAAAACTATTCATCTTTGACAAAGTTACTACATTGATTGTATATGTTGTATGTGCAATTCAAAGTATGAAATATTGATTAAAAATGGAAAAAATATCTCTCATTTCAGGAAATGTATTTATTAACTTGTGTACATGTGCTCCCAGAGTTCTCGAAAGGTGGTGGTCCGAAGGTTTTGACCACCAAAATTTTACAAAGGACCAACACAATTTTGGTATTTTGCAATAAGTATAAAAGTGAGGACCAGCAGATTTTCTTTAAGGACCACAAGGGAGAGTAAGATTTCGAGAACTCTATCCCGCCTTTTCATTTTATTTACTATGAATAATACAAGATACTTGTGTATGTATACATCAAAACTGTTTATTTCCAGCAATAGAAACTTTCAGATTGTTCAAGAACATGAATGAAGTTGAATCAGTATGACATTGACAAAACAATGAAATGCTGGGAAGTGATAAAGGAATGATATAAACTTGTTTAATACACCCTTTTCAATGACTAATACATAATAAATATTTGACACCTACAATCATTTTACAATGAACATTTAAGAGCAAAAGGCTCAACTTCGATCCTAGTCCATAGTGTAAGAGTAGTCTTTTAATGTTATGTGCCAACAGGTAAAAATACTATAATGAGAGGGGGTCAGACCTTTATCGGGACTCAGGGATCAGGTGTTTTAAAGCTCGGGATTTCGGGATTGATCCTTTCGGGGTCAGGGAATTCTTTTTTCGAATTTCAGGATGTCGGGATTTAAATTTCTTTAAATTTGGGACCTCAGGATTTCATGTTTTTAAGCCCGGGATTTCGGGATCAGGACCCCTCTGACCGCCCCCTCTATAATAGTGGCCGTGTACAGATAAGCTAGTATACTACATGATCTTAAATTTGGCGAATGATTTTCTCATATCATGCATATGAATGGTCACATTTTGTCAAGGCGGGACTTTTAGTATGGGTTTTGTTCATTGTTAAAGGTTGTGCACTAACATGTTACCTATAGTTGCTTACAGCCACCTCATTTGGTGCCTGGTGGATGGCAATTATACCGCATCTCCTTATTTTCATATAACTTATAAATAAACAAGAAAAATGCAGATAGTTAACTCTACTAATTTATTGAAGACACCATGCTAGCTACCACAACTAAGTTCTTACATTAAAGTAACCAATCTTTTTTTTCACAGGCCCATCCTTGCAATAAATGGTACAGGCATCTAAAATATTTGTGGCCAACAGCAGGACGGCATGTTTTATAATCATAAATTACATTCTTTTTGTGAAAGAATAATATCAACAAATGGAAACATTTATATTCTTTACATTTCAAGCCTTACTTTCAACAGTATGTTCATAAAAAGACAGCATAGCAGTGTAGGTTACTCAAGCGATGAAAATTTACGGTGCTCCGGGCTACGAGAATATGCCGCTCAGCTAAACCACCACAAGAAAAGGAATTGTTAACCTAAAAAGTTATTTACCTTGTGCAAAATTAAAATATCGGGATGATATAACGACATCACGCTATGAAATTGCCATTAAATGATCTAATGAGTTATTATTCAACAAAAATTCCGCACATTCCAATCTTCTTTGTGGATTTACACCATTAGTAGGACACCTGTGCCTCGATTTCAAAACAAAAATAATCTCTAAAATGTAAAATAGATTAAATGAATATTTGTATATATTTACAGTATACATAATAAACCAAATATCATCAACGCGCACTCGAATTATTTACTTTATTCATTATGTAAATATTAGTGTTTTGAGACTATACATCTCAAATCTCCCTAATGACCCAAAAGCATGACCAGAAGGTACGATTTAATGGCTATAATATGACATATAAATATATAAGTGAAAACAACTGAGAAAAATGCAAGAACCAAAATAAAATCATGAAGAAATGTTGAATATCCAAGTTAAAACGGGTTCATAGATTTACTCCAAAACACCCTAAAAGTTAAACACACCAAAAGAGAGAATGTCCAATAAAAAAACAGACAATATGTATATATTTATACATATACCATGACCATAAATAAAAACGATGAAAGACAAACAACAATAGCAAATATTACTTAGAAAACTTAAAACTGAGCAAAACAAATCAAACCAAAAACCGGGAGTGAACTCAGGTTCTCTGGAAAGGTAAGAAGTTCCTGCTCCTCCTGTAGCACCCTGGGAGTCAGTATAATGATGTGTTCCGGTAAGGTGACATGTCTTCCTGCGGACTGTTACCTTGTGAACTAGCATGTTAAAAATCCAGCTCAGCGAGTTGGTCTACTGGGGCCTGTTCTATACTAAAATGATGTGCATGGCGATCTACCACAGAGCGAGGCGAGGCGAAAATGTTTGCCGAGCGTAATGAGGAGAAAAAATTTTTGGGACCATTTTATGCAGAAAATGATATTTTTTTTCAGTTTTTAGTCATAGGAGGGTTAAAAGAGGTGCTACATCGTGTACATTATAAGGACTTATAGACAATTCAGGCAAAACTATTCAGAATTCTTTTGAATAGAGTAAATCATGGTAAATTGAATACATAACCAACACATTTTTGTGAGACAAAATTTACTCAAAATTTTCCAAAAATCTGCCCTTCAGGTCTTAGCAGAAACGAACTTCTCCATTACTTTGCCAACATTCACACTGAAATCCTGATGAATATGCATTAATGCTAGCGATGATAACCTATTGTTATTCATGGTTGATCGTACATATGTTTTCAACCAACGTAGTACACTGAACAATCTCTCCGCAGTAGCACTTGTTACCGGCATTGTCAACATAATACTCAAAATAGTATCTACAGAAGGATACAGCACTGGGCTTACCACATCAAGTGTCTCACACAGCGAAGTTGGCATCTGATCATCGAGCAACCTCCCTATTGAATTTGTCTAAATTACATGCCAGGTCAGTCTCATATGTCTCAAACAATGTTGCGATTTGTTCGTTGGTTATATTTCCTACAACAGGAGGAAGCAGGTACTGCCCAAAGAAGCGATTTTCTGATGATATATCAAACGAGACTCCAGTTCCATAATCATGTGGTCTATGAACGCAAAATATAATGAAACTTTCCAATACTGTTTTGGCGTGTTTGCAGGGTGATTGGCTCTGATAGTCTGTCGACCACATCGCCTCGGCATTTTTTCAACGATATTGAAGGGTTCAGATAAATCTAATGCTGATTGGTACATCTCATTCCAAACCAAATGCTGTTATTTAATGACATTTCATCAATTAAAAAAGCGACAACATATTATATATATATGTATTTCCTTTAAACATTTTATTCATATTTTTTTTGCCCTTTTTTTTCAGCATGCCGATGTGCACTTAACTGCGTGTTGGTGTATACGGAGCTACACGCCTGGTCTAGTACAAAGCAGGGTTAATATTCATATTTCATTAACATGTTCCCATCCTAAATATGCATATCAATTTGCCACTGGACATTAAGCAGCCATCCATCATCCTCATCATATCAACTGGGAGATATATACTTCTTATGCAGGCGCTGCTAGAATGTTGTAACAAGAAATTGAAAGTTTATAATTGGAAAAACTGAAATAATCTCTTTTTCCATAAAGTTTTTTATTTTTCTGAAGAAGAAAAATGCATTTAAAATCTATTTATCTAGTTCCTGCAGGTGCACAATTTTGACTATTCAGAGTAAATTTAGCAGTGAAAAAATGGCCATATTTTAAAATTCCATTTGGTGAACCTTAAATATTGACTTTTAAATAATTTTTCACATTTTTGCCTATAATTTGGAAAAATATAATAGATATAAGTATAACCAGTGTAGACAGCAAAGATCATCAACAATACGATAACTACCATTGTCTGCAAAGAAGCCAAAATGAACCAAAAATTTTGGATGACTCCTTATTGGAGCCGTTGCCCTGAAATTACCATTTTCACTGTTTATTTTTTTGGTCTATAATCTGGAAAAGTAATGATAGATCATGTAGGTAGAAACTGTAGACAACAACAATGAGCTAGCAACACAAGATAAACAAAAATGGCCTATTATTACAAGGTGATCTATTCAGGCTCTTAGGAGTCTCTTGTTTACTTTAAATACTTGTACAATCGTGTATTGATATACATATTGTTAAGTAATATTTATATTTCAAACAATGCTTTTGCTTTTATTGTATTTTTGAAATTCATTATTTGGTATCTGAAAGCAACTGCTTTGATGTCTCTGTATGATAATTTTCCTTTGGTGTCTCTATGATAATTTTCCTTTGATGTCTCTGTATGATAATTTTCCTTTTCAAGCTACATGACTGAGCGTGGATTTTCTCATTCCAGTAGAGTGAGAACATGATGGTGTCATAAAGCCAATGTCATTGAATATGACTAGGAAAATAATGATAAACAAATTATCTATGGTCTTTCAACTCATGGAAGTTTCTCGGCTGGGTCCCATCTTGGTGTTATTGTCCTTGTCGAGATTTCTGCCAAGAAACCCTCTGGTTTATAAAGTCATAAATAATCTTTAATTTTAGTCTCTCATAAATTTGTATAGATTGGCTCTTGTATTTTGTGTGTTCATTATGTTATATACTCTTATTACTACTAGGGGGTGTTTAACGACCTTGACTACCCATGAGGGTCTCGCACTGTTGATAACACCTATAAGTAAATGAAATGGCAAGTTTGTTGTTCTTGAGATGGTAACGAATTATAGAGGCAAAGACAAGGGCACTAGTTGGTTTTAAAATGTTATTTGCTATGAGATTTCTTTTTTGGCCAAAGCGGGGACTTTACCATTGCTTTATTAGGAGGTACCCATTTTGCATCAGTAACTTCTCCTTAAAGGGGCACTAGCTGTCAAATTCATGTTCACCGATTTCACTCAAATTCTCATATTTGATTTATAACAATGTAAAACATTTATCCAAATTATATAAAAAGTCTAAAATAAACAATATTCCGGGCATGGGCTCGATAATATGGAGCTTCGTGATGTGTGTATTTTAGTCTAGACGCCATCTAATTAACTGTCGAGTTGACCCCCGTCTTCCTCCGATTGCCATATAAGCGATATAAACATACATTTGTAAATAAAGATATAAATAGATAGCAGAATCGTGCATTTGGATTTTTCTATGTCTGTTTAATTTCATATTATAGATTAAAAATATATGTTAATCATCGTTTTTACCTGTATAAGAATGATTTTTTGTGGATCGAATCAGTCAATCAAATGATTTACCTTTGTTTCACTTTCAATGTTGACATTTTTTCCTTTAAATAATTGAACACGCACAATGCATGCGGTATCCATCTCTAGCCAAGGGGTTAAATTGAAGTTCACATGAATACGGATTCAATGAGGTCGAATTATTCACTTGCAAGTGAATAATTCATCCTCAATGTTTCATCTAAAGCTTATTTTGACAAAACTGAACCATACTGGCTGCTAAAAGCGATATATTATTTCACTATTTCACTTTCATTAACTAATGATTGAACAAAAAAAATCATATTTTATATTTTTTATATATAGTAGCTAGTGCCCCTTTAACCCTTTTAATAATTAAAACGTTCTCACAATCTTAACTTTATAATGCTACTGTGCCCCTCCTATTTTGTTTTTTGATCAGAATCATTTCACCTTTTTCTTCAGCTTATCATGTACACACTAAGGTACACATTTATATCCCCTTTATCATTTTATAGGCTTTGTTCACACTTCCTTCAGTTTTTGCTGTTTTAATCATCTGCAAACAAAAGATTTCACAAAATAAACATTTGGGCCTATTACAACATACTATGCGGTATAGGTTTTGCTCATTGTTTAAGGCTGTATGGTGACCTATAGTTGTTAACTTCTATGTCATCTAGTCTCTGGTGGAGAGTTGTCTCATTGGCAATCATACCACATCTTCTTATTTTTATATTTCTTTGAAAACTTTAATGTCATAACAATGGAATGCAAGTATGTATGATGCTTCATGTCAGAAAACTAAGATGTCCATCTTTTCTTTAAATAGAAAGTAAAGGAAAATTTCTATCGAAGAATGTTATTTTACCAATTTCCAGCAGACTTGATTGACCCTATCCAACATTCAGGATTCTCTTTTTAGTAATTGTAACAGGGTTCAGTTAATAGCTGTAAACATGGTAAATACAAAGTTACATTTTGTTCTATTATTTTACAGATGAACATTCAGACCAGGAAATACCTATTGCTGTAATAAAATGGAGAGGAGTGAACATTCATTAGAAGACATACTGGCTCCCATCAACACTAATGACAAATTAGTTTTAGTGGATACATATAATTATAAGTATGAGGCGTCTATAGAATTTGCTTTAAAAAATCACTTACAAAAAAATTTGAAAAGTTCTTTTCTACTCACTTGAATAAAGAAATGAGAGTACAGGTTAAAGATGAATAATAGATGTAGTGTATACATCAATGAGATGGCAATACCACAACCAAAATAACCAAAAAACATCTACAGGGCAACAAAGTCTTTAAAGACAGTGTAGAATGCATATTTTTAACTGACCCACATTATGTGTCATGAATTTTCTGGTTAATTAAGTCCTTTTTTACAGTATGGATATCTGTCTAATTTTTGACAGTTATATGGTGACCTACAGTACAGCTCAGGTAGATTTTGTCACTTCCACATGTCCAACTTGGGTGTCCAATACCAAGCCCTGCAACTTAAACCTTAAATATCATGATTTTGTGAAGATATCATATTGAATTGAAATTTCATACATGCAGTTTGTCTTTTTTAATTAGGCATCAGAGTTTTCCTGAACTGATAAAACGATTGGAAAAGTTGAATAGTCTGGTACTGAACAGTAACCCAGACCCTGACTGGATACCAAGCTTTATCAAGTGTGTGATCTCATGTTATTTACAGTGTACAGAATCTATAAAATTGTCAAGGTCTGTCTTCAAGGTATGTTATGATGCAGGATGTGTCCCACAGCTCTTGTTTCGTGTAATTATCTAGCCACCTCCCTCTCACATTCCAAAATTTCTTTTTTATTGAATATATCCAAAAGGAATTTTATTCTTAGAAAAAAAATTATGGAAAAAATAAATAGATAATAGGTGAACACAAAATTAATATCAAATAACAGTCTTCGCAATCAACCACAGTCCCACCAGCCCAGGCTTGTAAAAATGCTGTTGGGCCAGTAAAAATCATCTCTACAATCCAATAGAATCTAACTAAGATTTTCGTAAAATTAAACTTCGGGCCTGTAGATTTAAAAGTATATCGTGAAGACTGAAATAAACCTGGAAATCACCAGTACAATGTACCTTCCATGCTAATTGCTATGATATTAAATCAAAGTTGAAACCCAACAATGTATCTTTGAAGCCCTCTTCACTCTACAATATAAAAATAAGAAGATTTGGTATGATTGCCAGTAAGACAGCTATCAACCAAAGACCAAAGGACAAGGATGTAAACAACTGCAGATCATACTTAATGGTCCTCAACAATGAGCAAGAGTTCTATATACATAGTATGTAGTTTTTTGTAGATGAAATGCACCTCTGGCATACAAAATTTTAAGCCGGGCATCAATGTTTATATAGAGTATTTGATTTTTAATTTCAGCTTGCTCAAAAATGGTATGATTCCCATTCAAAGATTATAGAGAAAGAGTTTGATGGTTTCTTTTTCTGTTTAATGCAAGAAGGTGACAATGTCAAAAAACAGCTTATGACAGGTATGACTTAAACTCTCTAGTTAGTCTATTTTGTACCAATATTAATTTAGGGGTTTTTATATATGTAATGGACAATTTGTCACAATTGGAGACAACTTCCCTAATAAATACCTCCAGTTTATCCTGCACTATTCATATTCAAATGGTTAGTTTTCATAATTTCTATCCACGTTGTTAATATTTTCAAGTAACAAAAATTACTTGGACATTAACCACAAGGCATCAAAATGAACTATGACATGAATTGTAATTTGAGTATTGCTAATTTCTGATAAAAGCAGGATACCAGAAGTTGATATTTTTACAATACAAATATTACATCAGTTTTTTGTAAAAAAGTTTGCATAGTAAAATGGTCTAATTTAAGATGAAAAATAAAAAGATATTGGATAGATAAATATGAGGCAACATTTCAATTGTACATGTATAAAGAAAAAATATGCTAGAAAATGATGTTCTCTGTAGGATATCTGAAGGCCGCTTATAAGGCCAAAATATATACTTGTTTCCTGTCTAATCAAAGAAAGGCCAGGTCAAATGCTTGTGACTTATGAGTGAGGTAATAATGTCAAAAATGTTTCAGTGGAGATACAAAACGAAAAAGACAAAAGCAACTATTAAATATCAGATTTCAGCCTTTCAACAGGCATAGGTCAGTGTGAGGGTGAACCTGTTTATGAGCTCTCCATTTCTTTAATTTCATGTATTTTTCTTTCTTTTTGTGATATTTTCCTCAACTATTAACTATTTTTTACACAGTATCCAACCTTCTCGAGAATAATGACTATGGAAGAATTTTTTTTGAGAAACATCACACAGAAGTCATAACATGGTTAGATAAAAGGCTGAAAAGGATACTTAAAACCATCCCATTATCTGTCAAGGAGACAGAGGAGATTTATATATACTCAAGGGTATGAATTATTTTAGGAATATTTTGCAGGATTATAAATATTTTTAGAATTTTTAGTCCCATACCGACGAAGTTTGCACTCTGTCCGTCTGTCTGTCCGTCCGTCCGTCTGTCCATCCGTCAGTCCGGCAAAACAGTTTTCCAGACTTTTTTTCTTCATGCTTGAAGATATTGATTTGATATTTGGGGTAGTGTTTTATCATGGCAAGTTACAGGTCAAGTTCGATTTTCACGATTTTAGCTTTTCTCCTTGTTCAGTTAAAGCCCTTTCCCTAGAATTAAATTTTTGATGAAATACTTATTAATTACTAGATTTCTATTCCAAGGGAATTAACTCATTTTTTAACTTTCCCTAGAATTAAATTTATGATGAAATACTTATTAATTACTAGATTTCTTTTCAAAGGGAAATAACTCATTTTTTTTTTTTTTAAAGATTTGTAAAGACATTGTATTAAGATAAATGACATTTTGGATTTTTTTCCTTTTCTTTAGTAAATTGTTTGAAGAATTTAGTGGTAGGTTTGCTCCATTACAATGAATTTTTAACCGGTAGGGGACTATGTACCATGCAATACTCACAGAATGCTTGTTGTTGTTGTTTTACATTTACATGAAATTAACCAAAATAAGTATTCAACCAAAATAAATTTCCGTTTCATGTTTCTTCAATTTTTTATTTCTGTGTTGCTTATTTTTTTCTATAATTTTAGATAAGCTAGAGTTATTTCCCTTTGAGATGTTAATTACATATACTTTTGACATTTCAAAGTTGTTTTTCAAATCTTTACAACATTGACAACATTGATACTTGCAATTTATAGTTGTTTGATCATACACTTCAATAACATATTTTACCTTTGCTTAAAAGTAATTTTATTGACCATAATAAAATTAAACAAAAAAGATACAGAAGATACTAAGGGAACATTTAAAACTTGTCAGTTCAAAAGAAACTGACAATTCCATGGGTAAAAAGAAAAAGACAATAAAAAGACAAACAAATGAACAAAATACTACATAGAAAACTAAAGACTGAGAAACTTGGACCCCCATCAAAAACTCGTGTGATCTCAGGTGATCCAGAGGGGTATGCAGATCCTGCTCCACTAGTTCCACCCATCATGTTTCTTATGGTAAGTTTTTGAAGGAGCAACCAAAGGAAAACACCAGAATTTCCAGAGATCTTATTTTTTTTATTTTTTTTTATTTCAGATAGTATTACAGATGTATCAGTTTTGTTCTTCCACCTTTGCTGTACCAGTATTTGATGACAGAGCTAATGAAAAATCAGTGCAGTGTATACAACTTTTTCAACATCTTATCCAGGTTTTAGCAGAAGAGGTAAAGTCTGTCAACAAGTTTCTGTCTGAAATAGAAAATGTGCATTGTATATTTTATGTGCTAATTATTTTTGGATTTTTAATTCTTGTTTAGAATTTGATGTCTATTTAAATAAAATCTAGTCCAGGAAAAAAATGCACGAAGAAATATTCTTAATTTGGAGAGTATTTAAAAGTAAAGGATTTATGAAAAAGTTGTTTACTGAAAAAGAAACACAAATCTTACATTTTAGTGTACTAGTACTTTCTTCTTTTTGTTCTACATAATTGATATTTTTCATTTCAGTAATTTTTTTTGAATCATGTATTTACATACATTTCTATTTGAAAATCCACAAAACATTTGACACAAAAGCAAACTTAAATTGATTACTCTCAGAATTTTTTTTTTTGGTAAATGCACACTGGAGCCAATGGAAGATGAAAAGGTTTTAACAGAAACAGTTTTTCAAATGGAATATTGGTATAATGCACTAATATATATTTCCTTTCAACAGAAATATGCTGCAGATTGTCAATTTATATGTGGAACAGCTGTGAGCCTCTTATTGGAGAAACATGATGATGCAGACACTGGTAGAACTATATTCTGGAATATATACAGGAAGATTGGATTAGGTATATAAGACAGCCTGAATGGGGGTCATTCCTTTTTTTATTCTTTAATTTATTACACCATTTTTTCCTTTATTCTTTTTTAATTTTGCCCATTGTTCTTCTTTCTTTATTCTTTTGTCTATTTTTATACGACCTCAAAAAAATTTTGTGGTCATATATTGGTATCACTTCGTCGTCTTAGTCGTCCAAAGACAGTTGGTTTCCGGACAATAACTTTAGTATAATTAAATAGAAATGTATGAAATTTAAACACAAGGTTTATAACCACAAAAAAAAGGTTGGGATTGATTTTGGGGGTTATGGTCCTAACAGTATAGGAATTAGGGACCAAAAAGGGGCCCGAATAAGCATTTTTCTAGTTTCCAGATAATAACTTGTGGAATGGTGTATGGATCTCTCTGAAATTATACCACAAGTTTCCATACCACAAAGGGATGGTTAGGATTTGCTTTTGGGGGGTTATGGCTCAAACCTTTTAGGAATTAGGTGCAAAAAAGGGGGAAAAACAAGGGTGTCCTGGTTAATGGACAAAAACTTTAGTACAAAACATAAATTAAAGCAGTGTAAGGGAGGTAATTCAAACACATCATTTGAATAACGTCCCTTACACTGCTTTTAAATTATGTATAAAGAAATGGTTAATGGACAATTTAAAAGCAGTGTAAGGGAGGTAATCCAAACACAACATTTTGATTACCTCCCTTACACTGCTTTGAAATTATGTATAAAGAAATGCATATTTATAAGGGAAGACCAGTAAAAATATCTGCAAATGTTGCATATTTTTTTATACAAAAAAATCCATATGAAAGATTGGATGACACCATATTTTAAATTCTATTATAAAATAGATTAAGTTAGCACTATGGTAAATTTAAATAGGTAATTATGGTTGCAAAACTCCATTGGAAATTTGAATTGAGATTATGACCATATCTTGAGGGAAAGAATTTTTTGGGGAGAAAAGGGGGGGGGGGGGGGGGGGGGGTAAAAAGAAATTGTGGGGGGTCAATTTTTTCTCATTTCAGATTTCAGAAATTTAGAAGAAAAATTCTTCAAATACTTTTTTTTTTTGGCAAAAAAAAACGGGGGGGGGGGGGGGGGGTCAATTCGCCAACAGCAAAGTGTATGTAGTGTAAAAGCAAAAAGTTGAATATAAATTCAAATTATATAACCAATTCTAAGTTCTTTGACTACAGTTATTCTGTGTCAGAAACCTATTATGTGTCAAATATTTAATTACATTCCAAATTCAGACCTGTTTAAGCGCGAATATTGTGTCCATTTTTGCTGCAACTGTTCAGGGTTGGACCTCTGTGGTCGTATCCAGCTGTGCTCGGAGAAGCAATTTATTTTCTCTATTCTGTATTTTTTTTGCCCTTTATTTTGGACTTTTTACCCATTATTATCTATTTTGTAACCCCCTTCAAGACCATCATATATTGTAGATGTATCAAAAGGTTATAGTTGGGTTGCACACTTTTGGCAATTTATTCAGATATATTAAAGTACAACTCGCCTCTGTCATAATGGCTTCTTCCAAACATACACACATTTCTGTAATAATCGAGAAGTTGGAATATATGGATGAATAATATTATACAGATATGACTAGTATCAAAGATTTGTTAACAAGGGGAATATTAAATATAAGGGAGCTTTGTATCAAATAGAATTTTACAGGGGGGTTCATAAATCATTTTATTCATTTGCAGTGCATTTATCATTTAGTGATAATGTTGAAGAGGCTGTCTATAGAGATTTTTATTTTAAGTTTACAATGCCTTTTAATATGTGATTATCTGGTTAAATCCAAAATATTTAATATTGATTACTAAGCATAGACATTGTTTGATTACTAATGTCTACCACAAGTTATATACAATTGGAATGTTATGTTTTCAAACTTAGTATGCATGTTCATTACGATGTGAACATTTGAAATTATATGCCAAAGTAAGGTTTGGACCCCAATTACATTGTTCATAGTCAAAACTTGAACAAAAACTTATTTTGTAATAGAAGATATTATGAAACCCATGAACCCCCTTTGCTAAAAGCCAAAAGTTTACATTGATTAATGAGAAGCTTGTTTAATCTTTTTTTTTTTATTTTAGGAGAGGACCTCATCATAGATGTGTTCTCTATAAACAAGAGCCAATCTGAGGAAGACATTCCCAACAAACCTACAACTGGACATATAGGAATAATTAAAGGAATGTTATCATGTGGAAACAAAATTTTACAAAATGGAGCTTTTGTTCTAAAATGCTTTCATAAAATTATTAATTTCTGTAGAGGACCTTTATCATTTCACTACCATGCTTTCAATTCACTGGAACAGTTGCTTAGCCAGGTTTTACAGATAGTTACTGTAATAAAAGTGTTGTCTGCTGATGCAGAATTAATGTCTGCTATTCCAAAAATAGTTTCAGAAACCATAGATATCGTGTGGCTAAATTGGGATAGCCCTGTACAAGATGTACCTCAAATAGTCATTAGAATCTTCTCTGGGATGTTACAAATATGGCAACATGGTTATAAACATTGTGGTTGTCATGACATTATACCTGATTTGTTGTCAAGGTTACGTAATATGTCTTGGTATGTCAAAAGTCAATACAGAATCATCAGTGTGCTACTGTCTTTTATGGATAGTCAGCTGGTAAGGATCGTTTTTATGTATAATATAAAAATTCTGACTTTCTTTGCCTATGCAAAAAATAAGGAGATGTGGTAGGATTGCCAATGAGACAACTTTCCTCTAAAAAAAAAATAGAGTAAAAGAATGTAAACAATTTTTACTCAAAGTATGATCTACAACAGTAAGCAAAATCCATTCTGCATAGTAATTTATAAAAGGCCTGGGGTAACATATGTGAAACAATTCAAATGAGAAAATTATAGGCAATAATATGAAAGGAAAGCCAATAATAGCAGGTGTCAACCTACAACAACAACCATTGGACTTAAGACGTTGGACTGGCACATTAAGAATGTTGAAGTACCCTCATGTTATAGTAAATGATTGATTTTGATTGGTGTTCCCAAATACAGAACATTAGCATCATTATAACATTAAGATGAAAAATAGAATTAATACAGTAATAATGTTGATTGATATGCATACTCTATGTTACAGATTTTAGATAGTGATATTAGAAACAGACTTTTATTGTGCATGTCATCAAATTATCTGGCTCCAAGTGGTGCTGACGTTTATAAAGCATTTCTTATAAAGATGAGGTCAGTTCTATGTTTTTCTATATGAACATACAATTTATACATTCATCAAAAGATATGTGTTAAATGTCCATTTGATTAATAACCCCCAAAAATGATATATTGATTGACATTGGCACTATTTAATTAAATGAGCAGACAATTTTAGGTAAATATTTATAAATAGAATTACATATTATTTTCACTTGACTGTAATTTTTGAATTAAGATTATCTCCCCTAGACATATTTGTATTAAATTGAATTCAAGAAATGGCAATTTTGATTGCTTTTTCAGAAAGAATTTGAAATTCTCATACATTTTATAACTTGTTGGTGTGTTCATAATCCTTTTCAGACAGGCTTTTTTCAATTCTTTTATTAACATTGGAACCATATCCAATGTAGCAAAAAAATTGAGGTAAGGATTTGCTATTGTCATAGATGTTTTTTTATATATCAGTTTCAAAGGAATCTTCTGTGAAGAAAATTTTGTCAGGATTATAAATGCAAACATGGCTACTGACAACCTTTCTACTGCACTTATGACATTGAAGGGATTTTAAGTTACAATGAGCTTGTGATTAGACTGTTCATTGAGATTCATCTTTTTTTTAGATCACAAGGAGAATTTGAAGAAGTTTGGACAAGTCAATGGAAGAGAACAATTATTGAAGGATTGACTAGTGATAACAGGTATATAGAAAAAAATCAAATACATATTAGAATTTGTCTTATAAGTCTGTTAATGTTTTGGTCATGGTTCTAGAGGCTTCCTCACATTTTGTAAACAAAAGAAAATGGCGTCCATGACATGTGGTCAAACCTACACATGTTACAAAATTATATCTGACAAAATTCAGATTTCTCTTGGCAAAAGGGATTTATATGTATATTGCAATAAATTATTCAGAAGAAGGTACATTCAGTCTAAATTATATTTCTGATTCTGTGAGCACTTAGAGTTTTATCAAAATTCTCCCAACGTATTTCTCTTGTACCGTATATTTAATAAATAAATTCAAACCATTTGAATTTTAAGGGCATCTAATTCGCATTACAATGGAAGACAATGAATAAAGACAACACTTTATTAAGAAATAGTTCCTTTTATTAATTAAAAACAAAATTTTCTTGTCTGCAAGATTTTAATTGCATAACTTCCGGGTCCATTTCCTGTCAGAAAAACATTAAAAATATCCGATTGTGCATGGTTTTGAACAAATATATATCAGAATATTCTTATCCTATTTGCCGATATATTGTTTTATACGATATAATTAACATTAAACGTATAGGGAAGGGTTTGGTGTTTTGAAATAATATTACAATAGCTGATATATTCATTTAGCCGATATCTGATTAGGTGGAGTCTACTGTACTATAATGTGAGACTTATTCAATACTTCTGAATAAAACATTGATCTTTAGTTCTTCAATAAAAAGTGCTACTTTCTTTATGAATAAGCCTCATGAAATTACAGTATCTTAAAAAAAATGCTGAATTTACCAAAAAGCTGGTTGTTTCAGACACACATGCAGAAATAAAATATTAAGCACATGCTAAAAGATGTTTACCTAGATAGTGTGTGTTTTTGCATTGCTGTTTTCATTTTCTGGGTGACACTAGTGATCCTTGTTAATTTAGCCAAAAAACATTACTGAAAATGTTCTACTTTCACGTTAAAATAGTGTAAATATCTTGTGATACTCTACTTTTATGACATCACAACCAAATTATAGCTTTAAGCTTATACTTATATTAACATTTTCTTAATGAGCAAACTGTATATTATATACACAACATGGAAATAACCAATATATACTGCAGAAGAATTCATTTTGGTAATACACTAATGTTTGCTATATCGTACTTTATGGCGTTTACAATAGCTTATATAAGTTCTATTCACTATTTGAATTCTAGAATACTGTAAAGTAGGATATTATTGCAAGTCTTTTTTTAATGTGAATAATGCGACTGGGTTATATATGTATGCCTCTTTTCCTGAAATCGTAATAGTTAATCTCAAATTTTGGTTTGTCAAGTCAAAAAATAAATACTTGCAATAATTGCTGAATTTACAGTAATGCTATAAAATCTTAAAAATAACTGAATCAGCACAGATACGATATGACACACAAACAAATGAGCGTTTACTTTTAATTTTAAGGTTACAGAAGGGTAATCTAGGTTTTTATATTGCACACGAACAAATGAGCTTTAATGTTTATTTTGAAGGTTACAGAGGGGTAATGTAGGTCATTATTGGATATCGTCAACATTGAAAATTATACCTGAAGTTAAAGACAGTCTGACTGGAACTCTCACTGAAATGTTGGAGAAAGATTCTATACCACGACACCTTGTACTCCATGCTTGGGTCACTGTGGCTCAAGTTGTCAGATTATATACTGGAGACTTTCCAATGGTTAGTATTTCATATCTATATGTATATTTTATAAATAAATGAAAAGGGAAAATAAGATAGCAATGCACTAATAAAAAACAATAATGCATGTTAAATTTTATATTAAACATGTGTATTTACCCCGGTATGGTGAAATGTTTTCAAATTAAAATCTGAATTAATTTTAAAATCTTTTATATTTAGATTGCAACACTGACAAACATTCTTTAGAAGCTTGAATTGTATGCATGGATTATTCATTTCCACTTTTTAGTGGATTTCAACTATTTTTCAGTCCTGATTTATCCATATTAATTCCTTTATACACACAATTTGGGTTCCTGTACAGCCATTTCTGCTTTTTATTTCCACAAGGAAAATTCCCTGTAATAACTAAAGGAAAAATTTGACTTCTTCTAACAAATCAAACCTGTCCACCAAATATTGTCATCACTTTTTTCTTCAAAACCATTGGGGCCCTGTAGGCCAACTGGTCTAATTAGTTCAACTACTGTAATCTCTAGCCAGTCAACACTGAGGTTGTGAGTTGCAGCCCTGCTCGTGCAGGTGCACTCGACTCCAATCTTAATTGACTAGGATTGTCAGTTTTCCTACCGAAGGTCGGTGGTTTTCTACGGGCAATTCTGTTTCCTCCACCAATAAAAACTGACAGCCACGAAATAGCACAATATTGCTGGAAGTGGCGTTAAACACCAATCAATCAATCAATCCAAACTAAACTGAATGACTTCCATATTTTGTCAACTGACAGTAATGAGTTGTAATGTGTTACACATATATTTTTTAGGATACTGGTTTATTACATGAGTCTATATACAGTAATGATGATGATATCAGATCAGAAGCATTCAGTGTTCTCTGTTCCTCACTAAAGAAAGCTGGTAATGTATATCTATAAAGAAAGCTATATTTCTGCTCTCATTTGTCCATATGCATTTTCAATATTTTCTATATCTAGTTGATCTATAATTTTTCTTATTCATTCACACAAACTTTTAAAAGATGAAAAAAAAATCCTAAATTTTTATAGCTTTTAAAGAAATGAAATAAGAGATATTGCTTGATTTTATATATGGTAATGCTTTTAAATTGGTGATTTTACAAATTGATGTAATTTTTTCTTTAAAGGGAAACTTCGTAAAAATATAAATAAAATGATATTATTTTCATTATGTATAAAAAAGCACACAAAGTCATAAATATTAACGTTTTATTCCACTAGATAAGAGATCAGCATCGATTTTTAATTGAGATTATCAATTCTCTACATGTCGATTAAAAAAACATGTGATATCTATAAACCACAAAGTACCAAAACAAGCAGGGACTAACGTAGTTGTAAATCAGTGTCGAAATCACTTGTCAGGCGTATGGTTGTTTTAACTGGACAAGGTAATGACAAAAGGAATCCCAGTTTCTCGGTTTAAAAAAAAAAAAGAATTATACCAAACAAGTTGTACTACCTATAGGCAAACTTTTAAAACTAACTTGATAAGGAACAATGTTTAAGAAAAGTTTAAGAGTCGGAAAATTCGGCCGATTGGACATCTTTTTTTTCTTAAATAACTATGGTCTCGTTTTTAAACTGTTATTTTTTACTAAGTTTATGAAAAAAGTAAATATATAGGGGAATTACCTTAGAGCAATTACTTTTAAGGATTCTCTCAAAGTTTAAACTTTAAAGTCATAATTAACTAGCGGTGTTCCGTGTAAAATTGTTTTCATAAATCTAATTTGGTCATAAGTCTTTTATGCAATACATTTATTCAAGTCTGTCCTTCTCTTATTTGATCATCAGTATGGCTAAAGGAATTATTGCCAGAGGTATTGTGAGGTGACACGTCCAGGTATTCAAGCGATTTCCTGTCGGGCTAAAAAAAACTCTTTATTACATAGTTACATAATGCAGGTTCATTCATCGCTTTACTGCTGAGGGTATCAGTGTACACGGCCGGTAACTTGGAAATTTCCATTTAAAAAGTATCAGATGTAAAATAATGTGTACATTTTTTGTCTTCAGTCCCACAGTGATATACTAGTCATTGCTAAACTCATACGTGTATACAATTTTACTACAACTTGTTTATGAATGACATTTCTGGTGTAAAGAATGATATTTATAAAAATCTTAATAATTTTAGCTAAAGATTTGAGGGAATAAAATCTATTAAGATACTTCCTAGGGTAAAATTTGGAAAAATGTAAGAATATACTCGTTGTCAATAGTTATGGAAAATTTGAAACATAGCCTATATATATTTATTTCACAAAAATGTATGCGCTTGTCGATCATTGGTTTATACAGATAGAAAGTTATGGAACTATAGATAGTCACAATTTAAAATATATATTGAAAATAAGAGAGAATAGATTCATATAAATTGCATACATTTAGCATATTTCTGTACATATTAGGAACGGGTATACGAAAAAATTTCTCAAATGTTGTAGGGGAAAAATACATTTGGTATGTAAATATAAAAAATACACACATCTGGTAGAAAATAAAGTCTCACCAACTATAGCATTTCATAAATAATTGTCATTCTTGGTTGAAATGATGAAAGGAGTCATTAAAAAAGGTGCATGTATGCTGTGATAAGTAGGGGTTATCCAACTCCCTAGAAAACGTGTATAGCTGCAGTTGGGATATACGTTAAATTGTAGAGTCAATTTATGATTCTAACTTTACTAAAAAACAAAAATCATAGTTCCAAAAGGGAATTTAAAAAAAACCAACTCACTTCTATTGAAAGTTACAGATGAAAAAAGTAAATTTACAAAAATAATTAGTTCCTGGATGTAATTTAAAAACTAAATTTTAGTTGAGTAAAAAATGTTTACTCAGAATTTAAACCATTTAACCAACCTAGGACACCTTTTAAAAGATGACTGGTGATGCTTTACAATCGTGATAATTTCTGTGACATTGTACATTCTTTTTAGGTAGTGATTTACCTTAACATTTTCGGGTATTACAGCGGAACTTCAAGTTTATTACCAGAAGTCCATTACTAGGGTAATGGACTTCTGATAATGGTCATGCTTCACAATTGTGAGAATTTCTTTGACATGGTACATTCTGTATAGATAGTGATTTACCTTGACATTTCCGGGTATTACAGAGCCACATGTATATTACCTGTATATGGTAAGGTGCCGTCCCATGAGGTCTTACGTATACAGGTTCACGTTTATAATGGCGTTCAACACCTTTTTCGGATATAACAAGATTTTATGACATTCACACTTCTGAATGTTCTGTATACCAAATTCATATTTTATTTTCAGACCGAATGAGAAAATATTTATTTTCAAGGAAACATATTGAGTATCAAATTAATTTCGGTGTTTATTTTTTTACTTGGTATTAAATCACAGAAATTTTAAAATACTACTGCTTGTCCGCTATTAAGGAACATATATACTGTTCCCAGGTTTAGAGTGGGAATAATGTGTCCTTCTGAAGAATATGAATGACAAGTCTTGCAAAGGTACAAAACATAAAGACATAAAAAATCTGATTCCTCCAGTCTGTCTTAAATACAAATCACAAACGTTTTCTTGCACTGAATGATATACGATTAACACGTTTCAGCCGAACATAACACATTTATAATTACATCCACCTTTACACTTTTATTTCCTATGTATATTCGATATTTAGATTTGAATAAATATAAAAAATATAACCCTTTTGAATCATGAAAACTTTCCAAAGTAAACTCCTCATTTTGAAGTTGATTGTAATACAGTTACAGTGGTTTTTTTCTTTTTCTTAAACAATGAATATCTAACAGTTTTGAATCATAAAAGATTTCTGAAATCAAAAACAGTTTGTTCTATTGGATAAAAATAAAGGAAGATCGTTAGCTGAAGTAGCCTGAAGAAGGGACAGACACAGTTTCACCAAAAGAGCTCCCGTTAATTATCTAAAACTTACTTCAGTGTTAAATGATTTTGTGTGATTTCGTTTTTTTTAATCACCGTGTGAACGAGGTTTTATACATGTTTATATATGAATGTTTTATATATGTGAATATTTACAATACATTGAAGCAATAGTATTAAAAATTTTCCATGGCGAACTATGTATTTTTTTGGTCCTATTCTACATAGGCAAAGTTGACTTTAGATGGTTTCCGATATTGCTTAAACACCTTTTGGCCAGGTAACACATACAAAAATTTTAAATATTTAGATTAGAGTGTTTCCGTACATATTTTAACCGTATAAGGTAAATCAAACGCGCTTTAGATACTCCAATTTTATATAAAAAAATAATTTCGTTTTGATCAGTCAAATGATATACTTTTATTATAACACTTGATTATTAGTTTCCCCAAGATTATTTCTTTGTTTTTAAACTGATTAAATAAAAAAATCATTTTGATTTTAATAATTTCTCCTTTAGATTTAATTTGAATATTATTTATCATTTTTATAACATCAGATTTATTCATCCTACATGTATATGAAATACATGTTAAATATCATGATTTGGCTAACAACGGACCTTACCCTTAATATAATTTAATATTCCATGGCGATCTATTTGTATTTGCCAACAACCTTTAATATCTATTTTAACTTTGTGTATTAAACTCGACCTTCTGTCTTATAATCCAATCGAAATGACCTTCACACCTAGCACGGTGTGCCCTGGAGACACGACTTTATACCGATCTGCAAATTACCTTGATTTTATATCAAGCCTTCCACGGATATTGCCAGGGAATAATACACATTGTATTAACATAGTCCTAGTGTAGAAATGTTTGCTTGGATTAAGGGTCAAAACGTACCATAACTTATTGTCCTTACAGTTAAAGTTATATTTTCTAATTTTTTTTCATCATCTTCGTTGGAAAAGAAAATTAAAAAAAAAAAAAAAAAATCTCTTTTTGCATTGTCAACATGTCAAAAATCAAAATGTAAACATAGAAAATTTTATCTCATGAATCTAAAAAGTTGCATGTCTGTTGTTTTATTTTCTTACTATCAGATGGTAATTAGCTATCAAAATTAGTCATCGGCGCACTTATGATTACATTAAAATATGATTAAAGACCAAGACTTTAAATGATTGTACTTTAAATACCAGCATGCAATACTAGGAGTTAACGTCACTTACTACAGGAAGTAGTCAATAAAAAATTCATTAATTACTGATTTTTTTCTTTATTACTGCACATATAGCGATAAAACTTTGTGAATATGTATTTTATGTTAAAATGAACATATTTAAACTATAAGTAAAAAATCACGAATTTTCTCTTTAATGAAAAATGAAGGTTTATTTCAATGTTTAAATGAAATTGTATTTTCTTACCCTCTTCCAAATATTGAATAAATATAAAGAACTTTTCAACTCAGTTTTAAGTTTGTGTGACTTATGAAAAAAACCATATTATGCTTGTTCATATTTCAAGTAGGGTTCAAAATTAATTTCAGAGGTGAAAGGGTCAAACTTTTGCATTTTACAAATTTAAGGTCCCCATTCAGGTTTTCAAAAGGTAATGGACATCGAAAGTACATTGATATGAATCCCTGAAAAACCTATAATTAGAAGAAGATGTAACTTATTTAGTCATAATGAAATATGTTGATAATTTTATTTTTTGGCAGATAGAATGAAGGAAGAAGAAATCAAGTTACTAAAAGAAACCATTCCATACAATTTAAAGATAGACTCTGCACCATTCAGGCACCAGTTGTCATCTAACTTGAAAAAACTTCTTGTGAGAATACGAGATAGTTACCAGGCAGTCATTAAAGATCAGGATCATTCTGCTTTAGGTACGAATAAAAAAGATATATACAGAACTGAAAGGTTGAATCTTTAATAAAAAATCTAAAATCTGACTGACGAAAACATATCAACTTGATGGAAACAAATGTTAATAAACTGATGATACAAAGATATGTCTTGACAATGTGACTTAAACACAAATTTGAACAAATTTTGAAACCACCAATACCAGAAAACAAGTTAAGAGGCCCAAAAGTCTTGCATCTATGACTTTCTTTGCCGTCCAGGAAAAAAAATTAATAGATCGTGGAACCATTTATGATGATACAGCACAAGTGATGTAAAAATTTACACCTTGACCTTTATGTATTGATCATAGAAAGAAGGGAAAGTGTAGGATCATTCCCCAACCAGGTAAAATCAAAAACCTTAAAATTGGTATTTGCTATTTGTTGCTCTAATGGATACTACACAGTATTTAAGAGGAAAGTTTGTAGTTTTAATAAAATGCCAAGATGAAGAAGCAAGTCTTGGAGTATACTGTTTTCTAGTGAACTAGTTTGGTATAATCTTGACTCACTGTGTTGTGTTGGTCCCATACCAGCAGAGTATATTTATATGACATTACATATGTGGGTAATTTTTGTTCCTGGATACTGACTTCAGATTCTTAAAAATGGTAAATCATATATTTTACATAATTTTTATGTGAATGAAATATGTAAAATTTGAAATGTTTACAGTAAGATACTTACCAGTAGAAGTTATTATCAGCTGTATTTTTCAGTATTTACAATTTATTCTTTTAATAGATAGATCTTTGGAGTTTGTAAGCTGGTTTTACAAATTGAGTATTGATAACCTAACTATTGGTACTTGTTTCCAAAGAAGGAAGACTTGCTTAGATTTCATACAAACGACATTGGAAATATTCTTCCCAACAAAGATAGAACTCCCTCTTATCACACAGGAAGCAAGAAAAAGAGGATTGTGGGATATGTACTCCCATGATTCCTTGCTATCAGTATTACACTGTATATTGGATGGAGCAGATGAGGTAAGATTTGGAACAGGTTTTGATAAGATTATTTGATGTCATGTTTTCACTGAAATAATTTTTTACTTATTGCTGAAAACCTAAAGGTGGAATAAAATTGGCGGGGAGATGTAAAACATTGGCTGAATTTTATTGTACATTACCCGTAAAATCCTACTCTCATACAATCCGTAATTTCTGACAAAGTTTATTTTTTCTTTTATTGTAAATAGCTAAAAATTATGTGTATTGTAAGAATGAAAACAGAAATGAAATCAACCTGGGTCAGTGGATAGCTAACCAACTTTTAAGTACTATCAAAATGTTGTCTATTTCTTTGTTTGTAGATACAAAATCTGGCTGCTAAATTATTATTAGAATATTATCCATGGCCAGTGACATCATTAGATGCATGTGAAGGAAATGTTGACCTTGCAGAGAGTCTACTGTTGTCTGCTTTTGAATTGTGTGACAGGCCAAAGCAACATGAGAATCGTAGTGGAGTGCTGCTTTGTCAACTTGTATTTGTTAAGTAAGTCAAAGGAACGTTTTAAAATGTTTTACACAATATACAGTTGAAATTACACTTTTTATTTTTCCAAAAATACTAGACAATCAGCTACCTATTTTTCGGTCGTATAAGTCGTTCAACATTTAAGATAATGATATTAACTGTAATTTTTCTCTCTTTTAGATATTTTGAATAAGCCAGAAACACTGTAAACAGTTGAGATACCAAAGATGTTATTATTTTGCAGATTTATATATGAGATGCATTGGTTGTTTTCGTGGTGTTATGAAAGTGGTGAATATACGGTCCTATCAATAGAGAAGGGAGATAACTCTAGCTGTGATAAATTCCTGTTTTCATTGTTTGATCATATAAACCAGGAAATTGAGGAGTCTCAGTCCAACCTGGTAAAGGCATCAATATCATCTCCTCTGCATGGTATGTAATACAGGGAAAATGGCAGAAATATTCCAGATATGTATTCAATTGGTTCTTAGAGGGAAGATTGTTAAAAAGAATGTTGGAATCATTGAATTATTCGAAAAAATCTTTACCATTTCTCCTTCTCATTGATTTCTGGTTTCACACTTGTTAAAATTGTGGCTATTAAAACCTTGAAAGAAAGAAATATTATCTAGAAAGTAAATTGATATGATTTGCTTTACTGTACTTAATGTTAAACTTTAAAAATATAAAGTTTGTTGTTTATGTAAATGTGCCTGAAATTAGAATGAATTGCAATTAAAAGTAAATATGTTATATGTTCATGATATTAAACATACCTGCCAACCTCTTGGAGCTACTATGTGGGGGATCTTACTCTCTCAAGCTCCACGACTGGGGAGATTTTGCCTTACAACTTTTTTTCCTAAAAATGTTGTAGCATGATACACAGTATTTTAATATTTCGGCACAAAAGGATAAAATGTAACTATCAGTATCTATAAATTGATTTAAATAGTTAAAACATCATTATTGATGATCTTGGATGTCTTTTAACAATGCAATTTAGTAAAATGAAACAGAAAGTACTATCAAATTTACTTAAATGATGAAAAAGGGGAATTTTATGTTAAAGCAATAAGTCCAAAAAGGAGATTCCAAAGTCTTACAGGAAAAAGAGGGTGTCTACCTTCTAGAACTGGTGCATTGGCCACACTGTCCATTAGGCACTTGAAATCCTGTAATATACTTAAACGGAGTCTTGAGATGTAGAATGCATGTCAGTAAATAAGCTATCAACCAGCACTAGAAACCCTCTAAAAAGATCTAGAAGAAATGTAATGCTCTTTTTAAGCTTGAATAAGTATTGACACCATATGACAAGCTCTACATGGACCTGATTTTTGTGAAGTAGATAATGAAATCAACAGAGATGATCAAACTTGAACACCAAATTCTGAAATGAAAAATAAAAATTGTTCAATATGCAAAAAAAATACATAAATGCATCACTGACATTGTGCAATTGTTTTACTTTTTGATCAATTATTCTTTTGAATAATTTTAAAAGTATTTTTCCCTTTTTTTTTATTTTCCCTTATTTTTTGTTTTAGGATTTGTTAGTGCCTTGACAACCTGTATAACAGAATTATCTAAGAGACAAGCCTGTAGTGAAAAGACTGAAGAGATTGTAGAAAGTTTCATTGGTCTGAACTGTGATATTGTGACCTCCATGATGGATGTCATGGCAACTGAATCATCTCAAGGTCATTTCTATAAAATAAAAATTTTATTGCCCCTACAGTAGAGGAGGAGGCATTAAGTGTTACTCTTGGCCATCCGTCCATCCTGTCAGTACAATTTGTGGAGTTAAGATTTTTTTCATTCTTGTAAGGTAGTTATAAATTTTGTGTAAAAAAATACTAACTTGCAGTATTTTGCAAAAAGCACAAAACCAAGTATCCATTATAATATAATTTTTTCCTTTATCTACGGTACCAAATGATGAACTGATCACCCAATTATCTATTTTTTAAATGCAAACCAAGTAATAAAGCTAAAAATTTGGAATAACCTGCAATACGTGAAATTCTTTGCAAAATCTTGCCTGCACTTAAAAATACTTGTGTCAGAAAAAATGTCTGTTTTCCAATGCAGTATATATATCTTTTTGATAAGACTGAATCATAAAATCACTTTTACTGTTATCAGCACCATTGAACATGATCTCAGCAAAGAAAGTGTAATGAATTTATGTCTGTTTTGTAGATTCCTGTCCCTCCTTTGCTGAGTTAGGTCAGGCCATGGAAACTTTAATTACAACAACAGAAACGGATTACTCAGAAACAACAACAATATCATTAGAACACCAGTATTTGTTATCTTGGTGCTGGATAAATATTAAAGTAAGAATTTATCTATATTGTGACATTCGAATTTGCTTCATTATTTGTGTTGTAAATATTATTATTTAAAATGTATAATTTTTTATTAATTAAATTATAAAAAAAAAATATGAAAATAAGAAGATGTGGTATGATTGCCAATAAGGCAACTTTCCATCGTAGACCAACTTTTATAAAAATTAACAACTATAGGTTCCTGTATGACCTTCAACAAGGAGCAAAACCCATACACATTGCAAGCTTTAAAATGTCCAGACATAAGTTTGATATGAAGAAATGACTGAAAAGTATGCCATTAGGACAGACAAATGATGCAGCCAGATGTCTAGTAACAGGAGTTTCAGGTAAAATAGAATTTCATGTTTTTTTTTACCAAATTTCGATATAGAAAAAGGGTCAGATTGGCCTCCTGTTGTTCACTGGGAAGACATCAAATTAGTTTATAAAGATGGATTCCATGGATACTGCAATAATTACATTCAACTGTAGCAAGAGTGAGAGTGCAGAAATGTCTAAATGTATATTTTTATCATTGATTATATAATTATAATCTATGAAAGCAAGATTTAAACAACATGTACCAAACATACCACATATCTCTCTTTTAACATTCAATACAGGTGAACTTTACTTATTTTTGATATATTTAAATAAAATTTGTAAAACTCAATGTTTCAGGAATGTTGCTACAGTCTTGGCTGTCTATGTGAACTTTTGTTAAAACAGAAGGAACAGACAGATAGACTTTCCATCATACTGAGAATAAGGGATGTATTTATCCAGGTTTTAACAAAGTGTAGACATAGGGTAAGTGTTTTTTATGCCCCTGCTATTGCGGAGGAGGCATTAAGTTTTTTTCCCTTGTCCGTCTGTACGTATGTACGTACATCCCAAAATTGGTTTCCGTTCTCAAATATTTGTTTGCCCCAACCAAATGTTATGAAACTTATCAATAATGCTTATTACCACAAAACACATATCAAGTTTGAATTTTGGTGGAATCACTTTTATCGTTCTAGAGTTATGTCCCTTATCAAATGGAAAAATTGCTGAATTTTTCGTTTCCGTTCTCTAACTTTAGTTTGCCTCAACCAAATGTTATGAAACTTTTACACAATGCTTATTACCACAAAAAACAGATCAAGTTTGAATTTTGGTGGTGTCACTTTCACTGTTCTAAAGTAATGCCCCTTTACAAATGGAAAAATTGCTGAAATATATTTATTTTTGTTCTCTAACTTTTAGTTTGCCGCAACCAAATGTGATGAAACTTATGCACAATGTTAATTACCACAGATCAAGTTCGAATTGTGGTGGCGTCACTTTTACCATTCTAGAGTTATGCCCCTTTATAAATGGAAAAATTGCTGAATTTTTCGTTTCCGTTCTCTAACTTTAGTTAGCCTCAACTAAATGTTATGAAACTTAAAAACAATGCTTATTACCACAAAACTCAGATCAAGTACAAATTTGGGCAGCGTCACTTTTACAGTCTTTTATAACGTTATTTGCAAGCAGGGGTATCATCTGTGTCCCATGGACACATTCCCCATTAATTTTCTTTAAAAATTGATGAAAATGTTGATTTTTCTTTAAAAATGAATGTCTACTATAAAGTGGTCCATATCATGATTTCGAGGACCAAATTAGTTTGCAAAGGGGTTATTGTGTTTTTCATGTTCCGGATTCAGTTATTCTTTTAATATCTTATTAGGGAATTTTTTTAAGCTATTTCATCTTCATTGGAAAGTTTTGTACATCAAAGTATTTGTACACTAAAGATGTAGACCTCTTTCCGTAATCAAATAACTTTTAAAACAATTTAAGGTGTGAGATTGGTCTGTTTATGAGTATTTATACATTTATTTCTAAATTCTGTCTTGTAATGGGCGTATGCCATTCGCACAGCTTTAATCAATTTTCAATCTTTCATTTGCGACAATTCAATAATTTCAAGATACATTTGTTCCTTTCGAACTTCAGTGCTGTGCTTTTTTCATGGCGTAAAGGGTTTTATTGTCCTTTGATATTCTAAAGGCTGTAAAGAGATTTTTATATCATTTGATATTTTATTGCTATACTTAGTTATTTTAGTGGATGTAAACAGTGCTTTTAACCTTAAAATTGACCTGTACCTGTAAAATAATTAGCGCAAAGCAAATGAAAGAAATAATCAGTGCAAATGAAAGAAAAAATTGGCGCAAGTGAAATGCAGATTGGTCGCAAATGCAAAACGCTGCTTGTAATTTCTTAATTTTAATTCTACTACTGAGAAACTTTATGGTTTCAGCTAAAAGATATGAACGTACCATATGAGGAATAGAACATTAATATGGAAAACAGCAGAATTCAGAGTTTATGTTGAAAATTTCATTTTGTTCTTGTCCTATATTCTTTACTATAAAACTACTAAACATGGATATAAAAGGTTGAGGGGTATGATTTTAATGAGACAACAACTAAACAGCACATATATCATGAAAATAATGTGATGCAGTTAAGAGTTGTGCCCCCTGATTATGCAGAATATAGCCTTATCTTAAGTTTCCTTTCAATAATTTTAGTATGTGAGTAAAAAAATCCTCAAAATTGCAACAGAATGGGTTGGACTATTTGATAAAAATCATCTGTTTTTACCTGAGTTATGTCCCTTAGTAATTCCATATATTTTTTCTTTATTTTTTCATTTACAGTGGCTTTGTTTACTATAAAGCCCAATGATGTGTTTTACCTGTCCTAATGACACATTTTTAATCTTATGTATTTAGATAAAAAACTTCATGTACACAGCAGTTTCTACTAAATTAAAGCAGTAATGATTTAGGTTTGTTTTCTTGTAGGGAGTCACTGAAGGCTGCAGGTCATCTTTTGTACAGTTTATCGGCCATCTTTTCACATCAGACAATGCAGATATAAACTGTATACCAAGGCAGATACTAAGTCAGGTAGTAAAGAATCATTTTTATATATATATTCAGAATTTGTATTGGAGATAAAGATTTCTTCATATTTTATTCATCTTTAAATATTTTCCTTCTCACCCTGGAGGGTATTTTTGAAAATTAAAATACCCTTGATACTAATAGTAATTATGCTTTAATTTATACTGAAAAACTATAAATGACTCAAGTTTTGTATTGACATCAATAATTAAGACATATATTTTAGTTGAAGATAATCTTTCAATTTTAATATTACTTTAAACCAGGATTAAACACAGATGTATTAAATGCTTTTTATACATTTTAAAAAAATTTTGGTATGAATTTTAAGTTGGTAGAAAAATATTAAAAATTATTTTATAAATCTGTGTTATTAAATCATTTTTAATTTTCTGAAAATGAAACAAGATATATATTTTTTTTGAAAAAAAGTGAATTTTTAGGAAATATATTACTAGATTTATTTGTGACATGCTTACCAATGATTCAAGTATTTACTGAAGACCAAAAACAAAGATGTAAACAATCAATACCTGTACTGTATGGTAAGCTATAAAAGGCCACTGAACAACAAAAAATGATATGTTTTGAAATCAGCTACAAACAGTGTGATTTAAACCCCGAAAATCTTCAGTCCAGACTGAATTTGTATGATCTGTAACAGCTACAGTATGTTATCATCTTGTGACAGATTTAATTGCAGAACAGTTCAGGTTGTGGTTTCACATCTGATAACAGTTAACTGAGAAAAGACAATGAATTTAGTTTTAAAGAAAAGAAGTTTTATTATCAAAATACATATGCACTGAATATTCATACATAATGATTTGCTTTTGTTTCATCATTCCCACTGTCCAATGTATGGAATGTCTTTAGAATTAGGATATTTGGATCTAGCTAAATCCAAAACACATTTTGGCATAATTTCCCGTCTGTGATAAACTACCCATTCACTACCTCCTATATTTTTCTTTCTGTCCAAGTACTCCTTAGTATACCATACCCCTAAATTGTCCATTATCTTCCAAAACTGTTTATAAATTTCCTTTCTTATTCCTGAATTTTCTGGTGAAGGTAACTGTCTATGTCCAATCCAAGGTGCAGAGCTATTCGATATAATTACACATGGACCCACCAAACAAAAGGGATACTTTCCCTGGTTTCCGACAGTTCCTTGGGGTTCATTTACTCCTCCACCTAATGCTGATGTTTCTTGTTGCATTTCACCTTCAATTGTGGTACTAACACAAAATTGATTACAAATCAACATGATCAATTGAAATGAAGTTATATGTAAAGATATGGAAACATTAAAAATTGTAAACACACTTTATAATTTGACCTTCATTATACATTCTTTACCAAATGACATTTCAAGTATTTGTAACAAAAGTATAACAAGGCTTGGCATCTGCAAGTCATCAGCTTCTTGTTGTCAAATATATGGTCATAAATTCATAGCTAAAGAGAAACCATACAGTGACTTTCTTCATCACCAAACTGATAAAAATGCGATGTACTTCGGGCTTTAAGTTAAAACATTAAATGAAAACCAAGAAGGGCAGACGACAACCAATTCATAAACTATAGGCTTCTGTCTTGGAACAGACACATAGAAAGGGGTTAAACATGGTTGGCAGCTCTCAAAGCTCTCCTTAACTGGGACAGTGGTAACAGTTAGATCCCATGATGAAACTACACCTATTTCTTGTTTGTTAAAAGTGATAGGATCTGTTTATTTGTTATTTAGGCCTTCCATACTTTAAATACCTGTACTTCGAGCTCTGTAACAAGAAGATCAGCAGGATTACCCATCATCATACAGGCTGTTGTTACAGTGGAGAAAAAACACAAACAGGTAAATACTATAATGCTATTACATTTTTTATGCCCCACCTTGGGCATTATGTTTTTCGGTCTGTGCGTCTGTTTGTGCGTCCGTCCGTTTGTCCCGCTTCAGGTTAGAGTTTTTGGTCAAGGTAGTTTTTGATGAAGTTGAATGTTTTTGATGATCTCTCTAATTTTAATGCCAAATCAGAGTTTTATCCAATTTCACAGTCCACTGAACATATAGAAAATGATAGTGTGAGTAGGGTGTCCTTGTTCAGGTTAAAGTTTTTGGTCAAGGTAGTTTTTGATGAATTTGAAGTCCAATCAACTTGAAGCTTAGTACACATGTTCCCTATGAAATGATCTTTCTACTTTTAATGCCAAATAAGAGTTTTGACCCCAATTTCACGGTCCAGTGAACAAAGATAGTGCAAGTGGGGCATCCGTGTACTATGGACACATTCTTGTTTATTGTTGATTTAGGAGTACAATAAAATTGCCTTCACAAATCACTTTGGTATACTGTGGATTCATTTTTATTTGTGGTATACCAATTTTCGTGGGTTTCGTGGGTCACAGCGAACCATGAATTTAAGAATTCAACGAAGAATAATCTCGAGAAATGTGTATGGAGTCGGATGTTTATTTCCGGTTATGTTATGCAGTTCTAGTATAGTGTTGACTGGCGATAAACATTGTAACATTTATTGAAAGAAGATACAAGTATTTTGATTAAGTCAATAATAAATATATCGAATATCAGTGATAATTTACTTTTTAAAATTGATTAAAACTGTTCATGGAAAATAACTGCAAGTTGTTAATTACCGTGTCATAGTTTGGTTTACTGGTGATTAAAAATCAATAGGATTAAGTACGGGGATATTGCCCGTAGGTAATATTGTTTATGACAGGAACATTTATTTTCTCACCTTTTACTTATATGACTGTTTATTATATCGTGATTAGGGAAATGAGCTTTCAATCATAGAGTTTTGAATGCCTTATAAAATTCCGACAAGAATTTATGAATTGTAAAACAAACAAATAATTAGTTGTCTCTGTCCATTATTGTAATGAAGTTTTCAATGAACACTTTAGCCTAGAATGACCAAGTGAGGATTTTGATAATTCAAAACTTTTTCAATGAACTTTCTTCTTTTTTGTTTGTTTTATTATTGATCAAACCAATGAGGTTATATGATCTCCTAAATCAAAAAGAAATCCGTAAATTACGTATCTGAATTTTTTAATTTTTTTTTGTAATCAGCGATCCACGAATTTACATATACCACGAAACGTCTTTTATTCTCTATCCACAAAAATTGATACCCACGAAAATAAATGAATCCACAGTAACTATTGAATTGTGTATAAAGGTATGTAGTGAACAAAAACTAAAAAAATCTCAATAGTTGTGTTGGTGTACTGTATAAAAACCCCAAAATCCTGATGTAATTTAATATATGTGCCTTTTTACATACTTTATATGACTTATAATTTAATATATGTGCCTTTTTGAATAGTTTATATGACTTTTGTTTTACTCAATATATCAACACAGTGTAGCATCACCATCGGAAATAGTTACCTTAGAAGCAAAGAAAAAATGATATCAAAAAGTATCTTTTCTATTCCATGGACAGTAAAAACCATTCGCTGTACAATTTATCCACTTTATTTACATGAATTTTATCTGTGAAAACAAAAGTTTATTTCTACAGTGTTGTTCCATGGCTCTTTGAACAGGTCCCATTCAGTCTGATTCTGACAATTTGGAGAGAAAGAAAGTCAATATAGGATCATAATCAACTGTAAATAGTATCTTCACTATAAGGAATCAGTATCATAAAACTTAACTTGTCAGCAAGATGTAGATTATAATGAATATAAGAAGAATTTGACTTTACCTAACTTCACATTTGTTTTTTCCATGGCTTAGGGTACCTATTACAGGATGGTGATGCTGCACTCAAGGTTGATTTGTATTCTCTTAATATGAATTTTCATTATAAATCCATATATAATAGCCCCATATTGGACCACATTAAAAATATGGGATAAATAGATTTTTACATGTCATTTTATGCTTAGACCCAGTATCATCTCTGGACCCCAATAAGCTATCAATCACATGTGTAAAGTAAGGGCAATATCAGGGCTGATAGCATTGTCTAAGCTCCACTATTGGTTGACAGATGATACAATGGCTGATATAGAAAATACAATGCTATACATTTATTTATATGTAAATAATTTAATAATCTGCAACAAATAGACTTAATTTCTTATTTCAGAATTGTTTACTTCAAGCCTCCATAGAAAATTTATTCAGATTGTCAAGTGAACCTCTTCCTCTGCACTACAATGACCAGCATGATCTCCCTCAAGTACATGGTCTCTTCATTCTGAATGCATTATTTAAAGATTCCAGTCTGAGTGCACCACTCATGCCATATACAAGTAGAGCTGTGGTGTTGGTCATCCAAAGTTTTGAATCACCAGCTTGGTCGATCAGAAATGCTGCAACAATGTTGTTCAGTAAGTTTTTTTTCTCTAAAAATAAATACTTTAATTCAGAAATTATTGCGTTCATTTATAGTGATTTCGACATGTCAGACCAAAATGTTAGAACTATTGTTGCAATGACTGGAAAAGCTTTATACAAATATATGTCAGATTTCAGAATGCGATTTCTTTTTATTGCGATACTCACCCAGTCGCATTATTTGCTATAATAAAAACTTCACAATAATTTTTGAATTAACAGTCCTCTTATGTAGAAAACAGATACAATTGGCCTCACTATGTCAAATGCTAAGATAACAGTTACTGTTTTCAATGCTTGGTTTGACTTCTTAAAAGGCAATTTTTTCACATTTTTTTTTATAAATGAAATATAAAGTAGATGTGTTGGGGTTAAAAACTATGGGATAAATCAATGTGACTATACACTTGCTGAAATTTTGACAATGCAGATATTTGAAGAGCTGATTAGTTACTGTTTTTTTTCAGTATGCTTACAATTTAAAAATTTGAAATAAGATATATGCATAATTTTCATAGGTTCCCTTGGTATGAGAATATTTGGACAGAAGAAAAACACAATGGAAGAAGTCTGGAGGGGGATAACTCTGTTGGAATTTGCGGCTTTGTACCCAGAGTTACCTCCAATGATGAATGAGTGTGTAGACAGAGCATTAGAGGAGGATATGAATAAGATAGACAGTATTAAAACATCCTTGTTCCCTGTTCTTACATTACTGTCTTACCTTGGACCATCAGATCAGCTCAATGATGAGTATGTTACACTGTTTTTGATAGGTGTTTTCATTATATGTACATGATATATTTAGTCTAATGGGGTAAACGTCAAACTGAAGTTAAATGGACAATGACATTACCACAGGAACTCCTTTTACATGTCGAACTTTACCATTTTCACAATAAAATTTCATCAAAAATCATATTCTGGAGTAAAAAGGTCTACTTTTGTTTGCTAAGGGTAAACAAAATTTCAATAACACAATATCTGCATTTTCATGCCAGTTGTTCTTAAAAACATCATACAATTATAGATAGTATTATTTGATTCAACAGGAATATTGAGATCAAAGAAAGTATGAACCATGGCTGCCATTAACTATTTTATTAAATTACAGATGTGCCCATTTTTATGCTTTTTGAACTGATAAGTGATGTTCATGTAAATTTAATTTTTTGTGTTGAATCAAAATAATTTCACATAGATAACTTATCTTTCAGAACATACATAACTTTGGGACATAACATATATAAATTTTTATCAAGTCCTGTGTTATATCTGAGAAATTTAGCAGCCAGTGCCTATGTAGCCTTTGTTCCACATCAATCACTGACTGAGACAATACAATCTATTGGTCAGCAGATATCTACTGCTAAATGTAACCAGTTACATGGTCTACTATGCTGTTTACAGAATCTGGCCATACAGGATATAGGGTAGGTATTATCTATAATTTAGTCATCAGATACTTAGGTATTTTGAACATACACCTTTTGCTAAAGGTAAAATGCAACATACCAATAGCACTGTGCTGTTTTTAAATTTTAGGCTATTTAACATGTGAAAAATTGTTGTTCAAGAGCTTGTTTCAGCATGATATTTTGTGTATTTATGATCATTTGCTCTTCAACATATTTCAAATAAATCATAATTTACATGAGGCATCATAAGACTTAAGAATCTCTGTTTTAGCTATTTATACACTACACAGCTTGCTTGCTGTTCAGGTTGTAGAATTGGTAACAAACATTAAACATTTTTATCTAATCCATCTATGGATAACCTGCAATGATAGTTCTTGCCATGCATGGTAGGATTTCTGCATCTGAACACTCACCTTCCTCTTGTACTGTTCAGGATAAACATTCCATCTTCAAATACATTGGGACAACAGAAATGCAAAAATATATTATGTACTGGTGTATATCATGTACTTTAGAATTATACCTTTTGATTTTGTTAAATCCAGTAATTGCTTTGTATTTACTAATATATATAAAGGGTATCTTATTCATCAAAGAAATTTCATTAAAAACTATGTCAAGGAAAGATAATTAAAGTTTGAATTTTATCCATAATACAAATTGTAAAAGATATTGCATTGTCGTTGGTTTATTTCTACAGGAAACAACATTTATCTTCCATCAAACAGCAGCTTTTGGAGAATATTTTTGTCATCACATCTCCTTGTGGAATCGTAAGAGCTAAGTATTTACAACTATTGAAGAAGCTGTGTTGGGATTCTGCAGAAGATATGTTACATCTGACAAACTTAATAAAGTTGAAGAGTCAAGGTCATCATGAGGTCATGGTAAGCTATGACAATTAATGATATAAAATTAAGAAGATGTGAATTGATTGCCAATGAGACAACTCTCCACCAGAGACCAAATAATGTAGATGTTAGCAATGATAGGTCACCATTATGGCTTCAACAATGAGCAAAACTCACATGGCATAGAAAGTTATAAAAGGCCCGACATGACAAATGTTAAACAATTGAAATGAGAAAACTAGCAGCCTGCTTTATGTAAAAAACAACAAACAAAAATGACAGACATGAACCAATGACAACCACTGAAAAACAGGCTCTTAACATGGGAGAGGCACATACAGAATGTGGCTTAGTTAAACATCTCTGTGGGAGCCCAATATATCTGATCAGTTTGCCCAGTGAAGATTGTAATTCAATTATATATTAATGATAAAGCAAACAAACAATACAAAATGACATCTATGGGTAAAAAAAAATTTAAAAAAAACTAGTTTAAAAATATATACTTGAAAATCAATTAGTGTTTGTAATATTATTGATAGGCTAATGGAGGATGCACAGTAACATTGTTCAGTTTGAAAATTAAGCAATAAGAAGAGTCTTTATCCATACATAGAATGATGACACATATTTTTTAATGGTTTCTTTTTATCACAGATTCTTGTCGGAAATTTCTAAGCACAAATTCTACTACTAAACAAAATATACACATTTTTGTTGTTGTTTGCTCTGATATAACAGATTCTATAACACCCATAAGCCAAAGATTTCTTCTTTACAACACAAAGTTGAATCCAGGAATAAATGTAGAGATTTTAAAAGGTACTTTTTGCCTTTATTGCTGTCATGCGACACTAGAATTGTCAATAATCAGGGTTAACAGGTAATCATACCAAACTTGATAATACTTCTGTTATGCTTATTAGTAAATTTTGTTTAAAAGTCACAAAACATTGAATAGACAGAAACAGAAACTAGTGCTTCTGCACTTTGATTATCATTAAAGCACAAGTAGGGTCATTATTCTGCCAACAACTCTTGAACAGTTAGTTAATGCATTGATTCATTTGTTTACAACAAAAAGTTCTACACATTTCTTAATACCAGTGACCTTTATACACATAATGGATGAATACAAATTAGCAAGTCTTAAAACATTTTCTTTTTATAATGTCAGGTTGGAGAAAGTTTTGCATGTGAAGAAGTTATACAGATTAAGCAGAGATGCTGTATATTGAATGGTTTTAAAATCCACACAGTCGTTGAAGAACATTTGAATGTATCAGATATACAGAGTTCTGTAGCGTGTGTGAATTGTCTACAAAATAATCTACAGAATCTTTCTAATGAAGACATTGTACCTATACAGGTAAGATATACAGAGTTCTGTAGCCTGTGTGACAGAATCTTTCTAATGAAGACATTGTACAGATGTACAGATACAGGTAAGGTATACAGAGTTCTGTAGCCTGTGTGACAGAATCTTTCTAATGAAGACATTGTACCTATACAGGTAAGTCTCAGCTACATTATACATTTTGTAGTTAAAGGATTGATGAAGCAACTCCTTGATTTCATATTGCCTGCTTAAAAATTTTGCAGCAAACTGTGTTAAAAAATTTCAGTTTCAGCTTACTAAAGCCTTTCTCAAATTGTACATGAAAACGCTGTACTTTGTTTTTGTGAAGGAAATAAAACCTTTCATTAGAATCTGTTGTTCAACAAAATGGACTTGACACATTATTATGACTCTGTACAGACCAGTTCTACCTCTTCACACCAAGTGCTTTGGGAAGAACTTGCAAATACCATTATTTATAAAGTTTTGTTTTGCCTTACAAATTTTGGACAGATAATCAAATATCTATGTCATTTGGTCTATGGACAATTATCTGATTGGCAATCATGGTTCTTTGGTGTCCAGGTGGTCTAAGTAGTTTATCTACAGTTATCACCAGCCTGTCAACACTAAGGTTGTGAGTTCCAACCCCGTTAATGGCAGATGTGCTCAACTCCTATCTTAACTGACTAGGATTGTCAGTTTTCCTACTGAAGGTTGATTGTTCTCTTTGGTTACTATGGCTTCCTCCACCAATAAAAATCTGGCTGCCAAGAGTACTGAAAGTGGCATTAAACACCAACAATCAACCAATCAATCAATCTACAATCTACATCCCGTCTTTATATGAAGAAAAAGACATGTGAAATTTTGAATATTGGTTTGGAGAGTACATATTTTAGATTTGATGTTTTCTTTCAGATTTGCTTATCAAAACTGTTAGCATCTGGTAGTGTCCAGTACCCTCCATTGCTTCTTGGAATATTACAAGTTATAATAGATCTACATTACAAACATACCAGTAATGATGATGCGGTGAATCACTTGTACGACTACTGGACAAGGGAAATAACTCATGTAGACAACAATATAAAATCATTGAAGATGGTGATAGGAGCTATCTGTATGGAGAACCATATTAGACTGAAAAGGTAAGATCTTCTGTTTAAAGTTTTTTTGTTTGAATTATTTCACATTTTGTCGTGGGTTTTGCTCATATAGTTGCTTACATCCATGTCATATGTCCTTATTTAGAACAGAACATCAGTTTTCACAAAAAGGAATCATTATATTAAAGGGGCATTAGCTACAAGATATAAAAAAAAAAAAATATGATTTTTTTTTGTTCAATCATTAATGAAAGTAAAATAGTGAAATAATAATTCGCTTTTAGCAGCCAATATAGTTCAATTTTGTCAAAATAAGTTTAAAAACATTGTTGATGAATTATTCACTTGCACGTAAATAATTCGACCTCATTGAATCCGTATTCATGTGACCTCCAGTTAACCCCTTAGCTGGACATGGGTTACGCATGTATTCAGCTATTAAAAGGAAAAGAATATCAACAAAAATCTACAATATGAAATCAAACAGACCTAGAAAAATCCAATTGCACGTGGTCGCTATCTAGTTATATTTATATTTATGTTTATATCAGGTTATATGACTGTCAGCAGTCTTCAGAGGTCATCTCGGTGGCTAATTAGATGACGTGAAGACAAAAATACACATGAAATGTGTATTATATTATCGAGCCCATGCATTGTTACTTGTTTATTTTAGACTTTTTGTAATTTGGATATAGGTTTTGGTATGTTATAAATCAACTATGAGAATTTGAGTCAAATCGGTGAACATGAAATTGACAGCTAATGCCCCTTTAAGCAAAACTGGAATGGTCACATTATGCTGAATCAAGCTTTACGAGTAGAGGAGATGCACTAAAAACTAGTTTTAAAGTCTTAGCTTTGTTCTGGTATAGGAACATACAACAAATCTTCACATTTGAATTGATAAGGCAATCATTTTTTATCTTGTATTCATATAATACATGTATAGGACTGTAGAAAACAACTAAGGACAACAAAGGAACAACTTGTGCATAAATAATCTGGAATAGTGGAAAAATACAGTGATATATATATTGTATCAAAATAAAAAATACAAATGTTAAAATTAATTTGAAGAAATTTGAACAATAAGATATTTTCTGAAGATTTCATTGTCAGATAATTAGATTTTTAATCATTTCTTCAAACGATAAAGTTCAGAACAAAATCCAAAACATTAAGGAAAAATAGAACAAAATAGTTTCTTTTTCCATAATTTTAGGTACTGCCTTAATTTACATAGCTGGTTTATGTTCCATGAAGCATGTTGTTTTGGAGAATATTTGAACATTTTATTTTAATACACTAATAATATATACACAATTTTCATTTTTCTACTAGTCATATTTTAATATTGTCACATTAGCATTGTTCATTGATATGCAAAAGAAATGATGGATCATGAAATATCCAGAAGTAATTCTTTTTCAAGTATAGATCTCTTGCCAGATTCATAATTAATCAGGTCACCTAATAGAATTTCAAGCCCATCATTGACTTCATCATAATCACTGGATACTGGGAGACTGATGTCCATTATTTCATCCTCGGCACTTCCCAAACTGCTTTCATTTTTTGAGAGTTCAGATGTACTTTTATGTTGAAAAGATATGTCATCAATACAAGATTCTAAAAGTAAGTCTAATTGATGGTCTGATACTGCTTCTTCTCTTGTTTTTTTCTGAACACAATCATCCTGAAAAGAAAACAGAAAAATGTAAACCTTCTCATATTTGACATCCGGGTAATTTTGATACAAAAGTTCAAATGTTTTAATTTCTAATGCCAATTTTCTGTTGCAATTCTGATACAAATATTTATGTGTACAATTTCTGTGCAGATATTCCTGGGAGATTACATTTGGAACAAACATTGTACCAAATAAAAGACTATGATGACAACACATTGCTATGTGACTGTTTTCCCCCAATTGTATGACACTTCTTTTGCTTTGTAAACAAAGCAATGTTATAATTTCTATAGAACATATAAACTGCAACGGCAGTTGAATTTTGATCAATGCCTGATCTGTTGGTGTTGCTTGGTTGGAAAGTGTAATACCACCATTGTTTTCCCCTATTAGTCTTTGTTAAATTTGCACTTTTCAAAAAATTGTGCAGAATTTATCTTTGTTTCAAATAAAGAAATACTTGGCATGAGTAAAGTTTTATCCTGTCCAGTACTATAGACAAAATTTCACATAACATTTCATTGCATATAACAAAATAACCATCACTGGAAGTTAACCAATCAAATTTTCACCCCTTTTTTCCTGTGTACAAGCTTTAGTAACCATGTAACCTCAAGTTTCCAAAATATTCTATAGAAACACCAAACAAAAAAAATAATGGTGCTTTGAAACACCCAAGATATATGTTTATGACTCAGAAATTTTTTACTGCAAGGGAATATTTTTTTTCAACCCTTTTTCGTATGCAACTGGATGTGACGTACTATGATTTGGTGGTATTACACCTAAAGAAGACTTTTTTGTTGAATAAACTGAATGTGATTTTTTTTCCTTTGTAAGACTGGTTATTTAAAGCATTACAGTCAAGTTTTGTCATAATCAGTTCAATAGTTTGAGAAAAATCTAGTATAATGTAAGACAACATCTACAGCGATTGAGCAAAATTTCTTCGAAAAATACAAACCAAGCCACATCATGATAGAATATAGTGTGGACCAATAAATGATCAAATATTTATCTCATCTGCCTACAAACAGTTGAATGTGTTACTAAAGATGACTCTAGGATGATAAATACCACTAATGGACCTTTTTGTTTTCATTATAAGGTCCCTTTTGGTCCATTTGTACCTCTCATTTCCTCAAAATTTCAACTTTTTAGGCCAATAAATCAAAATTTTGGGGTAACTTCCATTCATTTATGAAAGAAATGTAATAATAAATGAGTAATTGAAGTATTCAAGCTGAATGAACTATCCATATAAAAGTTTACGGACTCCATGGAGGTTTCAATAAGTCCATACGTAAAACTTAAATTTACGCCACGTGCCAGAGAGGGACATAAAAAGCTTCCCTTTTAGTGAATAATTTTTTGCTTTTGCTTCAAAAATAATTTCATTTACTTATAACTGTATATTTAATAAAGTATTACTTAGGAAAAAGTTTTCTATTATAACTAAATATAAGAAATAAGGAGAAATAGTCAGAAAAAGCTCCCCAAAACACTGAGTATGGTTTGCTCTGTCTACTAATATTCATGGTAGAGTCCTATTTCCAGGCAATTTTTCTCATAAAATGTGTTTTTGAGACTCAATCCACTCAGAATATTTCATTTTTGTAATATTTCACTTAAATAGTATGAAATTTTAACAAATGAGAGTACACACAAGGTCAAAGGTGCACGTGCAGCTTCCCATAATAAGTGTAATACCACCATTGTTTTTCCCCTATTAGTCTGTGTTAAATTTGCACTTTTCAAAAAATTGTGCAGAATTTATCTTTGTTTCAAATAGAGAAATGCTTGGCATGAGTAAAGTATTATCCTATCCAGTACTATAGACAAAATTTCACTTAACATTTCATTGCATATAACAAAATAACCATCACTGGAAGTTAACCAATCAAATTTTCACCCCTTTTTTCCTGTGTACAAGCTTTAGTAACCATATGTAACCTCAAGTTTCCAAAATATTCTATAGAAACATCAAACAAAAAAATAATGGTGCTTTGAAACACCCAAGATATATGTTTATGACTCAGAAATTTTTTACTGCAATGAAATGAAGGATTAATTTCCTACTACTGTTAAATTCAAGGGAATATTTTTTTTCGACTCTTTTTCCGTATGCAACCAGATGTGACGTACAATGATTTGGTGGTATTACACCTAAAGAAGACTTTTTTGTTGAATAAACTGAATGTGATTTTTTTTCCTTTGTAAGACTGGTTATTTAAAGCATTACAGTCAAGTTTTGTCATAATCAGTTCAATAGTTTGAGAAAAATCTAGTATAATGTAAGACAACATCTACAGCGATTGAGCAAAATTTCTTCGAAAAATACAAACCAAGCCACATCATGATAGAATATAGTGTGGACCAATAAATGATCAAATATTTATCTCATCTGCCTACAAACAGTTGAATGTGTTACTAAAGATGACTCTAGGATGATAAATACCACTAATGGACCTCTTTGTTTTCATTATAAGGTCCCTTTTGGTCCATTTGTACCTCTCATTTCCTCAAAATTTCAACTTTTTAGGCCAATAAATCAAATTTTGGGGTAACTTCCATTCATTTATGAAAGAAATGTAATAATAAATGAGTAATTAAAGTATTCAAGCTGAATGAACTATCCATATAAAAGTTTACGGACTCCATGGAGGTTTCAATAAGTCCATATGTAAAACTTAAATTTACGCCACGTTCCAGAGAGGGACATAAAAAGCTTCCCTTTTAGTGAATAATTTTTTGCTTTTGCTTCAAAAATAATTTCATTTACTTATAACTGTATATTTAATAAAGTATTACTTAGGAAAAAGTTTTCTATTATAACAAAATATAAGAAATAAGGAGAAATAGTCAGAAAAAGCTCCCCAAAACACTGAGTATGGTTTGCTCTGTCTACTAATATTCATGGTAGAGTCCTATTTCCAGGCAATTTTTCTCATAAAATGTGTTTTTGAGACTCAATCCACTCAGAATATTTCATTTTTGTAATATTTCACTTAAATAGTATGAAATTTTAACAAATGAGAGTACACACAAGGTCAAAGGTGCACGTGCAGCTTCCCATAATGAGTGTAATACCACCATTGTTTTTCCCCTATTAGTCTGTGTTAAATTTGCACTTTTCAAAAAATTGTGCAGAATTTATCTTTGTTTCAAATAGAGAAATGCTTGGCATGAGTAAAGTTTTATCCTATCCAGTACTATAGACAAAATTTCACTTAACATTTCATTGCATATAACAAAATAACCATCACTGGAAGTTAACCAATCAAATTTTCACCCCTTTTTTCCTGTGTACAAGCTTTAGTAACCATGTAACCTCAAGTTTCCAAAATATTCTATAGAAACATCAAACAAAAAAAAAATTGGTGCTTTGAAACACCCAAGATATATGTTTATGACTCAGAAATTTTTTACCGCAATGAAATGTAGGATTAATTTCCTACTACTGTCAAATTCAAGGGAATATTTTTTTTCGACTCTTTTTCGTATGCAACCAGATGTGATGTACTATGATTTGGTGGTATTACACCTGGAAAGTTAATAAAAATTCAAAAAGTTAGTCTATGTACTTGTACACTTTTTTGGCTTCATCAAACAAAATGGTTGCCATTAAAAAGTGTCTCATACACGGCCACCAATCCAACTAAGTCATACACAAATAATATGAAAACAAGTGCGTTAATCCGACTTCCGAGTATGCAGTAGAAGTAATAAACAATCAAGAATTGCTTTACATTCACAAGGTAAGTCACCTATTTATGTCATAAGCTTTATATTTTAAAAAAAACCGAGAAAGTCATTCGACCCTTTATTTTGTTTTCCTTCATGTGTTATCACAACTTTGTTGTACATTGAGTAGTATTTTTACTACAGCTTTTCTCCCGGTGAATAACGATACAATCTGCATGAAATTCTTACCGACATCTTATGTTATTTGTTAATAAGACACGTTATGCATGAGTACTGGTACATTTATTGATCGGTGTGATATATAAATTAATTCTAGAAAGCAAAATACTTTATAATTGTACTTATTATCAAATTATTGCAAGAAAATTAAGAATGTATGGTTAAGAAGGACCATATATGACTTAAAAGTAACGAGTATGATTAAGTGAGAGATATTTTAGTAACCAACATGATGATGTTCTTTTACACAATGTCAATGTTAATTATGAATAAATTCATCTTTAGGTACCGTCCTTCCTTTAGGGGATATATATGTAACAGTAATAATTAGCCAGTAAGCATGAAGGTTTAAATTCAACCCTTTTAAGGCGGATGCGCTCGACTCCTATCTTAGTTGACTGGGATTGCCAGTTTTATTAACCGAAGACCGGAGTGTCTACTGGAAGCCTTCAACAATAAAAGAAAACTAATAGTCGAAAACTGAGCTAGCAAAACAATCCATTTAATGAAACACGCAGATCAAAACTATTTGCCTGAAAATGCAAATAATTATTGTACACATCTATTTGCTATTTATTGTTATAAACAAGTTAGCAACCTGCATATCATATATAAATATTCTCGTCCTAAATTCATTAAATGAAGTAATCTAAGTTTAACAGCTTCTTACAATCTAACAATGTTTATAAAAATAAGAATACTCGCTCGGAATAGTAAATAACCTCTCAACCAGAACCTTATATAAAGAAATGGATGTCTTTGATGAAACGTTAACAAAATGAGACAGCAAACAAACGATAAAAATAATCAAATAACCAACATTGGAAACAAACACACAGTTTCAGCTCTCTATAATTATGAAAGAAGGTTGAATACGAATGTATTAAAATAGAATTCTAGATTAAAACGGAATGAGGCAAAATGCAAAGCGAAAACTAGTGACGGATCTAAAAAAAAAGGTGGGGGGAGGGGGGGCGATGATTGAAATCGCCTTTTTCTTTGACGACCAATTCATCAATATTGTATCTGTAATAGTGCGAAAAGAAAATCAATCTGTATTTTTTGCAAAAACGTCAAATTAATCCCTTTAACTTTTCCCATTTGGAACCTGCAAAGACAAGCAAATAAATTTAGAGGAGAGCTTTTTCAGCAAGCATTACACATATAAAGATGTTTTTTTTATTAGAAAGCTGGATTATTGAGATGTGTAACTACATTATACTAAGAGCAATTTTATGATCTAAATTTTTCGTAGTGTGTTCTTACGTTACCACCAATTCATACTTGGTACGTTTTAATCATATATGATACCTTCAAACCATATCCTCCTAGGTTTAAATCGTTAAAATGATAATAAAGACATATATACACATCTCGCAATGTATAATTGATTTATATATCACACCGATCAATAAATGTACCAGTACTCATGCATAACGTGTCTTATTAACAAATAACATAAGATGTCGGTAAGAATTTCGTGCAGATTGTATCGTTATTCACCGGTAGAAAAGCTGTAGTAAAAATACTACTCAATGTACAACAAAGTTGTGATAACACATGAAGGAAAACAAAATAAAGGGTCGAATGACTTTCTCGGTTTGTTTAAAAATATAAAGCTTATGACATAAATAGGTGACTTACCTTGTGAATGTATAGCAATTCTTGATTGTTTATTACTTCTACTGCATACTCGGAAGTCGGATTAACGCACTTGTTTTCATATTATTTGTGTATGACTTAGTTGGATTGGTGGCCGTGTCATAGGTCTGCTCCCAAGTACAAAAGTTCTGAATTTTCCTATGATAGCATTGAAATAATTTTTTCACATCATTCATGCTATATGCTCATTTTAACATGGACAGGCATTACAGGTATATTTGTCAACAATCTACACCTTGATATGCTAGGTTAAAGATATTGAATATAACTTAGTAAAGAGATAGCCAAGCAAATAAGGACACGGAAGACTTTTTGCAAAAAGAAAAAAATCATGTAAAATTAGATATACATCATGTACAGGTATAAAAATATGTCAAATAAATTTATGTCATACTTAAAATGAATAAAGTAAAAGTTTGATACAAATTAACTAATGTGTATACCTTAATATTGCTTTCCATTAACTTTAATTTGCTCACATCATTACCATTGCTTTCATTAGAATATTTCCTTTTCTGAAAAAGAACAAGCAAAGTTGAAACAAAAGTTGAGGTTTTCAAATGATCAATAGAGTATAGAATTTCTATTTTTCATGAAACTTTTATACAATGACATAGACTGCAAAATAGAAATGGAGTAAAATTTGATAAATGAGACATTTACTGTTATGCAGCCGGTTGTATGAACGTTTCATTAGTCTAATGAGTCATTAAGTCTTCATTAGCCTAATGCATCATGAAGGCTTAATGAAGACTTGATGACCCATTTGGCTAATGCCACGTTCATACAACCAGCTAATGGTGTTTAAACTTGCTATTTCTGAAAAGGGTGACTATTGTTATGATTTTCAGATCACAAATATCATTGGGGTATCTAGTTTAAAAAATGTGTCTGATGGCCTCGCCTGCTGACCAAGATGGTTGACATGGCTAAAAATAGAACATAGGGGTAAAATGCAAGTTTTGTCTAAATAATTTGAAAACCATCATAAATAGAGAAAATCTGACGAGGCAAAAATGTTCAGAATGTTGGTCTCTACCAACTGTCCATATAAGTCAAAACTGTCAGACGACTTCTTATAGGAAATTATTGCCCTTAAATGACAAATTTTAGCTTTTTATTTCATTTTTGCCTATTATCTTGAAAACTATAATAGATAGAGAGAAACATTAAACTGCAAAAATGATCAGCAAGACAAGTGCTACAAATCAGTTAACATGGTCGAAATCATCAGTCGCCTCCTTATTACAGTTATTGCCCTTTGATGACGAATTTTACCAATTATTTGTGTTTTTGCCTTATATCTTAAAAATTATAATAGATAAAAAGACACTTAAATAAGCAAAAATGATCATCAAGACAAGATCTACAATTAAGACTATGGAAGAAATCGTTGACGACTCCTTATTGGAGTTATTGCTGTTTAATGACGATTTTCACCAATTTCGTTTGCATTTTGCCTTATAATTATATGATAAAAATTATAATAGATAAATAGAAACTTTAAATCACAAAAATGATCAGCAAGTCAAGATCTACTAACAAGTCAAATTTTGCCGATATAGTTAGTAGACTGTTACTCTTTATAGGAGTGATTGCCCTAAAATGAGGATTTTTTTTTACCCTCTTTTGTGTTTTGAGCAAAAACTAAAGAAGATAGAGAGAAACTAAACAGAATTAATGATCAGCAATACAAGATCAACAAAACAGATTTTTGTCATGAATTCTATTCTCATCTACAATGTTGGAGAATTTCTTTTGTTGAATATGCTCATAGACCAAGGTGAGCGACACAGGCTCTTTAGAGCCTCTAGTTATTAAATAGCAAGGGCCTTAACTTTAAGTGACAGAGTGAAGGAATATACCTGAAGATCACTGTATGCTTCTAACCAATTTGGCAAATATCCTGTCACCAAAAAGGGGGCTTTGATCTGGTGGATTCAACATTTTAAAGTTATCAAACAGTCAGTTTGGAACATTGTGAACATTATTTAAATGGAGTCATTGTAAAATAAAAAATCTAATAAATTCAGTCTATTTTTGTTTTTTTTCTTATAACATCTTATTTCTATGAATATTTTATCCTTAACAAAGTTAGTGTACTTACTTGTCCTCTTGTCTGTTTTGTAGTTAATTCATATGATTTATTTGTCTCTGGAACAATGACCCTCTGATTATTATCAGACTGACCAGTCTGATGAAGATTTATCCATGTTGTTGAAGTTGGATTATTTGACCCATTAGAATCTTTAGCTAATGTTTCCTCTCTGTTTGATATGCTCCTTACTTTAGGGGATGTTGTATTTTCTTTGCTTTTTTTTAATTCACTGAGTGACAAAGTATTACTTTCTGCTGGCAATAGTTTATGTCTGGTAAATAAAGATTCAGTCAGTGTTGAAAAGTCAGTTTTATTGTCAATGTTTGAGGATGAATATTGTGTTGTATCTGTTCCATGATTGGAGCCACTCAATAAAATCACTCCTGAACTTGATTTTTGTTGAATTTGTGAAGTCTTATTGACAGAGGTTCCTTGCGAGTTGTCACCATTGCGTAGTTGGTCAATATCTGAGCAATATGGATTGTTGGAATCAAGCATTGTAGGAAGACTGTCATCAAAAGAGATGCTATAACACACTTGTGACTTAGTTGGATAGTCCATGTTGACAGACAGTGTCATATATTTCCTTGTGACTTCTAAACTGATTTTGGGCCTCTCTTCAGAAATTCTATGCAGATTTGCAAATTTGATTTCAGTTTGGTTTTCAACATTTTGACTTGACCACCATTGATGTAATGGGTGATAGACTTCTGTTGTGAAAAATCCTTCAGAGTGCAAGTATGTCAGAGCATAATCTAGTACTGATATGTCTGTCTGGATTGTTTTTACTCTACATAGAACTTCCTTATGTTTTTTGGATTCCTTTTTGTCAGTTGCATTGACAACATTTTCATAAGTTTCCACTAAAGATTTATATTTTGGAGGAATAACTGCTTTTGGATGTTGCAACAAAGTTGAAACAAGTAAACGGTCGGAACAGGTATGTTTGCACTTTCCCCTGTTGAACGGACTGAAAAAAGGAACATTTGGGGGCCATTGTTTTGGGGGAGTCTTCCAAATTCCATCACATTTTGATTCTGGATCTTTTCCCTGTATAATTTTGCACACAACTGCAGCAAGGTAGCGTGTTATATCTGCAAATATTTCAGTTTGATTTTTTAACCTTTTACATGGAACATTTCTTATGTTGATTTCTTCAACTTTAAGGCTAAGCTTTACATGTATATTGTCCAGAGCTTGGTGTAGTTCATCAGTATCTCTGTAAATGATGAAATTCTGTAGAATCGTTTTTATTTTTTCAGTTTCAGTACGGAATGTATGCAGCTTATGGAGCAATTGAATTTTATTTTCTGTCCAAGCAGCGATTTCTTTTTTATACATGTTGTGGATATGCACATTTCTATGGTCACAGCATTGTATCAGGCATTTTAAAAGATCAATATCTGAAATGAAACACCCATATTCATCATGTGGATGATTTTTAGTGTCATAGAATGGTTTATTTGATGGCCAATGCTCTGGTTTTTCTCTCCACAAGTTTTTTGGTTTGGAATGTGGTGGTTCTCCTTTATACAGTTTAAGAAGAATTGATGACATATCCTGGGTCCAAGCTCTTTCCCTCTGAGAATCATGTAGCAACTGACTCTTCTTCAATGGGGGTCCTGGATTGATATGTATGTCACCTGAACACCACAATTTATATAGTATAGCTTCTTTGTACTCGTACTTCTGTGATAGATACTTCTTCAGTTTAGCAGATTTGTGGTGTCTTGTTGATGCAATTAATATAAGAAGCATGATTATCAACATAATTTCTGTATCTGATTTCTTTCCGACCTGGTCTTCATTTTCTAAAGATTGTTCATCAAAATTAAAGGCATTTAAATAATTTGAAATGTCGACATCACTTAGCTGTCCTGTTTTCTTAGCATGTCTCAAAATACAAAGGCAGCGATACAAAATTGTTTTTCTCTCTCTCACACTTTCGTCATTAGTGTTGTCTGTTTGGTAGGCAGGGAAGTTTGAAACAGCAAAAATTTGCTGTAGTTTAGTTCTCATAGTGTTCTTATGAGTTTTAATATTATTTAGCTGTTTCTTTCCTTCTCTGATTTTTAACAGATTCCATAGTGTGTGTGTTATTTTAATTAAGAGGTCCCCATTTGCTTGAGTCAAGTTTATGTCAAGAATAATTTTTGCAAGATCACTTCTTTGCTTGTGATATCTAATAGAGGCAATGTCACGGATAGCCTTTAAGATAATTTCTTCATTTTCCCAAGTCATTTCTTCCACATCACTGAATTCTTTGATTATGTTTACAATTCCTTTATCTGCACTGTAGTCTACAAATGTATCAATGTAAATAGAAAGGATTGTTTCTTTTTCTTCATCTAGATGAACAATGAGATCTTCTTCTGCTAATGATAATTCATATTCTCTTTCTTCATCTATCTCTAGATCTACTTCTGTTAATATGTAGCTTAATATTTTTATCAGACTTCTATACATGCATTTATTTTCCTCAAATATTGTATCAACTTGAATGGTAGTATAAAGGGTTTCTCCAATTAATTTAAGATGTTGCAGAAATTCAATGACAAAGCCACAGACTGATCTTAGTAAATCTTCTTTTTGTGGTATAGAACATAACCACATTTCCTGTTTTTGTTGTTTGGTTCGTAGAGAACACCTGTCTCTTAACATATATTTTATGAAAATTGTATAGCAATCAACAACAACAAAATTTCTGATGATCTTTTGCAATACTTCTAAAGTTAGTTTAATATTTGTAGTATCTTTTTTAACAATAAATTTATCTAGAATATGTATTAAAGAATTAAATATGTTCTGTTTTGTTTCAAATTGATCTTCCCTACTTTGAGTCACTTCATCAAAAGTTGATATGAAATACTTAAGATTTTCTTCTGTTGATTGGTCAATCGCATTGCTGTGAGTTTTACAAATCATTCTTTTACTGTAACATAATTTAAGTTGATGTTCAAATTGTGAATCAGATATGCCAGTTTGTAAGTCTTCAAAAGTGAACAAAGGATTTTTTAAAAGTTGTATGTCTAAGTAACGTTTAATATTAATGTGTAACATTTCTTTAGACTGAAACTTGAGTACATCTTCCGCTAAACTGCAAAGAAACCTAAAATGGTTGTCTCTATCTTGTTTTAAAAAGATACGACTGATACAAAGAAGATGAAGAAGTCTGTCTAAACCATGATGCATACGAATATTAACAACTTCTTTCAAGAATGGACGCATATATTTATCAAAACAAGCTTGTAAATGTTCAATTTTAATGTTGAGAAACTCCTGTGCATTGATTTCAAATTCTTCCTTTACTGTGGCATATCTATAACATTGCAATAATTTATTTATAGCAACTTCATGATGGTACAGAATGGATTTTACACTTCCTTCATCTGTTTCTCCATAAAAGTAATATTCATCTTCTTCAACTTCAGAATCATCCCAGTCAGAATGGTCGCTGAAATCTGAACAAGAATTAAAAAATTGATCACTAGCCCCTTCAATGTTTTCACCCTCCCAATCTGAAACACTGTTGATTTCACTGTCCCAATGAAAGCTGACCTGTTCTTCAGTTTCCTCACTGTAATCTTCGTCCCATTCAGAATCATCGTTGTTGTCATTTTCATGTTCATCAACTTCAATGATTTTATCATTTTCATTTCGAAATTCACTGGCTTTGTCTTTATGCCATTCTGAGCTTGGAATGAGACCAAGAAAGTCCTGTCTAATTTCAGGCTTAACTTCTTCCATTTCATTTTGTTTTAATTATATTTGTATAGCCATTTGTAAACCCAGTGGATTATGTATTTTTCAAGATTTTGGTCTTCTATGGTGGTTTGAAATCAGAGATTAAGAAAACATTCATGTTCCTGAAATTAAATGAAACATTGGTAGAATTTAAAAGACAAAGAATATGGATTAAAGTTAGTTTAATTATACATTTTTATACGACCGCAAAAAAATTTTGTGGTCGTATATTGGTATGACGTTGGCGTCGTCGTCGTCGTCGTCCGGCGTCGTCGTCCGAAGACACATTGGTTTTCGCACTCTTACTTTAGTTTAAGTGAATGGATCTCTATGAAATTTTACCATAAGGTTCAATACCACAAAAGGAAGGTGGGGATTGATTTTGGGGGTTATGGTACCAACAGTTAAGGAATTAGGGGCCAAAAAGGGGCCAAAAATAAGCATTTTTGTAACTTCCAGACATTACTTGTTTGTTAGTGTATGGATCTCTCTGACATTGTACCACAAGGTTCCATATCACAAAGTGAATGCTGGGATTGATTTTGGTGGTAATTGCCTCCAAATTTTAGGAATTAGGGGCCAAAAAGGGGAAAAAACAAGCATTTTTCTAGTTTCATGACAATAACTTGTGTGTAAGTGTATGGATCTCTCTGACATTGTACCATAAGGTTCCATATCACAAAGGGAATGCTGGGATTGATTTTGGGGGTAATTGCCTCCAAATTTTAGGAATTAGGGGCAAAAAAGGGGCAAAAAACAAGCATTTTTCTAGTTTCATGACAATAACTTGTGTGTAAGTGTATGGATCTTTATGAAATTGTACTACAAGGTTCCATATCACAAAGGGAAAGCTGGAATTGATTTTGGGGGTAATTGCCCACAACGTTTAGGAATAAGGGGCCAAAAAGGGGCCAAAAATAAGCATTTTTCTAGTTTCCAGATAATAACTTGTGTTCAAGTGTATGGATCTCTCTGAAATTGTACTGCAAGGTACCAAACCACAAAGGGAAGGCTGGGATTAATTTTGGGGGTAATTCCCTAGAAATTTTAGGAATTAGGGGCCATAAAGGGGCAAAAAATCAAGCATTTTTCTAGTTTCAGGACAATAACTTGTGTGTAAGTGTATGGATCTTTATGAAATTGTACTGCAAGGTTCCATATCACAAAGGGAAAGCTGGGTTTGAGTTTGGGGGTAATTGCCCTAAATGTTTAGGAATTTGGGGCCAAAAAACAAGCATTTTTCTAGTTTCAGGACAATAACTTGTGTGTAAGTGTATGGATCTTTATGAAATTGTACTGCAAGGTTCCATATCACAAAGGGAAAGCTGGGTTTGAGTTTGGGGGTAATTGCCCTAAATGTTTAGGAATTTGGGGCCAAAAAACAAGCATTTTTCTAGTTTCCAGACAATAACTTGTGTTCAAGTGTATGGATCTCTCTGAAATTGTACAGTTCATACATGTGAACCTCCCGACGGGAGTACAATAATCCCGTTTTCAGGGGTCTCCTCCCGACCTCCCGTTGAAGACAAAAAAATCCCGTGTATGAAATATTTCATGAATGAAAAATTTCAGCCCAACATATCTGGTGTAACTGACATTACTGAAGTTATATTTTACCTGTATATCAATTAACATGCATAATTGTATGGCCTCACTTGTCACATTGGGTGTCAAACATACTGGTAATCAATGATTTTTACCTCAGGCTAACTGCTGTTGTGTAATAAAACTTTGTTTATTTAAAATGAATGTTGGGTTACTTCCCTTGATTTATCCTGTTTTAAGTTACTTTCCTTTAAATAATGTAAATTCTTTAAAAGAATATAAATAAAATATAAATTGAACAAATAATCATAAAAGGATGGTAATTAAATGATTTTAAATGTTTTAGGACAAATAAAAAAATAATAATTTGAAAATTATTTGAGGGTTCTATACTTCCTTTCAAGGCTTAAATTGAAATTTATATAATAACTATGACCCATGTTTTCATTTTGAAAGTGTTACTTATCATTCATTAAAAATCTACTTGCATAAAGATAAAAATAAAAGATCTACTTGCAGATAGGTAAGCAAATGTTCTGATTGCAATGAATAATGGTAAAAAAGATATGACCTAAAAAATTTAAAGAACATACTGAAAAAGAAGAATGTTAGATTGAACAAGTTGAAAGTTTAAAAAGATAGAGAAAATTTATAAGTACAAAGGTACTATAAACATAATACATTCGGAATGAAAGTTGAAGAAAACACACTTTAACAGACAATTTCTACAGCACACGGTTACATTTACGACAGAATTTATGTCGATTAAAAACATCCTGATCTGAGTCCTAATCTCCAAAACTCCTGATCTTAGTTTCACAGTCCATCACATGTATGTGTACTGCAAGGTACCATACCACAAAGGGAAGGCTGGGATTGAGTTTGGGGGTGATGAATCATAAGGGGGTTCAAAAAATTTTTGGGGGGGGATTTTTTTTTCCTTTTTTCTTTAAAATTTTCCATTTTAAATTAGTTATTTCTGATTTATATATAAAAGCAAATAATAATGATATGGTTTGAATAGATAAATTAAAAATTTTTAAGTTCTTAGACCACATTTATTCTGTGTCAGAAACCTATGCTGTGTCAAATATTTAATTACAATCCAAATTCAGTGCTGTATCAAGCTTGAATGTTGTGTCCATACTTGCCCCAACTGTTCAGGGTTCGACCTCTTTGGTCGTATCAAGCTGCGCCCCAGCGGAGCATTTTATTGATACTTGTTCTAATTTCATTTCACTTGGCTTCAAAACAGGGTAATCCCACTATAGTGGAAAGTAATTCTTAGTTTGGATCAATTTTGAAATCTATTGAAAAATTCCAGTATGAGGCTGACTAATTACTTCTTAACATAAGGCATGAAAGCTAAATAGGGTTGTATAGTGTCACTTGTTTAGAATGGGCATAAATCCAAGTATGTGAAGCAACCTTTATTTATTAATCTGCTTAGAAATTGAATTATAATTTTGACATTTTTTTCTTTGAATTATTATATAATAACTAGTACTGAGCATCCTGAACACATAAGCAATCCATCCCCAACTTAGGATTAGATTAAAGGTTATATGGCAGGATTATGACGGTGGTTTTCCACTCATTCTGTTGGTTGATAACGTTTGATTTTGTCAGCTATATTGGACTTCTCCTTTCTTGAATTTACCTTGGAGTTTGATATCATTGTTTGACTTTTTCTGCATGTACATTGTATATGAACACAAATGAGTATAACAAAAATTGTCATGCAAGGCATTAATATATCAGATATTTTTTTTAACTTATTTTTACAAAATTTAACCAAACTGGCTACTTATAGCTAATTATTATTACAGTTTTCACTGCTTTCATTTCATGAAAATTACATTTTATAAATTTTGTTCATCAAAGGAGCTTTTCAGGATTAACCTGCATCAGAGACACTCAAATTTAAACATTTGAAAGCCAGTAGCAATATTAATGTTTGAACTTTGAAACAAAAGAATATCAGTCTTCAATGTTTTGTTAAAAAAGTATAACAAAACTACTGAAATCTAAAGTTAATTCAAATTAGGGAGTCCATAAAAACTGACCAATTTCAGATTCTGTCAATCAACGGAATAAATGGAGCATAACTGTCATATTCCTGACTAAATTGCAGCTATAGTGGCCTTTTAAGTACTGAGTAATAGGTGCTCTACATCTTGATTGATTCTCTCTTAAAGTTTGAGTAAATATATAGATGACAGCTTTTTACATGCATTGTAGGGAAACAGACACTACCTTATTTTTGGCAAGTAAAACATTCATTTATTCAAATTGGTTGCTGACATAAAATACGTACTGGTTAGAGTCTACAAATAATTTTTCTCTCTCAACAATTTAGAAATCTTTATCTGAAAGATGTGGTCATGTCAGGTTAAGGATTTTTTGTCAGATGTTCAGACTTTTGGGTTTTTTTCCTACGATACAGGGTAAAATATTTGCCCCATATCACCCACTTTTCTTTTCATATAAGACTTCAATAGCTCATAAAAGGTCATTTACCAAAGAATTTAAGCAGATTCTGGATTTCTTTTCATACAATTTGAGACCCAATTAATGCCAATGCTAAATATAAGGAAAAGTTGGAGTCAGCATTTTCCCGCCATTTAAAAAAAATAAATATCTCAATAATATTTTTAGCTTATTTTGTTCCTTAACTGATGTTCTTCTGATTTAAAGTATCAATTTGAAATTCCAGATTTTTTTAATTTTATCTGACTAAAATCATCCTTAAAGTCATAAGAAACTTCATATTTGAAAATAAAAATGTTGAGTATGTTTTTTATTTATACTTGAATGGCTAAGTTTTACTATAAAACAAGTGTAGATGAACTTTCTTGTAAAAGAAAATCCTCTATATTATCAAAATCCTCATATATGTACGGCTATTGAATTATTGTCTTCCCGTACACTAATACGTCAATATTTTCCCGTATACAGTGACCTTAACTACAAGAACTCTTATTAGAACTTGGTCTCCGAAAAGTGCAAGTGCGAGGTGAAAACAGTTATGAAAGAATGTAAACATATGTGCATTTACTTCCATGGTCACATACTCCATGTGCTCTGCATTAACTATTTGTCAATCATAATAATCAAGTAAACTGTGGCAACAAACTTGAAAGTTAATTAGCTCACGATCAACAATCACTGAATGAAATATGATTTGTCGATAATACGTTATAGATTCTTAATAAATATAAAAATACGTGCATACAGGACTTAGTTAAGTATAAATGCATGCATGGTTCAGTAAATTCAATAATATTAAAATTACAAGAAACTAGTTTCATATGACTTTAAGAGGAATTTATTGTATTTATTTAAGAAGCAACACAAGTGAAATATTTAAAATTAACTCATGGAGAATATTCAGATTTTTTTTTAAATTCACTGTGTTTATTTGTAAAGTAAAAACCAGGAAATCTAATAAACAGCTGCTGTGTTACAATTGTGTAAGTTTGTCCTTCATTTGTGAGAAAAAATGTCCATGTTTGTGTGAAATATACCTGTTCAAAAGTACCATGTTTTTTGACGGACAAATTAAATTTTCAATCAAAAAGTAATTAAAACAATCATGATTTCTGAAATAAGACAAAATAGATTTTAAATAAAAAATAAAATGATATGAAATGATTCTGAAAATTGATAATCAAGATGGAGTTAATAACCACTGAGACAAATAAAGGGTATTTATAACGTCATAGATATTCGAAGGATATACTATGTGTGTAGATAGAGTTGAAAATTAAAAAAATAGAGAAATTTTCTGGTGTTGAACCAAGAAAATATTGAATATCAGTTAAGAACTGATCCTGTATACTAAAATACTTGCGATACCCCCGTTTGTGGAACGATCAAGCAAAGGCAAAATTCAGTTCAACGAAATTAAGATACTCTGATTATATATTTATCAGGTTTAAAAAACACATGTAAAAACTCAGGTAAATTATAAGTAAATTCGTGCAAACGTAATAAAATTTGTTTTTGCAAATGTAATTATACCTGTCGAAATTAAAACTCATGCAAATGTAGGTTGTTCTCAACAGCTGCACACATTAGTAAAGGATATTTTGTTTTAGCTCAAATTAATTCATTGATTATTGATATCATTCACATGTATGTTGATAGCATGATTTTATTTTTTAAACATGAACAAGGAATCTACAAAAAGAAGATAAAATATCACAAAAAAAGTTCTATGGCAAATTTTTCACTCAATGGTAGCCATTTACAAAATTTCATAATATAGAGATCTATTTTGCAGTTTTGAAAAGTAGACTTCCACTTGTTGTTTTGTTTTTGTTTTTATTCTTATCCAAGGATCTCTCTACTTTTGTTTTAATATTTAGAGGAAAAATGTAGGTTAATATGAATGAAAACATTTTTTTACATCCAGTTGTCTTTTGAAAATTATTGAAATTATTATGTTAACAAATTAACTTACTTCTTTTGATTCAAATGTGTCCACACAGAAAATTACAATGCCAAAACTTCTGTAATAACTGATTTAAATAGTTATTTTTCTGGAGTGTTTCCAAATTGATCAATGGTTAAAAGGTTCCCAAAGTATGAATATTTTTTTTGTATGAATAAATTACGTATTTTTTCATACTGAATGCATTTATTAGATCATATCTATTAAGATATTTAATTGAAATGCCCGCTTTAAGGTTGCATCCAAAATAAGATTTGTTTACTCCAATTGTATTCTTAATAGTGTTTTTCCTTTTTTATACCTTGTTGTGTTAACCAAGGTTTTTAAAAATAGATGTAAAGAAAATGTCTTTTAAATTAAATGTCCTGTAACATTTCATTCATTATAGTTGTGTTAACCATTTTAAGGCTATACTATATGAATTTATTGTTGAAAATATATTGGCCTTACAATTAAATGTTTAAATATAATTTATCACTGCTGTATGGACAATAAAAGGAATAAACTGCTTTTTTTATTTATGTATTTATTGGTTTAAAATCTCTATGTATTTTTTTATACCCATCTTCAAAACAATGATGTTAGGTTGCTGTTTCATTGACTTATACTCTGCATCTCCTTTTATGTCTCTGGTATATAGTATTACATTTTTTCTCTTTCACTACTGATGTGACCATAATCACACAGACTACAGTCTTAGGAATGAGACTTTTTATGCTGTTTCTGGCATTGACTGCATCAGAATTTGTTGAAGTGTGATTAAGTTAGACATACTTAAGACAAAATTAGGATCATCTATACTTAATAGAGGGGGTGTGTGCCATTTTTTATGTGTTTTTGTGCTTAAAACTCATTATTCACCTTATTTTGTGCAAATCAGAAAATAAGCATTGCACAAGCTTTTTTTTATTTTTTGATTCATTGTGAAATGTCCATCTTGTTTCCCCTTTGAATGAGCACATACCCCCTTTTAAAATAATCCTCTTAATATTGTATGATTTCTGTTATGATAGCCCTTAGAAAGCTTCTGGTACCACCAAACCTTATTTGATGATGTTATGATTGACATTACATTAAAAATGAAAATGCCATCATTACTAAACAGCAGTAGATTGCTTTCAGAAAGTACATACAGAGGATACCTGCCACTTATTGTCCATACAACTTGAGTGTAATTTTCAGCTGATATCTAGGCATAGCTCTCATGCTTGATATGGGAGTCTAAGGCTGATATTAAAAGTGGCACGAACCTGTCTTTGTGGTAAATCAGTTAATTTTTCTTATGTTGCAGAAATTTCATGGAAAATTTGAACAAATGGAGTGAAGAAATATACATTGCTAGTCAGGTGATAGGTGCTGAACATTTTAAGGTTGCTGTGGGCAACTGTTTGAAGATTGCAGGTCATAAGGTGATTTCCATGGCAACAGATAATCAGAAATTCCACCCATCTTCATTTTTGTGAGTTTGTATCTATATCAATAAAAACTTAAGAAATTTCATATTCTGTATTATATTTTAACAACATAAGTGGAGAAGCCATTTCTAAAATATATTTCTATTTTACATAATGAAAACAGTTTATTTATTTACATGTTCTTACATTATATATCTTCACCTGGAGTTTCTCTCTTAGAGATTTTCTTAATACATACATTTAAAGAAGAAATTTATCCCCAAATTTCTTTTGAAGATTGTCAATTTTCAGTTTGAGGACACTATGAAAATTAGATTTGTACCTGCAGGCACATATAAAAAGTTGTATGGGTCAAGTCAAAATGACATCACCTGAAACAGAATTTGACTGCATGTTCTTTATGGATAGTCAGGGTTTGTGGAAATGAATAATAATATACAGTTAATTACACATATTTTCCTAGTTTTTGTTCCAAGATATTATTGGAAATTGTACATCATATACAGAAAAGACAATGATGTTCAGCTTGTTTATATAACCATAAATACTGTTTCCAACTACAGTCAATGTATCATCCCAGAATTATCCATATGGTAACAGTGTTTGATAATTCCAGACTGGTCAGGTACTGTTACCATTCCAGAATGGTCGATGTGTAGTTACCATTCCAGAATGGTCAATATAGTGTTACAATTCCAGAATGGTCAATGTGCTGTTACCATTCCAGAATGGTCAATGTGCTGTTACCATTCCAGAATGGTCGATGTGTAGTTACCATTCCAGAATGGTCAATATAGTGTTACAATTCCAGAATGGTCAATGTGCTGTTACCATTCCAGAATGGTCAATGTGCTGTTACCATTCCAGAATGGTCAATGTACTGTTACCATTCCAGAATGGTCAATGTGCTGTTACCATTCCAGAATGGTCAATGTAGTGTTACCATTCCAGAATGGTCAATGTGCTGTTACCATTCCAGAATGGTCAATGTAGTGTCACCATTCCAGAATGGTCAATGTGCTGTTACCATTCCAGAATGGTCAATATAGTGTTACAATTCCAGAATGGTCGATGTGTAGTTACCATTCCAGAATGGTCAATATAGTGTTACCATTCCAGAATGGTCAATGTGCTGTTACCATTCCAGAATGGTCAATGTGCTGTTACCATTCCAGAATGGTCAATATAGTGTTACCATTCCAGAATGGTCAATGTGCTGTTACCATTCCAGAATGGTCAATGTAGTGTTACCATTCCAGAATGGTCAATGTGCTGTTACCATTCCAGAATGGTCAATGTAGTGTTACCATTCCAGAATGGTCAATGTGCTGTTACCATTCCAGAATGGTCAATGTGCTGTTACCATTCCAGAATGGTCAATGTAGTGTTACCATTCCAGAATGGTTAATGTGCTGTTACCATTCCAGAATGGTCAATGTACTGTTACCATTCCAGAATGGTCAATGTGCTGTTACCATTCCAGAATGGTCAATGTACTGTTACATCCAGAATGGTCAGTGTGCTGTTACCATTCCAGAATGGTCAATGTGCTGTTACCATTCCAGAATGGTCAATGTACTGTTACCATTCCAGAATGGTCAATGTGCTGTTACCATTCCAGAATGGTCAATGTGCTGTTACCATTCCAGAATGTTCAGTGTGCTGTTACCATTCCAGAATGGTCAATGTGCTGTTACCATTCCAGAATGGTTAATGTGCTGTTACCATTCCAGAATGGTCAATGTACTGTTACCATTCTAGAATGGTCAATGTGCTGTTTCCATTCTAGAATGGTCAATGTAGTGTTACCATTCCAGAATGGTCAATGTAGTGTTACCATTCCAGAATGGTCAATGTCCTGTTACCATTCCAGAATGGTCAATCTAAGGATTCAATTGAAAAAAGATCAATTTAATGTAAGACACTCCAGAATGGTAAATCTGTTTTTCTTATTCCAAACTAGCCAATGTAATATCATAACCATTCCAGTATGGTCAAATGTCAGGTTGTAGAAGCAAGTATCATTTGAACTTGTGTGAAAAGCAAAATTAAAATAATGTTTGCTCGAAGTACCTTGACCTTGGACAATACACACAATTTGTGTTTGTTTACATAGCAAAATCCCTGTGGAGGTTTAAATTTAAAATGTATCTTCATTCTAGAATTTTTAATAAACTCTTATTTTTGATAATTCTCTGTTAATAGTAGTTAGGTAGCCATAATAATAGGCAGGGGCTGATAATCTGCTGACCTTACAAAAAAATCCAGATATGTATGGTACATAATTGAGAATCATCACTTACTTTAAGTTCAAAACCCTTATGGTGTAACGAGTATCCCTTGTCTATCATTATAATTAAACTTCTGCCTGACTAAATCTCATAAGCAAATAGTATAGATTCAGTTAAGATATTAACAATTAGGATTACCGGTATCTGTAAATCTAAATTTTCCTCGCTTTAATTTTGTTTGTATTTTTCAGATTAATTAGATCAGCTTTGAACCTGATTGAAGATGAAGACTGTGATATCAGAAATATGATTGTCAGTTTTATTGTATCAATGCAGTGGAAAACTAAAGCTGTTCAGGTATCAGTGATTGTCAGTTTTATTGTATCAATGCAGTGGAAAACTAAAGCTGTTCAGGTATCAGTGATTGTCAGTTTTATTGTATCAATGCAGTGGAAAACTAAAGCTGTTCAGGTATCAGTGATTGTCAGTTTTATTGTATCAATGCAGTGGAAAACTAAAGCTGTTCAGGTATCAGTGATTGTCAGTTTTATTGTATCAATGCAGTGGAAAACTAAAGCTGTTCAGGTATCAGTGATTGTCAGTTTTATTGTATCTTTACAGTGGAAAACTAAAGCTGTTCAGGTATCAGTGATTGTCAGTTTTATTGTATCAATGCAGTGGAAAACTAAAGCTGTTCAGGTATCAGTGATTGTCAGTTTTATTGTATCAATGCAGTGGAAAACTAAAGCTGTTCAGGTATCAGTGATTGTCAGTTTTATTGTATCTTTACAGTGGAAAACTAAAGCTGTTCAGGTATCAGTGATTGTCAGTTTTATTGTATCAATGCAGTGGAAAACTAAAGCTGTTCAGGTATCAGTGATTGTTAGTTTTATTGTATCTTTACAGTGGAAAACTAAAGCTATTCAGGTATCAGTGATTGTCAGTTTTATTGTATCAATGCAGTGGAAAACTAAAGCTGTTCAGGTATCAGTGATTGTCAGTTTTATTGTATCTTTACAGTGGAAAACTAAAGCTGTTCAGGTATCAGTGATTGTCAGTTTTATTGTATCTATGCAGTGGAAAACTAAAGCTGTTCAGGTATCAGTGATTGTTAGTTTTATTGTATCTTTACAGTGGAAAACTAAAGCTATTCAGGTATCAGTGATTGTCAATTTTATTGTATCAATACAGTGGAAAACTAAAGCTGTTCAGGTATCAGTGATTGTCAGTTTTATTGTATCTTTACAGTGGAAAACTAAAGCTGTTTGGGTATCAGTGATTGCCAGTTTTATTGTATCTTTACAGTGAAAAACTAAAGCTGTTCAGGTATCAGTGATTGTCAGTTTTATTGTATTGCCTCCCTGTCCCTTCTATGGAGCTACGTATATGGTAATGCATAGACTCATTACAAGTCCCACTCCTAATGTTGCCATGATGGCTCCCCCCCTTTTTCAAAATCCTGGATCCCCAACTGTTTAGTACAGGTATGAACTATCAAACTTTCCTATTGAGTAATAGTCAAAATGTATTGAGTTTTGCTTTACTTTTTGAATAAGCGTATTCATACTTTTGGTATTTAGCTGAATTTTGTCTCAGAATGACCTTAGATCTGCATATAACATCTGTTTAAAAATACATGTTGAATAAATGATGTTAGTTGTAAAATATGTTTTAATAACCAATTGTCCTCTTCCTAAAAATAAGTACAGAGTGATGAAGGTATTAAAGATTGAAACATATAGTATGCCTTCTCAGTAATTTATATTATCCGAAGTTCTTTGATAAATTCATTTATTCATTTAACATTCAAAGACCAAAAAAAAGAGGCAAACAACAAGATCATATGCAAATTTTAGTGTCACATCCAAATCTTAGACATAGAAAATAAGTTAATTTTAATTAAAGCTTTATGAATAAATTTGTACTTTATACTTTTTTTTTCTTTTTAGTACCAGAGTATACAGTTTAACACAGGATGTAAGGTAGGTTATAGTCTTTTATAAGATGAAATACAGTTTCTTGCATTACATCAATTAAACCTCAAGACAGTTTCATTGCTTAAAAAATGTTAAAAAATCTACTTCTGGAACAAGTGTAAAACAATGTCTCATTCATTGAAGGTGTCTAACACCAAATATTGTTGGCAGACTTTCAATTTTTTTTTCTAAAAAAATTGGAAATGAGACAAGTGTCTTATGAAGCAGGCCAAATCTAAAAAAAAATCTGATAGAACTTTTCTCCACAGTGTCTCACTATTATTGACTCTATGCAATTGCAACAGCACTGTAAAAATTATATCAGTATATCTGAGGGGTGGACAGGGGGCAGGAAACAGGAGTTAAGGGGGGATGGGAGCTGGGGGATTAGGTTGAGTAAAAATGGAAATATTCTGAGAATTTATTTAGACCAATTTTCATCTGGGAATAGGGGAGGGAATTGGGAATCAGGGACCCCCTGTCCACCCCTTCATATTTATTTAATAGAAAAACTATGTAAAATAAAAAAGATAAACATTTTATTTACAGATGCTGTATGACTTAATTAAATGTAATTTTTGGACATCACAACATATGATCCAAAGTCTGTTTACAATGCTGTATAAATCTGGTGAAATACAATTGTGCATAGAAAGATTACATCAGAGGTAGGAACTAAGTTTAAATGTATTGATTCTACCACTGCATAAAGTTAAATATAACGCTCCCCAATTTTTGATAGTTGAATTACAAATTTTAAGACTAGTGCTTGGTTTGTATTATGATTTTTAGTAAAACTTGATTGTTTGTATTCTGCAATATCCTGAACCAACAAGACAACACACTGTCAATCTATGTTCTTTATACAAGATTTTAACATCATTTTAAAGCACAGCAAATAATTTACTTTTATTTACCAGAACAAACATTTAGCTATATTTTAGTGTTCTTTATATCGTGATAGAAAAATACCCTTTGAGCCATGAAACTGAACTTGCATAAATTTGTGAATTAATTCAAATTTCATATTATGTATAATATTGACTTTGATTAAAAGATTAAAATTTGAAAAGAAACCAAATTACTGGACACCCTAAAAATAGTACAAGAAAGGCCATCAGTATCCACTTATAACAGGAAATTTAGGAGGTGTTGGTTCAGAAGTTCATTATAAAAGTAAAGAGAAAAAAGTAAGAAACAAAGAAAAGAAAAAAAGATCCTCCCCATAAAGTTGTTGCTGAAGAAAAAAATCTATAATTGATATCATACATTTATATTGAATCTGTACCACAAATATGCATCTTTCTTTTTACAGGAGACAACAGTTGTTTGAAAAAGATGAAAACAATTTCTTCTCAGAGAGAACCATATCCCATTCTAATGTATATAGTACACTAAAGGTACAGTCACAGAAAATGACTTAAGGCAGATTCTATTTTAAACTGTAAACAAATAATCTGTTTAAAGAACGTCCAACTTAAGGTTGAATCCTTTAAATTATGATATAGCCATAAGGTTTAATGAAATAATATAAAAAAACAAAGGATATGAGGTATCCATTCATGACACAAAAACTGTGAGTACATGCACAACCAAAATAACACACAAAAAGCAAAGGAACAGTGCTTTAATTGCTTTTTTTTGTCTCAAAGTGGAAATGAGGCCTTCAACACGTTACAAAAAAACGCTCACCTCACTGCAAGTTAAGAAGGCCCCTAGCACCGATTTGAGCAAAATTCTTTAAAAACTGAAATAATTCATGTAGACCTTGTAAGATGAAACAGCACCAAATCTGGCCCGGCCAATAAGAACACACTGGTTTCGATTTGTAGTTTCTACTTCTACTTACTTACATATTTAAAACAAAATAATTCCTACGCATAGGTGTAAATATCAAACTTTTAAGATATGTTATAATAATTTAGGTTTCAAATTAGGGTTAAAGGACTAGTGATCATTGTAGAACACTGTTTTGATTTATAATTTTGAACACTACAAAAATGTATGAATTAATCGAAAAAGGAGGGCCTATATTGACAGTTTCTCAGATATGAAGTATCTGATTTGGTATATCCAAAGTTCAGGTAACCAGTACGGTCTGTGTAAATAAAAGTATATAGACAGCGCCCTCCATAATGCTCGAATATTAATCGCATAGTTTATTTCTTTAAATTTTTTATGCCCCTGATGTAGTGTAGGGCATTAGTTTTTACACTTGTCCTTTAGTACGTCCATAAGTCCAGAAATAGGTTTCTGTACCACAAAACACAGATCAAGTTTGAATTTTGGTGATGTCACTTTTATAGTTCTAGAGTTATGCCCCTTTACAAATCGAAAATTTGCTGAATTTTTAGTTTTTGTTTTTCTTACTTAAGTTTGCCTCAAACGATAGTAATGAAACTTATACACAATGCTTATTACCACAAAACTCAGATCAAGTATAAATTTGGGTAGCGTCACTTTTACCTTTCTTGAGTAATGTCCCTTTATAACGTTAAATGCAAAGGGGGGCATCATCCTTGTCCCATGGAATCATTCCCCATTCATTATTTGAAAATTTTGTTCTGGGGGGAATTTTTCTTTACTATATGCATAGGTCTACCAAATACACATCTTCTCTAAAATCGTCCGAATCATCAAGTCATTTTAAATGCAATTCTCTTCAAAAGCAACATCTTAGTTGTTCTATAACCTTTTGGATCTGTTCAAATTGTCTGAAGTTTATTATGCTCCCGTCGTTGTGTAGGGGGCATTTTGTTTTACCCTTGTCTGTCTGTACCTCCGTCCTATGTCCCAAAATTTGATTCCGTTCTTTAGTATAGTTTGCCCCAACCAAATGTTATGAATCTTATACACAATGCTTATTACCACCAAACACAGATCAAGTTGAATTTTGGTGGCCTCACTTTTATTGTTTTAGAGTTATGTCCCTTTACAAATGGAAAAATTGCAGAATTTCTAATTTCCATTCTCTAACTTAGTTTGCCTCAAGCAAATGTTATGAAACTTATACACAATGTTTATTACCACTTAACACAGATCAAGTTTGAATTTTGGTGGCTTCACTTTTACCTTTCTAGAGTTATGCCCCTTTATGATGTTATATGCAAGCAGGGACATCATCTGTGTCCCTTGGACACATTCCCCATTTATTACAAGAATGGAATAAATACACACTATGACATTGGAAATTTTTTCCAGAGGTAATAAATAAATAACTCAATTGAAAAAATGATAATAAAAAGGATTGATCTGCACAATGTTGAAAAAATGCCATTATCCAACAACTTTATTTAATTGCCTGTGTTTCTTATAAGTAATTAAATAGTTATCTTTTTCAGCTCATATTACAGAAACATATTGAAAATAAAACATCATTTCCAGAGATAGATGGAGGCACTGTTGTTTCTGATTTACATATTCTTATATCAGCTATGAATGACATTAAAACAGGTATCTTATTTCTTTGATCAGATCTTGATGACGGAGGATTAATTAAGACATGTGGGGAAAAAACCCAATTTAAAGACGAAAGTCAGACTCAAAAAAATTGTTAGATTTTAAATTTATTTTTTTGTGTTCTTTGAAGTTAATTTTACAGTACATCATCTCTTACAAAAATTGTAAACCAAAACTCTATCTAACCTGAACCATTTGATTGGGACATTCAAATACTATTCTTTTTTAAGTTAATTTGGTTACTGGACAAGTTTAACTGTAGAATACCCAAATCTTACAGGTTTACTTTTTTTTTTTAATATTGATGAAAATATTGAACTTTAAAAGAGTTTTGATATATATTGTTATTTCTATGCCTAGGTAAAAGGGTAATAAATCGATTTAACGACAGTATCATATTGGAGAAGGTGACAGGACTTGTATTAGCAGCTCATTTCATTTGTCTTATATCAACGGAAAAAGATTGGGAAAACCTCAGAAATAGTATACACAATACTTTAAAGGTAAAAAATAGAAAAAGTATTTTTGAATTGATGGTCAAATAAACATTTATTATTTAATGTCAACAAATGAGAATACTATCGATTCATTATAATTCATGAGGTACCAATTTTCGTTGATTTTGTGGGTATAGGGAAACCACGAATTTAAATGTTTAACAAAGTATAAATTGTCTATACAAACTTTTGTAAAACCAGGGATTCAAATATCCAAGAAAATACATTTTTTCATCAATCCATGAAAACTGGTACCTACGAAAGTAATGAATCCAGAGTCAGGAAATTACAAACACAAGTTCATGAAACACTACACAAAAGACTAAAGATTGAGCATCCCAAACCCCACTAAAAAGGGTGGCCAATCAGGTGCTCCTGAAAGGTCAGAAGTTCCTGCTTCACATAACACCTGTCCCGTTACTCCTGTTCATATTGCTGATAAGATATTACTGGTGAAAGGACATAATATAATATAGATATGATATTAATATAACCTTGTGTCCTACACTCTTTTATTTGGAATATAATATATTGCTTGTCAGAGGCATCTGTTTCATAGTTTAGTGTGGATTCATTATTATTCGTGGAGTACCAATTTTTTGTGTATTTTTCATGCGTAAAAATAATCCACAAATTCAAATATCCATGAAAATACAATTTTTCATCATTCCATGAAAATTGGTACCCATGAAAATAAATGAATCAACAGTTTAGTGAAAATTAATGAAAAAAGAAATGATAGACATGTAATATTACAATAACGTCAATAAGTAGCAAACATCATTTATTAAATGACATGCTTATCAAATTTTTGGCCCTTTTGTTTGTCTAACTTTATCTTTTGATCCACACTTGTCCTGAATATGGATGAATATTTGTCACTGCATGTTAACAAAATCTCTAAATCCGATCTAAACAACTGGATGATTGTAAATGTTAATGTTTGCTCAGTTGACCACAATACATGTGGTATCATTTTATTATTAAGTTTTTACTAATGTTCTATACATTTGTATATTGTAGAATGAAGTCTTCCCATTATCGTTCAGGAATATGATGTCCAACTTGATATCTGGTACATCCTAGTCAATATTTTATTTTAAAATAAATATTATAAACAACTTCAATATTATTGCTTATGTCAGCCTTTGTCTGTTTAGGCAGCAGTGAAAGGTATCAGCTCTGCATCTTACTATATATTTTATATACATATTTCAAAGATGGAAGTATGATCAGATTCCGATCCATTTTATTTGAAAATGGAAAAGTGATAGAAATTGACTGTCAAATAAGACATTATAAAAAGTGAAAAAATATATTAAAAGGAATTTCTTGCATATTTTCTTTAAACCCTATAACAAAGTTCATTTCAAAAGAACCTATAAAAACACTGCCTGTCATTGCTTTAAAATCATCTGATAATTATGAAGATGTTGATCTGATCTTAATTTTTGTTTTGCAGGTAGCAGAAGGTGAGACATAGGTTTTGCTTTTTCGGCGACGTCGTTAGCGTCAACAATTGTTAAGTTTTCTGATTAAGTTAGTTTGATAAGAACTACTTGTGAAAGATCAGTGATATTTTGTATGAAGTTGCATTACTATCATTATATATCAGTTTGATTACTTTTTTGAGGCCCTTTCACCTAGGTCATGGTCCAGCGACTTTGAATTAATTAGCAATTCTCAATGTTAAGTTTTCTGCTTAAGTTAGTTTGATAGGAATTACTTGTGATAGATAAATTGATATTTTCTATAAAGTTGCATTACTATCAGTACATTTCAGTTTGATGACTATTTCGACTTCAGGCCCCCGTAGGTCTTGGTCCAGTGACTTTCAATTAATTACCAATTTTCAATGTTAAGTTTTCTGCTTGAGTTAGTTTGATAGGAACTACTTAAAATAGACAACTATATTTTCTATAAAGTTACATTATTGTCTTTACATCTCAGTTTGTTGATATTTAGAGGCCCTGCCCATTAGTTCATGGTGCAGTGACTTTGAATTAATTATCAATATTGCTGTCCATTAGATTGTCTTTTTCTGAATTCCTTTAAAAAATAAAGGCTCAATATCTACGTCCTGAAAAGGTTCTCTCTCTCTCTCTCTCTCTCTCTCCCCTCCTCCCCCTCCCCTTCATCACTAAAGATGTGGCAGCTGCAAGAGATATGGTATGTTTGTCGATTTCTGGTGATGAGACAACTATTCATTCAAGATCAAAGGGTGGTGATGTTAAAAGTTATAGGTCCTCTTACAGCCTTCAACAATATTTTCTTACATTAACTTAAGTGCTTTAATAGACCAATCTTTATGTAATTGTCACACAATGTTCTTATGAGCAACAGAAGCTGTATTTGTAACATGAATGACATCTAGCACAGAATTTTACTAAAACAAGTGCTAGGGATAGTCTAGAAAAAAGAGGCAGAAGATAGCAAGGGGACATTCAAAACTCATATGAGGATAAAAAACTGACAATGCCATGGTAAAAAATTATAAACGACAAACAGACAAACAAGTCCAAAAAACACTATATAGAAAAACATATACTCAGAAACACAAACGCCACCAAAAATCGGGGTGAACTCAGATCTTCATGAAGGGTAAGCAGTTCCTGCTCCACATATGGCACCCATCATGTTGCCCATGCAACATCTGATGGTAAGTCTTAATTCTGTGATGTCACAACCGTGGGGGACAGGATCATGGTCAAGACAATTGGAACATGTCTGTGGTCATCTGTGACACAGAAATTCCACAACAGTCAACCAGCTCTTGATGGTGTTCATAAAATTTGGAAAGGGATGACTTTACCACTTGGTACCCTTGGTTCAATAGCATATTTGAAAGCAATAACCTTCTGTCAAGGAAATGCAAGAGCTGCTGGAATGTAACTACATAGAAATGGAAATTTCACAAGTGGAAAGATGAAATCATCCCTTTTATAGTATTTATTTCTTAAATGACCCTCATTGTCAATTTTTCTAGCTGTAAGTCATGACATGAGGCAGACTTCACTATATCTATGGTATCCTTTATTTAAAGTTTGATGGTCAACAAACTTAGAAATATTTAGTGAGAGGACATATTTATATAGTGGAATGTGAAGATAATGCTAGCTTCTTTTCATTTTTCCTGAGAAGCTCCTGTATGAAGTGTGTCTCATATGGATAAAGGAACAAGTCTGCAAGAAGTGGAGTGCAATTGGTTCCCATAGGAATGCTGATTGTTTCTTGAAAAACATGTCCTCCAAATGTAACAAATATGTTGTCAATTAGAAATTCAAGCATCTTGATAATATCAAGTTCAGAGAATTTTTTTAACAGTTTGATTTATCCCTTCCTAAATAAGATATTTCTATCTAGGTTGGCCAATATTTTTTATTATGAAACAAGGTAGTTCTAGTTCCTTCAATCTCTTTTAATTTAGAAATTGCAGTGAGATGAATTTCTACTTAACATTGAAGGCCTCACTGTGATTTAACAGATAAAAGCTCTTTCCTTGTGCTTATAGTATTTTCACGAATGTGTAATGATCTGTCTTAAAAGTGGGAGTTACATTGTATATTGAAAACACCTTGTCTGTCCATCCAACAAATAATTTCATCATACTTTTCTCAGAAACTACTGAACAGAATCACCATATTTGGTCACCAGCTTGACATTGACAAGTTGTAACCTGTGAGATCTGTTTGATACCTACATCCTGTTTGCATTTTTTAATAAGTTGAATGAACTACTGTAAATTCAGAAATTAGTGTGATGTTTTTATTATTGCGAAAAATGCGACATGGTTATAATTGCAATAATTTAAACTCGCATTTCAATTTTTTTTAATATGAATTAAACAGGATTTTTCACTATATCGCAAAAAATAAAATCGCATTTTAGTCTAAAATGACAAAATCGCAATAATAAATGCACGCAATAATTTCTGAATTTACAGTAAACGTTTTTGTCACATACTTCTTCCATACTTTCAGCAGCTGGGTTGTGCATGTAATATGTTTGAGCTTTTCGGATCTGTTGGACACCTACTTCCTATTTTCAGATACTTTGAATTATTTGGCACGACAAGGCATGTATTCTTGTTATAATTTTTAATTTGCAACTCTGCATTATACTCAAATGAACCACCACATCTCCTCATTTTGACAATAAAAAAGTACATGTATTTATCTACAGGCATAACAAAAAACATGGACTCAATTCAGAAGGATGGACATGGGTAACACTATAGTCCTTATTGGTGGAGGGCATAATTGTAATTGAACAAAATATAAATGTAAAAAAGTAATTTATCAAATAAATAAGAAATTGCTGTAATCAGATCTATCCTCCATTATCTTGTCAAGTTGTTTGTGTAAACATTTTTTTATAAGCTGTCCTTAGTTCTTTTTCTTGTTTAGCTATTCCTTCTTTACATAATGTTAAATATTTCCTTGTTAATGTATCTGAAAAATAAAATATACAAATTCATCTTTACAAACAGTTACCTTTTGATTATTGTATCGGAAAATTAAAAACATAAATTCATAATTACAAACAGTTACCTTTTGTTTTTTGTATCCGATGGAATTATAAATTCATGTTTACAAACAATCAGCTTATGTGGTCATCATCTATTAAAGTAAAAACTTAAATGTTCATTGCCAAGGAGTTTATTGACTTTATGTTATGTTAGTGAGTATAAAGCTTAGTTTACACATTAATAAACTACCTAAAATAACTTTTTTATTACATATAATTCCCCTAAAAATGCATTGAAAACGATGCCAAGATAAAATTAATTTCATTAACACCTAGAAAATCACCTCACATAAGTAGGAATTCATATATTAACATTTTGGTTGCTCACCATAGAAATTAGACTTAAAAATAAAATGATGACAGCTATATCATGTATATATCCATATATGATACTGCATAACAGTGTGTTCATATAGCTTGATAATTAAACATAAGCTATCCCAGGCTAGAAGCTAAAACTTGATATTTACTTTCTTCATTTTTTCTGCATTTTTTTAACCAAGAGAATATTTATGGGAGATGTAAATAATGTTATACAATATTGATCTGACAGACCATATGAGATGTTCCCCCATGGGAGATAACTCAAATGTTATAATGTTTTTGATTTTAGAGAAATCAGCTTAGATGTTCCCTAAGGGAGATCATAGAACACATATTATATACTGCTTTAAAATAATTAGATGTATTTAACATATTTGCAAATTCATTATTTTAAGGGTCAATATTCTCCTTTCAATTAAAAAAAAAGACTGTTATTCTCCATTCATTAAATACCATCTTGACCCAAAAGTTTGGAAATGTCTAATAAATTTAGAAATTTTTGTAATGCTTTTAACAATGTTTAATTTTGAGAAATCATTAAAGATTCTAGATACCTTGCCGATCAAACAAAAATTCCATTTTCAATAATTTTAATGATAACATCTTTTTTTATTTTTTAAATCTTTGGGTACAAAGAGAAGATCAAAATTATAATGCAGAACACAGTATACAAAACACTAACATTTATAGAAATACAAAAGGTTTAAAAAATTTACCCTTTAAATTTTTATACTTTCTTCATAAATGACAAAACAATAAAATAACACATCAAAATGTTTCATTTGATGTGAACAACACAAACTATGAAAGAAAATCGTGACCTTCATAAGTTATTTACAATATTAGCCATCATAAGCCTCTATTTGAATAAAAATAAGGAAACATTTTGCTTGATTCCTCCTTGAGAACAGACCATTTGTGAGAATCATATCTTTTTGCCAAATATGGTGGAACTAGTTTTACAATGTTGCAGTGCATTTCAGTTAAAGATATATATGTCACTTTGAGCATTGTGATCTCAAAATTACAAATTCTCCTTTCAATAACTAATTGATACAATTAATCCACATACCATTTTGTTCTGATTGCTGTAAATATTCTAAAGCTTCTTCATAATTCTTCAAATGATAACAAGCCACACCTTTCCTATACAAAGCTTTCACGTTTCCTTTGGACGCCTCTAATACATTGTTACAATGTTCTACTATCTTCTCATAGTTTGGTTCTTCTTGTTGTAACATACAAGCTGAAACATATTCATATAGAATTAGAATAAAAGATTAAACAGAGTGAGTGAGTCTTTTTCAGCAATCCTTCATGATGTATCTGTTAAAATTATCACTTTATAGATTAGTCCTGTGGTCTTTTGACCTGCAATTCAGTTGTTGTTGGTTACCGTCTGTTATATTTGTTTTTCATTTATTGTTTTAGCATAAATCAGACTGTAGGTTTACTAGTAAGAATTGTTTCACATTTTGTCATGCCTGTATCTTTGATTCTTAGTCTAATAAATTTAGAAATTTTTGCAATGCTTTTAATTTTGAGAAAATTGGGATTGGAAAGGTGTTGCATAAATGAAATATCACATTTAAATTTTTTAAGCATTATTTGTATACAGCATTTCCGAAACCACAATAATTTATTTTTCTATTTTTGTACAACGATCAACAAATTCAATAATATCTGAATTTACATGTACAGTATTTAATCCTCCCATAGAGAGCATAAATGTAAGAAGGATCTAGTTGGGTCTATACAATGTACCATGACCACAAAAAGCCTAAGCAACATGGTGGCATTTCAACTTCTTCCTAGATTTTCCTTTCTTTCAGGCCCTGAGGTTTTTCTGTAAAACATCATACATAACATTTTAAATTGAGGACTCCTAAAGCATGTACAAATGTAAACTATTTCCTGCAAATTTGTAACTCGTACACAAAAAATGACTGCTCATGAGCATGCGAATTCCAGTAAATTTATAAGTCTGATAGCAAGAAAGTATGATTGCATGCTTCATGACAAAACTGAAATTCCAATTCCCTGCATAACCTTTTGGAGCTCATGCATTCGTAAGCACCTGTCTGTCTCATATTAGCTTACAAAATAGGTGTTGGGTTTTGCTCACTGTTGAAGGCTGTACAATGACTTAGAGTTGCTTACATCCATGTTCTTTAGTGGCTGGTTGCATTGATAGTTCATGAGTTGTCCCATTGGCATTCATTCCACACCTATTTTTTTATATATCTGAAGCCTACATCCAAATTTTAAAGTATTTGAGTGTCAACTGCCCTGACTGCAGTCTATACAATGTTAAAGTTCCATTTACCTGCTAGATTATTATAACAATCTCCCTTTAGTGTATTTGTTCTATCTTTAACTTCTGTTGGGATATCTGTATTATCTGCCGACAAACCCATTATGTTTCCTATATTCCTATTTTGACCCACAGCTTTCAGTTGAATTATTGCTCTGTGATATTTGCCAATCGCAGCTTTATAATTTTTAGCTTTATACTGTTCATTGCCTTCCTTTTTAAATCGCTCTGCTGTTTTAATTTTTTCTATGTCGCTGACAAGTTTGTTTTTTTCAGAACTTTCCATTTTTCACGTGTGGAGGTAAACAATAGTTTTGTTTTTGGTTGTCACCATCTGAAAATTTTGTGATAAAGAAAATAAAAGTATATCGTAGTTTGATAAAACTATTTTAGAATTAAAGGGGTAATTTCTCTATCGTTTATAAATATAAATATAGTAATTAATTATTTTTCCACTACACTATAACGACAGACAAATATGTCCTATTACCGCAATGCAAAATAATATAAAAGTGGACAACGATACACCAATTAATCGGACAGAGAATCACAGCAGCACAATTTTTTGACTAACAAAAAAAATATAAAATTTTTATGCCAATTAGTTGTTTTACTTAATATTGATTAACTATTGTTAAAAAACAATCGGTTAAAGTGGCTTGTTAATTGATCGGTTTCATATTGCAAAGAAATGTGTCCTTTGCATAATTGAAATTGATAATACTCTTTATAAAACAATGCTATTGAACAACTTCCTAGACTTTAAAAAGAATTTATAAAATTTACTTTATTCAAGAACTATCTTTATTATTCTAAGGATTGAAACTAATTAAGGTGGTATTGGAATATCAACGGAAAATGATAGAATTTTTACATACTTTGCCAAAATATATTGTGATATGTTAAAAAATATACTAGTAATATTATTTTTGGTCACCGAGCTTGTTTGCAAGCTACAGGTTGTGAAAAAAATACACATTTTGTATGGATAACACAGAGAAAAAGCATCATAATGTGAATAGAAGGTAAACTAAAATATGAAAGCATTTTGAAATATAATATGAGATAGCTCTTATAAAAGGCTTTCTGAATATCAAAAGAAAAAAAATGTGTCACCGTACGCTATAAGATAAAAAAGAAAAAAATCATGAAGATCCCTTTATAAATTGTATATTTTCTTAGTTACCTCCCCTTAATACCAACTTTATAAAAAAAAATAATAATTATCAAACAAAAATATTCAAATTTTGTAAACAAAAAATGAGTGATAATAACCCTAAGGAGGATGGGGCGTCTTCATTAAAATTGATAGATTTTTTTGATAATTTGTCAAAATGAATTTTTTATCATGCATTTTTTAAAAATAAAATAAAAAGTATGGGTCACCGAACTTTTTTTCACGCTAGAGGTTGTGCAAAATTGTCAGATTTTGTATAGATTATGCATGGAAAATCAAATTTTGTTTGATAAAAAGAAAACTACTTGATAGAACTTTAAGATAAAATGTGAGAAGATAACTCTTATAAGATGCATTCAGATAAGAAAAAGAAAAAATGGGGTCACCGTACTTGTTTTCTTGCTACACATCAAAATAGGTAAATTCACAACACTTTCTATTATAAAAATTACTTTATCTGAGTTATCTCCCCTTATTTGGCAAAGTTGAAAAAAATCTTATCAATCACAAATAAGGTACAGTTGTTTTCCATTCGTTTGATGTGTTTGACCTTTTGATTTTGCCATTTGATAAGGGACTTTCAGATTTGAATTTTCCTTGGAGTTCAGTATTTTTGTTGTTTTACTTTTTTTATATTGAACATAGTCAAGCATGTTTTTTGTTTAGCAGTATGGTGGCCTCTATACTTAACTATGCGTCTGAAATTTGGGGATTTCATCGAGCCAATGACATTGAACTCGTTCATAATCGTTTCTGTCGTTTTATATTAAAGCTTGGTAATAATGTACCAAACGTTTTTTATGTGGTGAACTTGGTCATTTACCTATGTTCATTTTAAGGAAACATAGAGTTATAAAGTTTTGGTTGCATATAATATATGATAAACTTAATATTGTATATGATATTTATAACCTCCTCCGCATTGATGCTTCAAATGGTAAGGGAAACTTGGTTTCAAATGTGGGCGATTTACTATTTAGTTTAGGTCTAAACTCTGTTTGGATTGATCAAGAGAACATTAATGCAACATTTGAATATATAAAATGTCGTATGAACGATCTATACTACCAGAAATGGTTTGCTTTTTTGAATGATTGTGAAAAACTGTGTTTATATAGAACATTGAAAAATGATTTTTGTTTACAGGATTACTTGAATTATGAGTTTAATAGTAATTTACTCACTAAACTACGTAGTGGAGCATCACTGAAAACTGAATATAGAAGTTGGTCGTTTTGACAATATTGCAAGAGAAAATCGTATATGTACATGTTGTTATATGAATTGTATAGAAAATGAGTATCATTTTGTATTAGTATGTCCTGCCTTTAGATCATCGAGGCTACAGTTTTTACCTAAATATTATTGTTCATGGCCAAATAATAGAAAGCTTGTATTTCTTTTGCAAGCTAGCTCAAAGAATTTAACCAAAAAATTGTGTAAATCTTTAATGTGGCTTTGAAGTTAAGATTACAAATTATAATTGCATAACAGTTGTATGACTGTGCTTGCTATGACTTTATTGTGTTGTTCTCTGTTTACAGTCATCAAGGATTTGTATATTCTCACTATACAAATCCTTGCTGTCATTATTGTCATTATATATTATGTTATTTTGCTATAGCATTATGTTTGCTACTGCAATAAAATATTCATTCATTCATTCATTCATACACTTAAAATTATATCCCTGCTTAAGGTTAAAGTGTAAGTAAATATATCCCACTAAAGAGATATTTATGGCATTGATCTAGTGGATACAGTGTGTCATGTGTGTTGCAAATAAACTTTTACCTTTTATTGGTGGAGGATTGGAGAAAGTGATTTTTGATAATAGATTGTGAATGTACAAATTAAACTGGTTATTGGTGGAGGATTTAGAATTCCATAACTCCCAACTTGTGGAGGTGTCTTTATACCGTTCCAGAAGTTAGACAGATACAAATACACAATCTATACGATGAGAAAAGAGCTTACCTAGGCCGCTGACCTATATTTCTATGTTTCAACAATGAAGTTTAACGAAAAAAACAGTGTTTCCTAGGCTACTTGTAATTAAACGGAACGTTTTGATTTATAAATGGGCTTAGTACGTCAGCAAAATTTGGTAGGTTGTGGTTATGCGCTAAATACTAGCTAGTTGGTTTTCTGATCTACTCGAAGACTTTTTTATGGCAAAAATCGCGATCACTAAAGCGCTTAAAGTACCGGTACACATGTGAATTTCTAAATTGTTATTTTGACAGCTGTAATTCACAAACTTCAGGATGGCAGATGCTATGAGGGCCCAAGTAGCTGCTTTGCTAAAGGGAATTGATAGGTAAAACACGAAAATACGAAAGTGATTAAGTTTTCACACCGGCGATTCTGTTTATGGCATAACATAAATTTGGATCTTGCCAAGGAAATGACACTGCACTCTGCAGCCCTTTGTAGACCATGGACAAACCTAATTAAGAGAATTTATCAATATATTCTGTTCCTTATATTGCCAAATACCCTCTAGAATAATAACATTCACAACTGTACAGCTAAAACAATCTTGTAAAGGAGCAACCATTTAACTTCAAAAAGGGGGGGGAGGGGGTTGGTTTTTTGTTAGTCCAAATAATTATGATGTCTTGAAAGGCTATTTTATTTTTTTTCTCGTAACGCCTTCCTACCACGTCATAACACTAAAGCCATTTTTTCCATCTGGACTTTGAGAGAGAGTCTTTGAGACCTTATTTTGGCATGAAATCTTCGTTGACAGCTAGAAATTTTTGCATAGATATAAAGTCTTACCTTTTTTGTGCTTATTGGTGCAAAATATTTCCAGAAATATCCAAAAGAAATGATAAAATAAGATACGATTCCATTTGACATTGTTTGAGGGCAAATATTTACTATGATTTCAAAATGGTTTCCCAGATTTTCAAAGAAACGTCATATCCGAAGAGTATAAAATATCAAACCATAGGCGGATCCAGGCCCCGGGCCTGGGGGCCTGGGGCCCCCGCTTTCGTGGGAAAATTTTGGTTGATTATATAGGGAATCACTGAAGCATGACTGGAGCGGGGCCCCCCTTAGGTCAGTCAGTGGGCCCCCCCTTATGAAAAGTTCTGGATCCGCCACTGCAAACTCGGTAAAATTTGATGGACCCGAATTTCCGGAACGTTTGATTTATGTGATCTGGAAATTTGGGTCCATCTAAATTTACCGAGTTTGATATTTTATACTCTCCGGATGTGACGTTTCTTTGAAAATCTGGGAAACCATTTTGAAATCATGTAAGGTAAGAGGATTCAGTGGTTAATCACAAATGCAATACATTAAAGTTGAAGAATTCAATTTGTTTTTTTTAATAAACATAACTAATATTAAAAATTAACAATTCTATGTAACATGTGTAAGGAAAATTACTTTAAAACATTATTTGTTCATTACTAATATGTTAACTAAGTTTTAGCATATGTTTATGTATATCACTAATTAATAAGTAATTATTCAGATTATAACACAGATTTGTTTATATAGCAATAATCAGCCCTTTGATTTCTATAAGTGTTCATGGCCTGTCCCCTTAGGGTGTTTATTTAGCAATATGATTGCTAAAAACATTATTTATTTATTGTTAAAATTTACAATTCACTTAACATTTGCTTAAACACTGCAATAAAATGCATTTGTTCAACTTGGATTTAATATTGAAACAAAGCTTGGAAATTAACAAGGTATCCTGAAATGTCCAAAACTTGTATTCTGCCCACATAGAATTAGTGGAGAAGTGGAAGAAATGGAATTTTCAATCTTCAGGAATGACTCTCAATGGTTATCTCTATACATGTACATGTACATGGTATAAAATGTATATATTTAGCTATAATACTATTAAACTACAACAAGTCTTTACTATTTTGTGTAAAAATAAGCTTGAAAAATCATTTTACTCAGTATTGCCCAATATTACCTGTTTCTAGGAGTATTGCCCAGCCCGGGTAATACTTTGCCAACCCTGTTGGACACAGTCTGTGCCAAACTGTTTTAGAGTTTGTCTGACTGAAAAAGAAATTTGACCTTTTCTACTATATTTTCAACTGAAAAATCTAAAAATTTCTGTCTGACCAAATGAATTTTTGTCTGACATTCTGTCGGTCAGACAGAGTTTGGGATACACTGGGACATCAAAATTCAACTTGAAACTTCAATTTTCTGTCAGCAATAGGATTGAAAACTTTAAAATGAAAAATGAAATGAAAATCCAGATTTGAAAAAAATAAATAACATCATGAATATAGATTTGTTTAACAATACTACATGTATGTGTACAAATATACCATCAAACATGTGATTTTTCCGGCTGGAGTGAAACTCTTCTGCCCCTCATGCCCTTTCATTAAAACTTTTATCTTTAAAAAGACGGGAATCATTATTGATAGAAATATCAAAGAATTACACAAATTTAAATTGTTAAAAGTTATTACACGAAAGTAGGTTAAAGTTCAGTATATTCAAGCCAAATTTTAACTGAGTCTCAGTCTTGGAAATGGTTTAATGGCAAGACTGAATCAACCTCAATCCCTGGACAATTGTCAGTTACAGTTATTTTTTTAAGCACTTCATTTAGGTCATTGTATTCCACTTATGATGGACATCATTTTTCTTACTTGGAGATGATCGCTTTCGATTTATCTGAAAATTTGTTTTATTTCAGATATAACCCTGAAAATCTAGTAACTTTGGAAAAATATATAAATATGCAGGCTCAAGAGAACACATATGACTTGGAAGCTAATCTGGCTGTTTTGAAATTGTAAGTATATTTCTAACATTAACTTCTACATATAAACTAAATGACAGAGTCCACCTATGTTGTAGTGTATATACATGTATATAGTGTAAATTTGAATACTGCAGATTTATTTAAGTGGATACCACTTTTCTTGGATTGAGGAAAAATTCCATTTTCATGGATATTTGATTTCATGGTTTTCCCGAAGTCTGCATACATTCCCATAGAAATTGTGCAACTTTGTTGAACATTTAAATTTGTGGTTAACGTTTACCCAGAAAATAAACAAAAATATTATCCTAAGAATAATAATGAATCCACAGTTAGCAAACTATGAGCAAGGTGAAATCGTTTTGTTGAGTGTAAAAGGTAGAGGTACACAAAAAAATCTATAAGGAAAGTGAGCAGTTTAGATAATATATATCTTAATTCCAAAATAATATTATTTTTCAACATGAGATTCTTTGATTCCAATTAGGTTTACAAGAAGTCTTCAATTATTGAAATGATCTCATATAATGATTTAAGAAATTGAAACAACTTAAGGTAGCACTACAGTCAGAATTTTCTGACTCCAACCAACAGTCTTTAAAGATTAATTTCTCCAAAACTACTCAATGGATTTTAAAAATCTTTAACTCATTTTAAAGCTGAAATATAACTCTTTCTTAATCTATAGATAAATTTATTTTTGGTATGATTAATCTCAAAATATAGCTCATTAATTGCCAAAAAAGTGGTCTTCCAACTTGGATGAAAATGGCACATTCAGGTCAAATGGTAGTAAAAATTTGTTTTCATCCCTTTAATCAACCATTCACAATCTACAAAACCGTGCCTCAGATTTTTGATATATGCCTCCAGTAATAAGATATATTATTTTTACTGCTGGATGCCAAACCTCATTTCAACTTTCATCTTTGGAGACCTATAAATTCATTTAGAAACAAATTATCCAAAAACTGGGACACGGTATTGTAGAAAATACTCCCTTCAATCACATATATCAAAGTCAAGCCAAAGGGGGTACCCATAAAGTTTCTATTTTCATTTTTTCCTTACAATTCTCATGAAAAATTGTTCTGAGAAATGACCTTAAAACTGAATTTCCTCTTGAGAAACCCTATAAATGCCACATAAATACAAAAATTCCACTGGGAACACCCCAGGAGTGTTCTGACACCATTACTTTATCAATAGAACCACACACATTGTGTCTTTGATGCTCTAATGCTGTAAAATTTGCATTTCGTGTGCACTGTATAACACTAACTTGGCATTTGGTGGGAGTTTGACGTCACAGATTTGACCAACATCTGTGATGTAGTAATTAAATAAAGACAAAGCTCCGCCTCTGTCCAGACAGTCTAAGATAAGAGAATAACAGGATTGGCCAGCTGCATCATAATTAATATTTAACATCATTATTCTCACTATAAAGAATAATTTTCCTTTGAATTTTAAAAAGAAATATAATATGACCATGATGACTGAAATTAGCTAAAATATTAAAATTAAAATACATGTCCATAAAAAGATCAAGACCATCCCCTTCTTGAAAATAGACTGTCCAACATGATTTATGAGTTTCATGGAATTAAAAAATTTCACATAAACTTAAAATTAGTTAAAATGCCTAAAATAATTTTAAATGTAGAAGACCAAATACGAGAAATTTATACAGGCAGTCAGAGGCTTTCAAAGATACTTTCACACTCTTTTCCATAGTTTTTTTTCATTTTGGTAGATTTTTTCCCTTTAAATTTTTTCCTATTCATATCTTTTTCTTTTTCTCTGTTCTAAACTTCCATGTTTTATAAATTAGTTTTGTTGCAATGCAATGAGATATTTATCTTGTGGTCAGGGATTAACAGCTGGACACTGGTATCAACAGATGATTAACATATTAGCCCCTCCCAAATGCCTATATATTTAGATTAATTACATGTGCTTTTATTTACATACGTTCATTATCAATTTACTCCCTGTTGTGATATGATAATGACTTTGGGATTTTTACAAACTGTGCAGAATAATACTTACTTCAAAATTATGTGATAAAAAAAATATCTTAAAAAAATCATTGTTAGACTGTAGTGCTACCTTAAAGGGTCCCTTTGGCACACTGGCAGACTGGTTTTTTTACAAATCACACCTGTTTGAAGTCTTATGTTCAAACTTTAGCAACTGTTCACACTTAGTTAAGTCCTTTGTAAATCAACCAGATTAGCATGCTGATACATTTTCTGATGAAACAACCAGGTTAATGCCAATAGCATTATAACCTTTTCAAATTGATTCCTCATATATGTCATAAAACTGTCTGTTTACAAAACAAGAAACACACAGGAATAAAGTATATAGATAACAGTATTTTTTAAAAGCACCTTTGCCATTGGATTTGAAATAGCATTGTTTTGTTAAATAGTGTTGTAATTTCATTGTTTTATATAATATGTTTTCAGATACCAGTTCAATCCAATGCATTACCAGACCACCGTAGCAGCTCAGGTTCTATTAAAAGCTCTGACAAACCTGCCTCACACAGACTTCACATTGTGTAAATGTTTAATAGACCTTAATAAGGTATGCACAAATGTTTAAAGGAATCATCTGTCAATAAAAAAGTTCTTATTGATAAACAGTTTTCTATACAGTATGTCAAGCTCTAAATCAAGAGTTTTTAAAAATTTGGGAAAAACTTAAAGATCTGCCATCAGCACAAAATTCTCCAAATAATCCTGACTTGGGACAGAGACAAGAAAATGTGAAAGCATATTTCTTGTATTACTATTTACCGGTACTCGATAAGGGAAAAATCTGATACATGACAAAATGCTATTGTGTTTTAAAAACTTTATGTATTTTATTTCAACATATTTAAATTAAGATTTAATGTGTTTTTATACGACCGCAAAAAAATTTTTGTGGTCGTATATTGGTATGACGTTGGCGTCGTCGTCGTCGTCGTCGTCGTCGTCGTCGTCGTCCGGCGTCGTCCTCCGAATACACATTAGTTTTCGCACTCTAACTTTAGTTTAAGTAAATGGATCTCATGGAAATTTTACCATAAGGTTCAATACTACAAAAGGAAGGTGGGGATTGATTTTGGGGGTTATGGTACTAACAGTTAAGGAATTAGGGGCCAAAAGGGGCCAAAAATAAGCATTTTTGTAACTTCCAGACATAACTTGTGTGTAAGTGTATGGATCTCTCTGACATTGTACCACAAGGTTCCATATCACAAAGGGAATGCTGGGATTGATTTTGGGGGTAATTGTCTCCAAATTTTAGGAATTAGGGGCCAAAAAGGGGCAAAAAACAAGCATTTTTCTAGTTTCATGACAATAACTTGTTTGTAAGTGTATGGATCTTTATGAAATTGTACTACAAGGTTCCATATCACAAAGGGAATACTGGGATTGATTTTTGGGGTAATTTCCTCCAAATATTAGGAATTAGGGGCCAAAAAGGGGCAAAAAACAAGCATTTTTCTAGTTTCATGACAATAACTTGTTTGTAAGTGTATGGATCTTTATGAAATTGTACTACAAGGTTCCATATCACAAAGGGAAGGCTGGGATTGATTTTGGGGGTTTTCCCTCAAAATTTTAGTAATTAGGGCCATAAAAGGGCAAAAAAAACATGCATTTTTCTAGTTTCAGGACAATAACTTGTGTGTAAGTGTATGGATCTTTATGAAATTGTACTGCAAGGTTCCATATCACAAAGGGAAAGCTGGAATTGAGTTTGGGGGTAATTGCCCTAAACGTTTAAGAATTTGGGGCCAAAAAGGGGCCAAAAAACAAGCATTTTTCTAGTTTCCAGACAATAACTTGTGTTCAAGTGTATGAATCTCTCTGAAATTGTACTGCAAGGTACCATACCACAAAGGGAAAGCTGGGATTGAGTTTGGGGGCGATGAATCATAAGGGGGTTCAAAAAATTGGGGGGGGGGGGATTTTTTTTTCCTTTTTTTTCTTTAACATTTTCCATTTTAAATTGGTTATTTCTGATTTATATATAAAAGCAAATAATAATGATATGGTTTGAATAGGCATACATGTGAACCTCCCGATGGGAGTACAATAATCCCGTTTTCAGGGGTCTCCTCCCGACCTCCCGTTGAAAAAATCCTGTGTATGAAATTTTTCATGAATGAAAAATTTCTGCCCAACATAACATCTCAGGCATCTGGTGTAACTGACATTACCTGAAGTTATATTTTACCTGTAAATCAATTAACATGCATAATTATATGGCTTCACTTGTCAGCTTGGGTGTCAAACATACTGGTAAGCAACGATTTTTACCTCAGGCTAACTGCCGTTGTGTAACAAAAACTGTGTATTTATTGGGTTACTTCCCTTGATTTATCCTGTTTTAAGTTACTTTCCTTTTAATAATGAAAATTTTTAAAAGAATATAAATAAAATATAAATTGAACAAATAATCATAAAAGGATGGTTATTAAATGATTTTAAATGTCTTAGGACAAATAAAAAAATAATAATTTGAAAATTATTTGAGGATTCTATACTTCCTTTTAAGGCTTAAATTGAAATTTATATAATAACTATGACCCTAACTTTACAGATAGAATGAATTTCTGAGTTTGCAAATAAAAACTATTTGCAAGAGAAAAAAATAAAAAATAAAAACTATTTGCAGACAGCTAAACAAATGTTCTGGTTGCAATGATTGTTTTATAGAATATGAAGTAAAAAATTTAAAGAACATACTGGAAAAAAACAATGTTAAATTGAACATGTAGAATATAAAGATGGAGAAACTTTATAAGTACAAGGGTACTATAAACATAATAAATTGGTTGGAAAGTTGAAGAAAACACACTTTAAAAGACCATTTTTACAGCACACGGTTACATTTACAACAAAATTAATGTCGATTAAAAACCTCCTGATCTGAGTCCTAATCTCCTGACCAAAATTTCCCAATCTCCTGATCTGAGTTTCACAGTCCATCACATGTATGAATAGGTAAATTGAAAATTTTTAAGTTCTTGGACCACTTTCATTCTGTGTCAGAAACCTATGCTGTGTCAAATATTTAATTACAATCCAAATTCAGTGCTGTATCAAGCTTGAATGTTGTGTCCATACTTGCCCCAACTGTTCAGGGTTCGACCTCTGCGGTCGTATCAAGCTGCGCCCCAGCGGAGCATTTTATTCAAAGGATACAATAAAATATATGTATCTGTACAATTTTAATTTTTACTGGTATTGAAATAAAATATTGTAAATGTGAAACAGCTTCATTCAATTTTACCTGAGGTTTGGAATTCACATGAGAAATTTTTTTTCACCAACTAACATTTACATACAAGTTCTTGTAACAATGTAGATATAACTAATCACCTTTCAAGAAGAACCAGTCTTTGGTTTTTCTGTTAGGTGTATTATGGATGGTTTTTGTCTTTTTTTTTTGACTCATTTGGAAAAATATTTACACCCCCTTTTTTAACACATGAATGAATTATGCTGTATTTCATGCCTTGAAACCGCAACCCTTTTTATTGTTAACTTCAGAAATAATCACATTTTACAACAGTTAATAAATATTAATCTATATTTCAGTAATTTTTTGCATTTTGTGCATAAATTTCTAACTTGTACAAATACATGTACCATATGCATGGTGCATAAATATCAAATAAAATTTTGACTGCATTTTTTTTCAGCAAGAAGAAGAACCTATCATGAAGGTGATGCATATTGCTGAGATGTTGGAGATGTGCCAGTTTAAAAGTTTCTGGGTAAGTCTTTGTTGTACAGTTGTACAAATTTGTCAAAAGTCCCATCAGTGACGCTGGTATCAAAAAAGTTAAAGGCCAAATAAAGTACAAATTAAGAGTCTTCAGTAGACCTGTCTATACAGTAAAACTGTATTAATGGTCCTAAGTCTAAAAAAGTTGTGATGGAAATACACAGAAACTATTAAAGAATTGCCATCAACAGGAAATTCTCCAAATAACAAAACAAAAATTAAGATATGACATAAGGCAACCACTGACAAAATTTTTGACTTTGGATGAACACATAAATAGTCAGGCAGGGTAGTTTTGTTGAAATGTTTATTTTTTATACTTCCATTGTTATTTTACTTCAGGAGATTTTAATTTTACTTGCTTTTATAGTCTTTCACACTGGGTTTTAACTTGTCTTAATATTATTTTTTTTATTGATAACATATATTTACTTTTCAGGAATGTCTGAAAATAGACCAAGATTTAAGTGCCAGTGTTCATGTTATTACAGGTTTCGAAGACAGTATAAGAAAATGTAAGTTGAAATTTGGTCTAAGTACACTAATCTTGTGGGTATTTTGTTTTCCCCCTCCTATCCACAGTAAACCAAGTGATGCAAAAGAAATGGATGTTTGTGTTTTATGTACAGTGTGTTTCCTAGGAATTGTGTGCACTAGGAATTAAAAAAAAATAAAATGTACATCCCATAGTATGGACCCAGTGGCAAAAAAGAAGTTTAAAAAATAAAGCAGACACTATGTTCACTCCTCATCCAGTACTTATCTGTACTTATATAAAACAGATCAATATAAATGTTGTACTCCTGCACCTATCTTGGTCTTCTTAAAGTGTCCTCCCTGCTATTTCACAAGGGGTCATTTCATTTCTTTCTACAAAATCCTAGATCCATACAATCATAAAGTCTAATAGAACGCTAGCTCTAGATAACTAGTGTAAAAATAGTTGAAAGTATAGATAAATTCGACTACTTTTATCATGTTTATTTTTTCAGTTGTGTGTCATGTTGTCAGTACCACATACCAGACCATACCATTTGATACACTAACAGAATTACTAGGCAATATACCAGGTAAGGTGTCATGTTGTCAGTACCACATACCAGACCATACCATTTGATACACTAACAGAATTACTAGGCAATATATACCAGGTAAGGTTTCGTGTTGTCAGTACCCCATACCAGACCATACCATTTGATACACTAACAGAATTACTAGGCAATATACCAGGTAATGTGTCATGTGGTCAGTACCACATATCAGACCATACCGTTTGATACACTTACAGAATTACTAGGCAATATATATCAGGTAAGGTGTCATGTTGTCTGTACCACATACCAGACCATACAATTTGATACACTTACAGATTAACTAGGCAATATATACCAGGTAAGGTGTCATGTTGTCTGTACCACATACCAGACCATACCATTTGATACACTTACAGAATAACTAGGCAATATACCAGGTAAGGTGTCATGTCAGTACCACATATCAGACCATATCATTTGATACACTAACAGAATTACTAGGCAATATACCAGGTAATGTTTCATGTGGTCAGTACCACATATCAGACCATATCATTTGATACACTTACAGAATAACTAGGCAATATACCAGGTAAGGAGTCATGTTGTCTGTACCACATATCAGACCATACCATTTGATACACTAACAGAATTACTAGGCAATATACCAGGTAAGGTGTCATGTCAGTACCACATATCAGACCATACCATTTGATACACTAACAGAATTACTAGGCAATATACCAGGTAATGTGTCATGTGGTCAGTACCACATATCAGACCATACCATTTGATACACTAACAGAATTACTAGGCAATATACTAGGTAAGGTGTCATGTCAGTACCACATATCAGACCATATCATTAGATACACTAACAGAATTACTAGGCAATATACCAGGTAAGGTGTCATGTTTTCTGTACCACATATCAGACCATACCATTTGATACACTAACAGAATTACTAGGCAATATACCAGGTAAGGAGTCATATGGTCCTTACCAGATACCAGACTATACCATTTGATACACTAACAGAATTACTAGGCAATATACCAGGTAAGGAGTCATGTTGTCCTTACCATATATCAGACCATACCATTTGATACACTTAACAGAATTACTAGGCAATATACCAGGTAAGGAGTCATGTGGTCCTTACCAGATACAAGACCATACCATTTGATACAATAACAGAATTACTAGGCAATATGCCAGGTAAGGAGTCATGTTGTCTGTACCACATATCAGACCATACCATTTGATACACTAACAGAATTACTAGGCAATATACCAGGTAAGGTGTCATGTCAGTACCACATATCAGACCATACCATTTGATACACTAACAGAATAACTAGGCAATATACACGGTAATGTGTCATGTGGTAAGTGTCATGTGAGTACCACATATCAGACCATACCATTTGATACACTAACAGAATTACTAGACAATATACCAGGTAAGATGTCATGTCAGTACCACATATCAAACCATATCATTAGATACACTAACAGAATTACTAGGCAATATACCAGGTAAAGTGTCATGTTTTCTGTACCACATATCAGACCATACCATTTGATACACTAACAGAATTACTAGGCAATATACCAGGTAAGGAGTCATGTGGTCCTTACCAGATACCAGACCATACCATTTGATACACTAACAGAATTACTAGGCAATATACCAGGTAAGGAGCCATGTTGTCTGTACCACATATCAGACCATACCATTTGATACACTAACAGAATTACTAGGCAATATACCAGGTAAGGAGTCATGTGGTCCTTACCAGATACAAGACCATACCATTTGATACACTAACAGAATTACTAGGCAATATACCAGGTAAGGTGTCATGTGGTCTGTACCAGATACCAGACCATACCATTTGATACACTAACAGAATTACTAAGAAAAGGGCTATTTCATCAGATCGATATAAAGCAGAAAAACATCTAACAAAAACACAGACAGGATGTGACAGGGTATTTATCTATCCCTCATCCCTAACAATAAAAAAGACACTAAGTACATATCTGAGAGTACTCGCAGTTACTGACAGCTAGTTCAAAGCCAATAACAACTAATAAAAAAAATCACGTATCTAAGACTTAAAGGTCACCAAGGTTATTTAACTATTTTGAGAGCTATGTATCAATATTTGGCATTTTTAGCTCACCGTTCCGAAAGAACAGTGAGCTTTTGCCATCACTTTGCATCCGTTGTCATCCGTCTGGTGTAAACTATTTCAAACATCTTCTCCTCTGAAACTACTGAACCGATTCCAACCAAACTTAAGCTGAATGATGCTTAGGGTATCTAGAATAAAGTTTGTGTTTTATTTACTGTTTTGTCAAATAACATGGCCCCCATAGCTAAAAATAGAACATAGGGGTAAAATGCAGTTTTTGGCTTATATCTCAAAAACCAAAGCATTTAGAGCAATCTGACATGGGGTTAAAGTGTTCATTAGGTGAAGTTCTATCAGCCCTGAAATTTTCAGTTGAATCTGATAACCCATTGTTGGGTTGCTGCCACTAAATTGGTAATTTTAAGGAAATTTTACAGTTTTTATACGACTGCAAACAAATTTTGCAGTCGTATATTGGTATGACGTTGGCGTCGTCGTCGTCTGAAAACACATTGGTTTTCGCAGAATAACTTTAGTTTAAGTAAATTGATCTCTATGAAATTTTACCATAAGGTTCAATACCACAAAAGGAAAGTCAGGATTGATTTTGGGGGTTATGGTACCAACAGTTAAGGAAAAAGGGGCCAAAAATAAGCATTTTTGTAACTTCCAGACAATAATTTTAGGAATTAGGGGCTAAAAAGGGGAAAAAAACAAGCATTTTTCTAGTTTCAGGACAATAACTTGTGTGCAAGTTTATGGATCTTTATGAAATTGTACTACAAGGTTCCATATCACAAAGGGAAAGCTGGGTTTGAGTTTGGGGGTAATTGCTCAAACTTTTAGGAATTTGGGGCCAAAAAACAAGCATTTTTACAGTTTCCAGACAATAACTTGTGTTCAAGTCTATGAATCTCTCTGAAATTGTACTGCAAGGTACCATACCACAAAGGAAAGGCTTGGATTGATTTTGGGGGTAATTGCCTTAAAATTTTAGGAATTAGGGGCCAAAAAGTGTCAAAAACAAGCATTTTTCTAGTTTCAGGACAATAACTTGTGTGTAAGTGTATGGATCTTTATCGAATTGTACTACAAGGTTCCATATCACAAAGGGAAAGCTGGGTTTGAGTTTGGGGGTAATTGCCCTAAACATTTAGGAATTTGGGGCCAAAAAGGGGCCAAAAAACAAGCATTTTTACAGTTTCCAGACAATAACCTTTGTTCAAGTGTATGGATCTCTCTGAAATTGTACTGCAAGGTACCATACCACAAAGGTAAGTCTGGGATTGAGTTTGGGGTGATGAATCATAAGGGGGTTCAAAAAATTGGGGGAGGGGAATTTTTTTTTTTTCTTTTTTTTTTTCTTTAAAATTGTCCATTTTAAGTTGGTTATTTTTGATTTATATATAATAGCAAATAATAATGATATGGTTTGATTTCATCAAAAATTGAAATTTTGGGGTTCTTTGATATGCTGAATATAACCTTGTATTTAGATTCTTAATTTTTGGTCCCGTTTTCAAATTGGTCTACATTAAGGTCCAAAGGGTCCAAAATTAAACTTAGTTTGATTTTAGCAAAAATCGAATTCTTGGGGTTCTTTGATATGCTGAATCTAACCGTGTATGTATTTAGATTTTGGATATTGGACCATAATAGGTAAATTAAAAAATTTTAAGTTCTTAGACCACATTCATTCTGTGTCAGAAACCTATGCTGTGTCAAATATTTAATCACAATCCAAATTCAGAGCTGTATCAAGCTTGAATGTTGTGTCCATACTTGCCCCAACTGTTCAGGGTTCACCTCTGCGGTCGTATCAAGCTGCGCCCAGCAGAGCATTTTATTGGTTATTATCTTGAATATATTAATGATAAAGATAAACTGAGAACAGCAAAAATGTTCTGCAAGGTAAGATCTACAAATAAGTTCATATGATCAAAATTGCCAATTGACCCCTTAAGGAGTTATTGCCCTTTAAGGACAATTTTACACAATTTGTTTATCGTGTTTTCTAACTTTAAAAAATCTTTTTCTCTGAAACTACTGAACCAATTCCAACCAAACTTAAGCTGAATGATTCTAAGGGTATCTAGAATAAAGTTTGTGTTTTATTGTCTGTTTCGTAAAAAAGCATGGCCGCCATGGCTAAAAATAGAACGTAGGGGTAAAATGCAATTTTTGGCTTATATCTCAAAAACCAAAGCATTTAGAGCTAATCTGATGGAGGTAAAAATGTTTATTAGGCCAAGCTCTGTCAGCCCTGAAATTTTCAGATGAATCTCAACAACCCATTGTTAGATTGCTGCCACTTAATTGTAAATTTAAAGGAAATTTTGCAGATTTTGGTTATTATCTTGAATATTATTAATGATAAAGATAAACTGTAAACAGCAAAAATGTTCAGGAAAGTAAGATCTACAAATAAGTTTGTATGACCAAAATTGTCAATTGTCCCCTTAAGGAGTTATTGCCCTTTAAAATCAATTTTTCACAATTTGTTCATTTAGTTTGCTTACTTTAAAAAATCTTCTCCTTTGAAATTGTTTCAGCCAAACTTGGGCTGAATGAGTTTCAGAGTATCTTGTATAAATTTTGTATTTTATTTTCTTGTAGAACATTTCAAATGAAGTTTTAAGCCATTCATAAATATATATTGAAAAGCAAAAATAATCATTGATGAAAGATTTAAGCAAACTATTACAGGTGAGCGATTCAGGCTCTTGAGAGCCTCTTGTTTAAATAATCAGCATCAAATTTAAGTAATTTTTTAGATCTCATATATATGTCCCATTATAAAAATTCCACATTCTTAAAATATATTGCTTAAAGGCAAAATTAAGTTGTTGCTGGAAAAGTTATATGGTTCATAGGTACAAGCAACCAATCTCATTATTTTAACTAAAACAGTTTTAATTTGTTCCAGCATCCTGCAGACTAAATTCTTGGTAAATTAATTGAATATAATAGTAGCCAGTTTCAAATTTGTCTTTTTATGCCCCACCTAGGGGCATTATGTTTTTCAGTCTGTTCGTTCGTTCGTTCGTCCGTCCGTCTGTCCCACTTCAGGTTAAAGTTTTTGTTCAAGGTAGTTTTTGATGAAGTTGAAGTCCAATCAACTTGAAACTTAGTACACATGTTCCCTATGATATGATCTTTCGAATTTTAATGCCAAATTAGAGTTTTGACCCCAATTTCACGGTCCACTGAACATAGAAAATGATAGTGCCTGCTTCAGGTTAAAGTATTTGGTCAAGGTAGTTTTTGATGAAGTTGAAGTCCAATCAACTTGAAACTTAGTACACATGTTCCCTATGATATGATCTTTCTAATTTTAATGCCAAATTAGAGTTTTGACCCCAATTTCACGGTCCACTGAACATAGAAAATGATAGTGCCCGCTTCAGGTTAAAGTTTTTGGTCAAGGTAGTTTTTGATGAAGTTGAAGTCCAATCAACTTGAAACTTAGTACAATGTACACATGTTCTCTATGATATGATCTTTCTAATTTTAATGCCAAATTAGAGTTTTGACCCCAATTTCACGGTCCACTGAACATAGAAAATGATAGTGCGAGTGGGGCATCCGTGTAATATTGACACATTCTTGTTATGGCTCAATTGAAAATGTACTTGCTTATTTTTTGTAGAATCTCAAGTGAAACAATGGATTTCAAAATATGGCTGGTCCTTACAGAATGATGGAAATATTTACATCACAAACCAAGAGGAAAATATCAAAACAAAAAATATCACAGAGAAAATTACATTTGAAAGTAAGTAGCCGAAGAGGAAAAACACATTAAAAAATATGTTACAAAGAAAATTATTATTGAATAATAAGTAGTTAGAACATGGGCGAATCAGGAGGAGTTTACCCTCAAAATTGTGAGGGTCACACCCCCTATAACCTCGAATCCTGAAAGGGCCCATGCAAAAAGAAAAATAGTATGTATACATCCTTGATTTTCAAAATTTTGGCTTTGAGTATTCCTGATGAACAATGATGAAGGTTAATCCAGAAAAGTGCTTCAAATGTAACTTATTTATAAAGTGTAAAAAAGTATAACAACAATACCAAACTCAAAGGCAAATTCAAAACGGGGGGGAGTCCATAAAAACTGACAAAATCAAAAGCTATCAATCAAGTGAAAAACAACTGTCATATTCCTGACTTGGAGTAATTTTCATTTAAAATAAGAATATAAGATGGGTAATGTTGAAATCAGAAATTTACAGGGATATTGAAATGCTCCAATTTTTTTCTGTTCATCATCATTCTTTCTTTTATTTTATGTGCTGCTATGCACAGTTTCCTTTTAAAACAGCCATAAATGTTATAAATGTGTTATTTCTTTTCTTCAGGTGTTGCAGGTATTATGGCAGCCTATAAATAATTAAAGGACCTGTGATTTATGTGGACTAATATTATATGTGTCATCTAGCTGTCATGGAAAAATTAGAAAATCAGAAAATGATTATTAAAAAATCATAAAATGTTTTAAAAAATTTATCAAAACAGTTTTTAATACACCTGATAACATTTAAATGGCTATTAATGAGTAACATAAGGAAAAGGATAATATGAATCACATAAAAACTGGTCACAATATTGGACAGTACAACATACCACATAGACTCCTCTTAAAAAACCAAAACATTTAAACAAAGACAAACAAAGTAATGGCAGATCTTAAATTGTTTTTATTCACTTCTTTTGGTATACTTGGGACAATTTAGAGCTTGACAAAGACAAACAATGTAATGGCAGATCTTAAATTGTTTTTATTCACTTCTTTTGGTAGACTAGGGACAATTTAGAGCTTGACAAAGACAAACAATGTAATGGCAGATCTTAAATTGTTTTTATTCACTTCTTTTGGTAGACTAGGGACAATTTAGAGCTTGACATTTTATAGACACCTGTCTGTTGCTGAATACTGTATGTTGCACTCTACATGTATTTTTTTGTTGTTGATGTGTTGCTGTCTCATTGACCTTTACCCCACATCTCTTTTCATTAATAACGACGATCATCACATAGTCCAGTTAGCCTGACTTGGTACAGGGACATAAAGTGTTTTGATAACGCATCTGAGGTTAATCATGGAAGTGAATAAACTATATGTACTTGTTTTTAACTGATTTTTTACCAGATCAAACAAAATAAGTTTTTGGGCTGACAGAATTGTGATTTTCAACACAGGCAGATACAAACTTAACAGTAATGAATGAAATCGGGAAATATACAAAACAATATTTGTGTTATGCTCCCAACACTCAATGCATATAGCATATAGATAGGCTGCCCGATCATTCTCAAATCCAGTATTAATCCTGACTTTTTCTTCATTCCTGTAGATATTGAGTAAAATTTTGGTTGTAGGTAAATATTTTTATGTTACAGATGGAATCATGTTTCATTTTAGATGATCTACTTTCAAAAAAAAAAAAATTAAAAAAAAAATGTGTCATTATGCAATTAGATATTGACATGATTTTTATACGACCGCAAAAAAATTTTTGTGGTCGTATATTGGTATGACGTTGGCGTCGTCGTCGTCGTCGTCCAGCGTCGTCCGAAGACACATTGGTTTTCGCACTCTAACTTTAGTTTAAGTGAATGGATCTCTATGAAATTTTACCACAAGGTTCAATACCACAAAAGGAAGGTTGGGATTGATTTTGGGGGTTATGGTACCAACAGTAAAAGAATTAGGGGCCAAAAAGGGGCCATAAATATGCATTTTTGTAACTTCCAGACATAACTTGTGTGTTAGTGTATGGATCTCTCTGACATTGTACCACAAGGTTCCATATCACAAAAGGAATGCTGGGATTGATTTTGGGGATAATTGCCTCAAAATTTTAGGAATTAGGGGCAAAAAAAGGGGCAAAAAACAAGCATTTTTCTAGTTTCATGACAATAACTTGTGTGTAAGTGTATGGATCTTTCTGAAATTGTACTACAAGGTTCCATATCACAAAGGGAAAGCTGGGTTTGAGTTTGGGGGGTAATTGCCCTAAACGTTTAGGAATTAGGGGCCAAAAAGGGGCCAAAAAACACATTTTTCTAGTTTCCAGACAATAATTTGTGTTCAAGTGTATGGATCTCTCTGAAATTGTACTGCAAGGTACCATACCACAAAGGGAAGGCTGGGATTGAGTTTGGGGGTGATGAATCATAAGGGGGTTCAAAAAATTTGGGGGGGGGGGATTTTTTTTTTTTCATTTTTTTTCTTTTTTTCATTTTTTTTTTCTTTTAAAATTTTCCATTTTAAGTTGGTTATTTCTGATTTATATTTAAAAGCAAATAATAATGATATGGTAGGAGATACACACCAAACAGGATGTGTAAATTATTATATAATAAGTATTGTGCAATAGCAAGAAATTTTCAATTGCACAGTATTGCACAATAGCAAGAAATCTTCAATTGCACAGTATTGCGCAAAAGCAAGAAATCTTCAATTGCACAGTATTGCGCAATAGCAAGAAATATCCAATAGCACAATATTGCGCAATAGCAAGAAATTGTCAATTGTACAGTATTGCGCAATAGCAAGAAATATTTAATTGCACAGTATTGTGCAAAAGAAGATACTTCATATAAATTGCTTATTTCTTGACCAATTTCAATGGGGTTTTATTCTTGAATTCTTGGGGTTCTTTAATAGCTGAATCTAACCGTGTATTTAGTTTTTGGATTTTGGGCCCCGTTTTTAAATTGGTCCAAAATTAAACTTAGTTTGATTTTAACAAAAATTGAATTCTTAGGGTTCTTTGATATGCTGAATCTAAACATGTATTTAGATTTTTGATTATGGGCACAGTTTTCAAGTTGGTCCAAATCGGGGTCCAAAATTAAACTTTGTTTGATTTCAACAAAAATTGAATATATGGGGTTCTTTGATATGCTGAATCTAACCATGTATTTAGATTTTTGATTTTTGGGCCCCGTTATCAACTTTGTCCACATTGAGGTCAAAAGGGTCCAAAATTAAACTTTGTTTGATTTCATCAGAAATTGAATTCTTGGGGTTCTTTGATATGCTGAATCTTACCATGTATTTAGATTTTGGATATTGGACCATAATAGGTGAATGTCCAATTTAAAATTTTTAAGTTCTTAGACCACATTCATTCTGTGTCAGAAACCTATGCTGTGTCAAATATTTAATCACAATCCAAATGCAAAGCTGTATCAAGCTTGAATGTTGTGTCCATACTTGCCCCAACTGTTCAGGGTTCGACCTCTGCGGTCGTATCAAGCTGCGCCCTGCGGAACATTTTATTGGTTTATAAGTTTTCTTAGTTAGTTGCAAATCATCTTCATGTTAAGTTATGAGAGTCTGGATGAGGTTTACAGAATAGAGAATAAAGGGCTAATACTGCAGAAAAATGGGCCATTTAAATAATGAATAGAGAAAAATAAACCAAAAAATAAAAAAAGAGTATAATGGACAAAAAATATATAGAATATAGAAAAAAATACATAAAAGAATTTAAGAATACACAAACGAAGGACCCCCATTCAGACCCTCCATTTTGGATGACATACTTTTGACAGCATTATAAAGTTGGTATGCAGGCATGGCCAATTGTTTCATCTCCCCACATTAAGTATCCAACCTGGCCTTCTATTTAGCCCACCTGGTATGAATGGCCATGATAGCTAATGACATCACTTGGCTTTGGTAGTCTTCATCTGTAAACTTTTCACATTTTCATCTTCTATGAAACGACTAAGATAGTAAAATACTGTTAGGAGTATACTGTTACATTTTGGCATAGGAGGATTTTTCAAAAAAGAAAGTTATTGTGCAATCAAATTAATTTTCAAATAGCTGAAGAATAATGTAGGTATAAAACCACTAATTCATAGCCCATTGCTTTCTATGTTAAATTATGCAATTTCAAGCATTAATGGCTACTTTGTCTTAAGTTCAAAAAAAGTGGCAGTTATTTCAGGTCAAAACTATACCTTTTCCTGACTTGTGCTGAAAAATTCAACATACCTTTAATTGCATATTAGAGCGTACTGGTTCCCGGAAGTTTGATAGTACAAAAACAGGTACTTCTGATCTGAACAACAGGGCAAATGTGCCCTCCTATTAAAATTTTATGTACTTCTTTATTATTCAAAAGAAACTTTTAACAAGGGTTCTACAGTGATCCCAAGTCCCCAAGCTTTCATTTGATATCAAAACTACCCAAATATTACACCTATTGACAAAGAAACAGCTATTCGTAGGAACTATTTTGTTTAATATATGTACTACTTTCTTGTATGTTCTTTCCGACCGGGCCTGAATTAGTGGTTCTATGCCTTCCCAGTTGGTTTATTTAAATTTTCCTGCCAAGAATCCAAACAGCAGTCCAATGTACTATACCATTTATTTCAAACAAGATGTTCTAGTGTCAGACTATTCGAACGCCTATAATCAAAGCAAAACCATAATTGCTGGCCCTTTTCTTTCTGAATACCATCACTGCCTCCCAGGGACTGTTAGAAGGTTCAGTTGTCGATTTTTATACACCCGTCAAATTTTTGACGGGACGTATTATGTTATACAAATGTCCGGCGTCCGTCCGTCTGTCTGTCCGTCTGTCCGGCGTAAACATGTCGCACCGTAACTTGAGAATGACTTATCCAAATTTCATGAAACTTAACATAGTTGTTTCTTATGATGGTCAAACGATCTGTATACTTTTTGGTGAAAATAAGATTAAAACTTTTTGAGTTACAGGACTTAGTAACTAAAACAGGTGTGTGTTTTTTTTCACATGTCGCGCCGTATCTCAAAAACAATTTATGATTATTGCTTAAAACTTTACACACTTCTTAGTTATATTAATCTTAAGATCTGTATACTTTTTGGTGATGATTCAAAATTTTATTTTTGAGTTATTGAGTATTTTGTTAAAAAGGGGGAGGGGTTTTTCACATGTCACGCCGTATCTCAAAAACAGTTTATGATTATTGCTTAAAACTTTACACACTTCTTAGTTATATTAACCTTAAGATCTGTATACTTTTTGGTTTTGATTCAAAATTTTATTTTTGAGTTATTGAGTATTTTGTAAAAAAAGGGGGAGGGGTTTTTCACATGTCGCGCCATATCTCAAAAATGATTTATGATTATTGCTTAAAATTTTACACACTTCTTAGTTATATTAATCTAAAGATCTGTATACTTTTTGGTTTTGATTCAAAATTTTATTTTTGAGATATTGATTTTTTTTTTAAAAGGGGTGTTTTCACATGTCGCGCCGTATCTCAAAAACGATTTATGATTATTGCTTAAAATTTTACACACTTCTTAGTTATATTAATCTAAAGATCTGTATACTTTTTGGTTCTGATTCAAAATTTTATTTTATAGATATGGAGTTTTTTGTAAAAAAAAAAAAGGGGGTTTTCGCATGTCACGCCATATGTCAGAAACTATTTATGCTTATTGCATAAAAATTCACACACAAGACGACGGGCGTAT